TTCATAATCTAATAAGTGGAGCTATTTGTGGATATCTAGTTTTTGGAAGAAATAAATCTGCTGTCAATTAATAAATTGTTCTTTATGTTATGAGTAGAGTAATTATAGGTTTGGCTTCAAACATTTAGAGAAGAAAACTATTACCTTAATCATGGGATGCATTCCCATTACAAGCTGCTATTGTTTGGGGATTAGTCATGTTACTATTTGAAGATGATAAAGGATGTTTACAGAATTCATTAACATCTAGCATGACCTTTTTATATAAAGATAGTGATAGATCTTATTCAAATTGGGCTGAACTAATACCATTTGAAATGCCAGACTTTTTGTCATTTCTTTGGAAATGATTAAATTAATTATAGTCTAACTTTATTTTTATATTTTTTAATTAAATCAATCATTGTCTTTTGTCTAATATCAAAGGGTAAAATTATTAAGAATTATAATCTAATAAATATATTAATACTTACATTTTGTCTCATTCTATTTTTAAATACATTCTTTAAGTTTTATCTTATAATTATTTTTTTATTTTACACTTTAAGTTATGTTTATATTCTTTAAAGTTTAAATTTTCATGTTTATTTATAAACTTTTATCAATATTCTTTGATAAATTTTACTATATTATTAATCGAGTGGGTTTTAACTTATAAATTTATATGATTTAAAATGATATTAATATCCTTATTGATTTGGGAATATTTAAATTTTTAATTAGAATTAATTTTTTGGAAGTAGTTTGATTAACTTACATATTGGAAAGAAGAAAAAGATAAATTTTCTTTAAATATTCTTAAATTAGATATTAGAAAAGGTGATTTAGTATAATAATAAAACAAAATACTAAAAATTGAATAAAAAAGTATAGATATGATATATAATAAAGCATGAATTTATCAATATTTAGAATTTTTTTTTCCTGGTACTACTATAGTTGATTATACATTATTAATTTATGGAGGAATATAAGATTCTGCAAATTTCTATTATGATTGTTCTCCAAATTAATTTGGAGGTATGTATTCATTAACATATTTTGATTCTTGATTAATTGGATTACTTAGGTTTTGAGGATTGGAATAAACAGGTGGAGGAACTTTAGATAAATGAGGTGATAATGGATTTTGATAGGGGTTAGTGTCAGAATGATGAATATCTTCTTTTGATTGGATTGGTTGTCTTTATGTATCTGATTCAGTTATGTACATTTTCTTCTCTTTTTTTTGTTTAAAGCACCAATGAAACATTTAAACAATGAACATCATTGTTAAGATGAATTCACTAATAGCTATAATTATAATAGAAATTGTAATAAGTGAAATGTAAGTACTGACATCTGCTGGGAAAAGATTCGGAAATTGTGCAAAAATAGTATAAATTTATTCAGAAGTGTAACAATTAGCAATTGATTTAAAATATAATTCTGAATCACTTCTAAGTTTTTCTTAATATAATATTAAACCACCTTCAATAAGAATGAAGGACATCTGACATATAATTAGAATTTTTAAGATTACAGTAACTATTCTTATATCATTAACTATTCTAAATTTGAGTACATAAATTTCAATAATTAAAATGAGTCCTATTAAACCAGAAAATATTTATTTAATAACCACATATATTAAACCTATTTCTTAAATTGATTATTCACAATTTTCTGTCTCTTCAATCATTTTTTTATCAATCTAGGTACATCTCTCATCATTTTTTGTAGCAATTTTATTCTTTATTAAATATATTAAGTACTCTTGATGTTAGATAAGTTATTGCAGAATTAGTAACAGTTGAAGGAACACCATTAAAAGATAATGCTTCTAAACCTTATTTAGCAAACAGTTAAAGAGTTGTTTATTCTATTTTCACACTATTATCAGTATCAAAATCAGAACCTTCACAATTTTCAGGATCTATAAATTCAGTATTATTAGTTAATCCAGCAGTTATATAAATTAATGGATTCAAACATGGATATCCTCTGATTACTACTTGAAGTTTAAATATTCCAAAAGAAGAATTTTCTCTTTAAATATATAAATCTCTGTTGCTCTCTAAATTTTGATCAGCATCTTCATCTACGATTTCATTTTATATAATTAATAATTTTGAAATAGGACATTATGATCCTTCACTTGTTTATATGCAATATGGTCCACAATTATATTCAGTATCTGAACATTGAGTTGATAGTCTTATATCAACAAATCTTGTTACACAAATCAATTAAGAATACCATCTAGTTATGTTAAATTCCCCAAATGGAAATAATTATTAAATTTCTTCTGATGAATCACATTCCAAATCTCTAAAATATACTCTAATTATTTAAGTATTTCATACTATTTTATTGGTTTGTAAATTAGATTATCAGATACATATCCAATAGTTGCATTTTAAGCTTGATATTAATACTCATTTGAATAAAAATCTACTACCCCATGTACTATATCTAATCCAATACTGATAAATAGGGAAAGGATCATGAAAAATAGAGTTAAAGATTTCACAACCTTATCATAAATAGAACTATGTATTTATTCAATTGGATGCTTTTTCATTTTATATTAATTTATTGAATTTATGTATTTATATATTTAAAAAACATTAACAAATATTTATATTTCTCATTCATTATCTTATTGATTTCTAACATTACTTCCTGGTAGTACAATTTATTTCTTTATTAAAAATTGATCTTCTTTTGTAAAACCTAATTACGAAAGTTTTCTGTTAAAGTTAGTTCTTGTAACAGCTTCATCTAAATATAAATTCATCACTTATATATCCTTTATAAATTCATTATAAAGTAGCTTTTGCTCATCCTTATTACACATGTTAATAATACTCTTTGATTTTTAATTAAATTAACTTAATAACAAAGTTTTTTCTTTCTTAATATCCATTCTTTCCTATAAAATTTATAATTTCTTATTTTCAGATTAGAGAGTATGTTCTTTACTCTCTGCCTAATATCTTGATTTTGAAGGAGGATAATTTTTTGTAAAATTGAATAATTATTATTCAAACATTGAACTTATCCTTTTCTTTTATGGTCTTATTTAATATTTATTTTTCAATTGATCCTCCTCTATATTATGATTATGTCTCACTTTTGCCTCATTTATTGTTGATTTAATGAAATCATTAGCTTTCTATTTAAATGCAATATATATCTCCTCTTCCAAATATTCTGTTGAGTTTAAATCAATTCCATATTACAATACTATCTTCAAAAGTTCCTTATCATAATCTATTTATGTTATTTTCTATTATTGAATCTAAGTTCCTCTTCTACCATCTCCTTTTTCTTAATGAGTTGTAGTTTTCGATACTTTTCCAAGTTTCTATATAAAATTATCTGTCTCCTCTTTCTCTTTTTTTATTTAATCTATATGATCTTCAACATGATAATAAAATAAATTTTAATCATACTATGATTTTGTTACTTAATCTCTTCTTGACATTTATTCATTATGGGTTTAAAATTAACTTATTGCTCTTTTACCAATGTCTTACAATTTATCCTAAGACAATAACTTAGTTTTATGTGTTGGTACCTTTATTAAACCTAAATCTAAAAAACAATCACTATCTAAAAATGCTTAATCAAATCCTGTTTCAAACTTTACTTCGTATTATTCATAAATCTTTTCTAAATCTGTTTCTTCTTAACCCAATTGTCTTGATATTTTCCTTCTTATTAGATAATTCTTTACTGATTCTATTAAATCTCTATTATTTAAAATATTCATCTTCCTTAATCTGGTTTTTGTATCAACAAATGTATCAAGTATTCTAAATTATTATAATTAACGATTAAATCTAATTATGCTTTAATATCTCACCTAGCATCTGGAGTATTATTTATCAATTTAAGCTTCGCCTTGACTTTATTTACCAAATTTATTACTCTATCTGTACTTGATCCATCTTAACAATCCTATTATATATTTGTATATTAAAATGGCTATATATTTGGCAAAGCTTTATTCAATCTTTAGAATTTTAGATTATTTGTCATTCAGTATATTTTGTTACAAATTAAATTTATCATATCCTTTTCTAATTAATTTTATAAATTTATATTAAAATAAATGTATAATATCACAAACCTTCAAGTCTCATTATTTCTACAAATTTATTTTTATATTATATTCTTAAAGAAGAATAATTTATATATAAAATTTCGTTTGTTTAATTTAAGAACGAGCTTAGCTTCCGGAATAGGAGCCTTGCCCGCAACCTATTAAATAGGTTTAAACTTGGATATGTTTTGTACCAATATATGATAAAAGAATCCGAAGAGGGGATTAAGGTTTAAATAATATAAGATTTTTCTTAAATATTTAATTATTAATTTTAATTTTATGGGTTTGTTTAATTAATATAATTAATATAATTAAATTAAAGATTTAACTTATAAATTATCATAATAAATAAAATCTATATTACATAGATAACTTTAAATATCTATCAATAAATCTAACTATTCATAGTTATTCTTGTATGCTATTAGTTTTCAAGCTTCTTTCTGATTCTCTCATGTTGCAAATGAATAGACCTCAATTTATTTATATAAAGACACACTAACTTATAAATATCATAAATACCAAATAGTAAAAGAATAATCAAAACGAAACATAAACTCAGCAGCAACTAAATGATTGGATTATATTAATTAATATCTACATGTTAAATTATGAGTTATTAAACATGTTATTCAAATGTAGTATTATAAAATAAAGTATATTATTTTTCGTCATTAAATTATATAGGAGAGCATAAGATACGAAAGGGTAACTTAATAATATTACCTATGTAAAAATTAGTACCTGTAACTGCAACAATCTTGTTGTTATTTAAGATTACATCATGTAATCCTATAAATTTCCATTCCATATCTTAAATGTAATGTTTGTTAAATCCTAAAACAACTATTTCCTCTTGATTTTCACTAGTCTTTAATTTCTAAATATTTTTCAACTTTTAAATGCTAAGTAATTTATATGTTAAAATATCATATTTATTCAACTAAAGACTAGATGAAATATAAATGAATTTATTTGTTGTTTAAATTTTATCTGGATTTTCAAAATCTAAAGGATGTTGAGAGTCTAAAGTAATTATACCTTTTTCATTCAATTATGCAACAATTAATCCTTGCTTTTAATCTAAAATGAACAATCTTTTTGGTTGAATTTTATCATAAGTGATAGCTATAGGATGAAGGTGTAAATTAATTGAATTGAAATGAAATTTTATTTGAATTTCTTGATTAGGATAGTTATATACTATTTCATAGATATCGAGACCATATGAACCAACAGCAGTTATAATGTAATTTTCAAAGTGATAAATTGTTTAATATCTCTATCCTCTATTAATAAGAAAGTATGGCTTAATGGAATGATTTTAAACTAACAAAATAGAGTCCTATTGATGAATAAATGTGTTGTTATATTTGTCTTTAAAAAAAGATACATCATAATCTTGAGATAAGTAGTCAGACAAGTTGATAATATCAATGGTTTTGAACAATTAAGCATCAATTAAATATAGTTTGAGATTATCGCTTATTATCCAAAATTAAGTCTCATTTTTTTAAATAATAGCTATGAACTAATGAAAATAGAATTGTGTCTCATCCATAAAATCTATGCTTCAATTATAAAAAGAAATTACTTGATTATATTGTCTTCAATTATTTTGGCTTATCTAAGGTTATTATGAATAATGGGTTTATATAGTTAACATTATTCATTTGTTGGTATCAACTAAGCATCGATTGCTGTTGGTAATGATATTTGTAATTAATGACTGTATCTATATATCTTTGTTTCATCTACAATCAATTATTTAGATATTTATATAATCAAGAATATAATCATTAATAATAATAATAATTTCTTAATTGAAATATGAATAACATATACTAAGTATACAATAATTATTAAGATATTATTATGTTAAATAAATTTAAGAATGCCTTTTCTAAAAAACAAAAACCAAATCAATAAACTATTTAATTTGAATAATTTGATCAATAACAATCAGAAGATCTTCAAAATCAAAACGATTTTCCAAATGATTTTTAAATTATTGATGAATAAGCTATGAGTATTATAGAATAAGAGTATAACAATAAATAGCAAATTCAACCTGAAATAGAAGTAGAGCAATAATTTTAAGAAGATTTAATAGATTATGAAGTTAAAGTAGACGATTCATTATATGGAATTGCACTTAAATTTAGTATTTGCGAAGATTACTTGATGAGAATCAACAATCTATCAAGTGATTTAATATTTCAAGGTTAGATTATAAAAATACCAAAGAGAATTTAGAAGACATATTCTGTTATTCCAGATCAAGAATAAATATAAAAAATAGAGTATTTATGGGATCCTGACACTATTTCTTAGAAATGTAATGTGAATCTTATTATTATTAGTTCTAGTTATATATTGTAACAATAAATAAAATGTAGAAGGATAATTAACTCTTACATCTGATTTAGTTCTTTTTAATCCTCTTTAATTAGATCATTTAGAAAATAATCAAAAAAAGATAAGATTATAAGCATGTATCTCAATGAGAGATATTAATGAGGCTGTTTATTATATTTTACCCCATTAAAATGGACATATGGATTATGTTGTTTAAATTTTATTATCTGGAATAGGAAATCCAAAATTTGAAAAAAAATATAGAAAATAATTGGATAGGTATAAAAAATAGAAAAAAAGTATAGCAACAGTGTTTTTTAGAGTAAAAAATAAACTATTCTATATTAGCATTCTGAAAGAGATCATACTGGCAAATTATATTCTGAGGAAATCAAAAAAGAAAATTGTATAACAATGGCCAGATTTATCACAGAAGCATGTTCAAATTATACAGAAATCGTTGAATTAACTAAATTACCATTTATAGATTTAATTTAAGATACAAAAAAATAATAGAATTTAGATGTAGATGTTGAAGAAATTTAAGATGTTATTGGTGAACGTATGGGAAGTATAATTTATAAATTATATTAGAATTATGGGCTAGTTTGGAATATGTACCTCTTTTGAAAGGGAATTCAAATTGTTTTACTGATACTACATATAAATAAGTTATTGAATCTATCCCTGCCATATATAGATTGGCTAATTGGAATAAACTTTATGATATTGATATTCAAGGATCTAGTTATCATAATTTGCTTTAAGAAATTAGATACATATTTCCCATTCTATTAATTATTAAAGATTTTGATCTCAATGTATTTGGAGCTTATATTTCAAGTGAAATAAACAAATATTCTAATGGTTTCAAAGGCAATGGTGAAACTTTTTTATTTAATTTAGATTCTGAAGTAAAATTTAATTTTTCATGATTTTTAGAAAAGCGAAATTTTAACTTATTTTTGGACTGAAAAGAATGAAGATTTTGTATTCTGTGATGAATCTGGAATTGGGATTGGATGTGGAGATAAATTTGGAATTTTCATAGATTAAAATCTTATATTTGGATATTGTAATCCTTGTTCCACTTTTGATAATCCAAGATTTACTACATCAGAGAAATTTAGGATTAAACATTTAGAAATTTGGACTATTGAGCAATAATGAAAAAAAATACTTTTTATTAGAATATAATATTTTTCTTAACTCATTCATTTATATTTTAATTTATATCTGTTTACTGATTTAACAATATACTTTTACAATTTTCTTGCACTATAGCAAAATTTAATTTTACAGGTAATACTTGCTAATCTTGTATAAATTATATGGTGTTTAATGGTACTTTATATAATATATGAATTTATTATTCACTATATATATTACAAAACACTAGGTAAATTTTATTAAATTCTCTTCTAATGATATTATTTAGGTTTTTTGTCATATTATCTTCTTAAATTTAAGAACTCATTTCATTAGTTGTATCATTTATTAATTATGTTCTAATCTTTTAATTTAACTAGAAAACTTCAAATCAAGATTGAATCCCCATCACTGTGCGAAACTCCAAGAGCAATTTTTCATTCAGAAAGAAATATTATGATTCCATCCCTATTTCAAAAACTTAAACTAAAGCCTATCTAAGACTTTTAAATACAAACTTAAACCAACAATAATTAAAAGAAATCCTCATTAAGAAATAGCACTTTATTTACTTATAGAGAGTAGGTTGATTTGCTGAACTAAAAGCAATAAAAACCAAATAAGAAGTAGGTTAGTTTTAGTGATAAAATATTAATTATATAAGCAAAGAAGGGTGTCATGATTAGAGAAAGAATGTCAGAATAATGTGAATAAATAAATGTGATCCGAACTAGAAAAAGAAAAAACTGTATATTAATTCATAACCAGATAAAAACATTGAAAACTTGTTAATCTACTTTCATTGATTATCTTTGACTCTTATAATAATATTTTTGAAGGTAGATATAAATATTAATTTTATTAAAAAATAAATGGCTCAAGATTAGAGATCTCCTTTTGAATTGAGAATATGGCATTTCTACACAGAAGAAGAGAAGTCAATAACATTACTCAATGCATACAAACAAAGAGTATTGTTTTCAGAAGATATAAAATCTTTTCTTTTAAAGGATAGATTAAATACATGGTCTTATTGGGGATTCCCTGCTGCATGTTATGCATTGTTCCACTATACTGGAGCATTATAACCATATATTGCAACAAAATACTCAGTAGGTGCCTAAAGATTGATTCCTGCAGCTATAAGTGGGTTACTTTGGTTGGGTTGGGTTCATTTCAATCCATTTTACACAACTTTATAAAGGTATGAAAATGTTGAAATATTATAATAGTGAAAAGTTGAATTTGTTAAATTTGATAGAGAGAAGAGTAGGTCTTAATATGAAAGCACTTAATGAGTAAGTACCTCGTACTTGGACAGCATAAGAGATTCATAGATAAATGAGAGAAGCTTATAACAATAGACATGGATTCTTTACAAATATATTATATCCAAGTGAGGAAAGAGCCTCTCCATTATAGGATATTTCATCATATCCATTCAAATATAGAAGAGATAGAATTGTTAAATGATAAATTACAATATATCATTTAGAAATAAAATCATATTATATTCCATTATCATAATACAGGTTCTTTGTATATAGAATAAGAAAGCAAAAAAACAAGTATTTTAGATAATAAATATAAGTATTTAATAACATACTTATTATAATTGGATTGTCATGCATATTCATTTTTTAATTTAAGTTTCTATTCAGTTTATGATAATAAGTTGAATTCTTTTTGATTATTTCTCAAAGTTTATAATTTTCTCGCTTTCTCTCTTTCTTAAATAATTAATTACTTTCTATTATGCTAAATAAATTAATAACGATTAACTACTTCATTATATTGTGCCCACATCTTATCATCTTCTTTTTCTTATTATCTTTTTTGTTCATTAAATTCTCTCTATTTAGCTTAATCATTTCTAATATCTTATCTCTATTAATCTGACATACCCTTATAATGATAAGGTATAACTCTATGAGGAGCTAAAGCACTTTAACAGGTAGCAGTACTAAAATAATTATTTAGATTTACTTTTCTGTCCAAACATCATTATTCATGATTTCTTCCATATGTTATTTCTTTTCAAGTTAAGCCTATCTAGCCATATATTCTTCTCTATCTTATTTTTCTTTTGCTAATTAATTATTAATTTGTTAATTAGCAATTTCCATTTCTATTCTTCTCTTCTGTTGTTCTTATTCCAACTCTTTCAAACTTTGATTTATTTATAATGTCTATTGATCATATTATTATTGTATTTGTTTATTCAATTGTTTTTTTTATTGATTCTCTTGTGTTTATTATTACACCCAGTCTTTCATTTACAGTTACTATAATTTTCTTCTATCTCCAGCAGCTAATAGCTTATAATTCTAAGCAAATACTTAAATCTTCTCCATCCAACATTTTTAAATTAGAAACCCCAACTTAGTTTTTCATCTATCCATGATTATAAGTTGGATTTTGATAATGACTCATTAAATTTAATATACTTTATATTTTCATATTCAAACATTATATACTCCAATTACAATAGCATGATCTCTTTCATATGGTTCCAAAGTGAGTTATTCTTAAGGTGTTAATCCTTCATCCTAAAAAATACTCAAAAATAAAAACAACCTTTAATCTTTAAACTTCATGTTAAAATACAACTTCAGCACGATTAGTGGAATCAATACAATTAGCTTTAATAGATATCATAAAATGTCCTCCTTTTTTAAGGAAATATTATGAATTTAATCCAACAATTCTAGCTTAATCAGGTTAAGCAACATCTGCAAATACTACATCTACCATTCCAACAAGCATTCTGTATTCTAATGGTTTTCTTGCATCAGCTATTATTGGTACTATGTTTGTTCTTTTCTTTGCCATATTTACTAAATCTCTTCCTGATCTATGAGAAAATTCAACTGCATATACCACTCCTTAAATAATATTATTTTTATAATACCTTCTGTTCCTACTATATCTGATACATGAGAAACTGTTGTTCCTGATGCAGCACCCAAATATAATACTTTAGCCCCTGGTTTTATAAAAATATCGCTAACACCACCAATAATACCGGCAGCAATCTTTGATCTAAATGGATTCCAAACTCTATATTCTACTTTCTCTCCTGTTTATTTATCTTCCACAGATATTCTTTTTTCATTATATACTGATTCTCCTGGTACCATATTCTTAGTAACTAAAGCTTCTTATTATCCTTTAGCTACAAAAACTCCAGCCAATCTTGGATGTGGAACTACAAAAGCTTTTGGTGCTCCTCCCATTCGACCTCCTCTACCTCCTCTAACACCTCCTCTACCTCTTGGTGCTCCTCTACCTCGATCTCCTCCTCGACCACCTCTTGCATCACCTCTTCCACCTCTGAAATCTCTACCCATAAATTATATTTTTAATATATTTAATTATTTTTTTCTATTTAAACTTTGTCATCTTATTTATTATTCTTATTATTTTTTTCAAATCATTTATTATATTATTTTTTACCATTGTTTCTATATTTGTTTTAATATTTCATTCAATATTTTCATATCTAGAAACTTTATCTATTATTACACAATTACAAAAATTATAGAGTTTATTTCTACTTTTTTATATTTCTATATCTTTAAACAAATTTCATCTATTTTTTTACAATAAAATATGTTATTAAATTATTTTTAAGAATCCATTTTATAATAGGACCTATTTTTAATAACTCTATTAATTCAAATTTAAGTAATACTTAATTTTTGATTAATTTATTATTTATTTATGCTTTCATAATTATTAAATTCTTTTTAAATTTCATATTTTCATTATTAAAATTAAGGACATCCAATACTTCCAATAATCAAATAGAATATTCTAGTAATCAAATTATTTTAGATAATAATAATTTTAAACTCAATATCTTTGAATAAGTTAGAAAGCTTACAAAACCTAAATTTAAAGAGTATTAATTAATCTATATCAGGGAATCATACAGATTTAGACAAAAATTTTGACAAGAATTCTTTATATTAGATTTATTAGATATTATATTGAAATATTTAATAATGCAGAATCAACTCTAGTCAAACAATCTTCATATTTTTAACAATAAATACTAAAAGTATAAAATTTTGTTTTCTGAAGGCAAAAAAAATATATAAAAATATTTTTCAGAATGATCATCAAATACCTTATAAGTTTGATGAATTGTTAGAAATAAAAAAGAAATTTAGAAAAATTATTTGATTAAATTGAGATAGATAGAAATTGAAACTTAGATATTATTGAAATTGTTTTGCAAATTTTTATTATGGAAGCCTTTGAAAGATAATTTTGGGTTTAATTTAAAATTTAATCAGCTATTAAGGAAAAAAATTTTATTCCTTCTTATTTTACTTAATATTAAAACATTGACGAAAGATAAATTCGAAGTATTTTAATAAAAACCTATTTATTGGAGAAATTATAGAGATAACAATTTAATCTTTTTATTAATCTGTATAATAAATATTCAGATTTTCTCAAATTTATGCAAACTCTTCTAATTATTAATCACCCTGCCACTTAATAATAAATGAAAATTCTTCCATTGAACTCCCAATCTTGATTGGAGGTAAAGCATGATCATTTATAACCAATTAAAGTTAACATTTATCAGAATCTACCCTTATACTTAATTTATCCTCAAGTTAGAGGTTATGAGAGATCATTTATCCACATTCATCCTCTCCTCTTAATAAAATACCTTTTGGTAAAGCTAATAAATAAGATTTACTTTTCTTTTGTAAATTACTCAAGTCATCATCTTAAATAATACCTAATGCGAAATCTGTTTCATCATCTTATATGGTTAATTCTAATTCATAACATCCTTTAAGCTTCTCAGACTTATAAATATTGTTATTATCAAAATAACTCGGACTTAAATTATTAATTTTTTGATATTATTTAGGTTATTGATCTTTTTCTAATTTTTATATTTTATTCCAAATTTGAGCAAATTATTAATTTTATTGCTATAATTAAAATTCTAATTATTGTAATTTTTAATTTTATTCTAATTTTTATATTTTACTATAGATATCATCAAGTTTAGAATTTAATTATTTTTATTATTCTTGTAATTATTCTAATTTTGATATCTTACTATAAATTTCATCAAATTTTTTATTTTATTAAATTTTTTTAATCTTTTTTTTGTCTGCTTCATTCTATTCAATTAAAGGAAGAGGAACCTTTATAGGAATATCAATTTATCTCCTTCCTATAAATGTTTTCAATGTTAACATTAATTTAGCTTCTTTTTAATTAATTTCTAAATACACTGCATTTGTCTTATCAAAAATTTTTTAAATGTTTTCAGTTATCATTTAGAACATATCATCAATTTACATAATATTATTAGATTACTAAGCTAATTCTTTTTCTGTAATTTATCCTTTATATTCATTAAAATTTTCATGATTACTTACCTTAATGATTAATACTTTTTCATCATTTTGATTCTATTATTATTTTATTTTATTTATAATTTCATCTGCTTTTTATTAGAATGGAAACCATTATTTTTCGGCTTGATCAAAATATAAATATTAACCACTATTTTAATCTTAGTAAACAATCAATTCTTCTTTATTTGTAAATATTGCTCTAGCTCCAACGCCAGGGCCATATCCAAGATCCTCGTTTTACCCGATATTAATTATTTAATATGGAGATTATTGATTTATCTAATCTTGATTTTATGGCACACCTGTAATCAATTTAATATTTCATACCTTTTTAAATACTCCATGTGATTTCTATTTGATCCTCATCGAACTTATGTGATTGAGTGTCAATTATTTCTTATTGCATTCCAATTTCTATTAAATTTATTATTGAAGTTTATGTCATACATTAATTGTTAAATACTAAAAAATTAATAGAATTACAAATAAAAGAATAATTGGTTTTAACAATAAGAATAAAATTTTGTACTTTTTTTATCTCTTGAGTAAATATAATGTAAATTGTTTGATATAAATTAGAATATCATTTGACCAATTTTTTTTCGATTTATAACATTTGAATATTCATACAAATCTATAATTTGGAATGAGATTTGATTTCTATCTTGTTTATGTTATATTATCCTTTCTTTGTTTTTTAAATCAAGGAAAATTAATAAGATTGAATTAGAAAACAATTATGAAAAATTGATGAGAATAAATTCAAAAATTACAGCAATTAAATGTTATTTAAATTTACCATATATATTATGTCAGAACAACATCTAGAAATTTAAAAAATAACAATCAACGCTCTAAAAAGAAACAAGCAATACTAAATTATTTTATTGTTTTTTATTCAAAATAATAATATTAGAGAATGTAAAATCAACATAGAAAAATCTTTAATGCATTTATAATGGACCATCTTGTTCTGTTCAATTGATTTTAATAATTTAAACAAAAACCAAACTTACATCCTTATCAAATTGGATAATTATAGAGAGAACTATTATGTATTATGATCCATAATCTTACATAAACAACTAATATTTGATAAAAATCAGAAGAATTAAATTTTTGCATTTCATAGTCTGAATGGATACAATAATAAAATAAGAGAGACTTGTGACTACATTATTTAAGCTTATGAAAAATCTATTTAGGTATTAATCAAAACTACAACTCATTATTGACTTTAGAAATTGTTTGATTTATAAATAGATTTTAATTATAATAAAATCAACTGCATCCGCAATGTAGAATTACTTTCAAGTTTATTTCTAAATATTTTTAAATTGTTAGAAAACTTTGTTTAAAAAATAATTGCATATTATTTAATAAAAATATCACATTAAGATCTAATAATGTAAAATTTGTTAATTAATTTTGGTTTTGATATTTATTATAAATGTATTTTTAATGTGGATGTTAAAGTAAGAAGTGAATTCAATTTAATTTATTTTTGACTTAAATTTCAATGAATTCAATTATTTATTATTTATTTTATATGGGATAACTATTTTTTTCTACCTCAAAAAGTTAAAAACAATAGAATGTAGTTCTTTAAAAATAATTTAAAGAAATTACTGACTCTAGCCAACCATGTGTTTTTATTTCAACCCATAGGCCATAGCAATCTTAAGGAGAAACTAATCACTAGGATTTTTCATGTTCGTTAATTAGTTAAGAAATAGATTTACAAATTGATAAAGAGGTATGCTAAAATAATTAAATTGTTTCTTTCTTTTAATCTGCTGAACAAATTTAAGTTGATGCTAGCGGAAGATTAGTTAGAAGCCAATAAAATTTAAATCAAATTTATTAATGCTATTATTGTAATAAACAAATTGAAGAAATACTTATTCAAGTGTATTGTAAGCATAATTATCATCATGAATGTTTTGTAAACTTCATAGAACAGTAATTGCTTTAAACAGACAGACATGATATTAAATGTAAATGTGGAACTAAATTGAATCCTAATCTTTTAAGATAAATAGTTAACGAAGAAGTTAGATCAAAATTCTTATATAAAATTTTCTCTTCTTAAATTTAAATAATTTTGAGTAATTCAGCCATTAGAAAAAAACCTGATTATGATTAAATTGTTCAAATCTTTCAATCAAATAAAATTTAATAGGATTTTGATTATTTATAATCTGGCAACCTTCATAAATAATTGTAACTTTAAATATAAGAAATGTAATTTAAATCAAATGGAATTTTATATTAATGTGAATAACAATTATTAAGTATTAGCGTATGTTAAGTATGTTAAAAGTAAATTGATAATAATTTAGTAAAAGTAAATTGTAATCATTTTTATCATGATAACTGCTTTAAGGAATGGATAGAATCTTAAATTATGGATAGGACTAGACATATTGTAAAATGTAAATGTGGAAGCAAATTAAGCACAAACATTATAAGAACAATCCCCAATCTGCCTAAACGAATGAAACTGCTAAACCAACTTTATTCTACATAGTTAACATAGATTTTGAAATAATTAAAGAGAAAAGATGATTTCATTTAGATTATGGATATATTTCATAAATATTAGAATACAGAGGACTAAGATTATATATCCTTTAGTGGTTTTATGTATTAGAGCCATTCTTCTACACCAGGAGGAGAATGAAAATTTATGATTTTTATTTTAAAATAATATTAAGTTATCATTAAATTACATTCATCTTAATTTATTATAGAAATATATCATTTAGATATAATTATAAATTATAAAATGTTTTTTAATTTAATTTCAATAATCATAATTGTCAATCAGAAGAAAATTTTGAGATATTCCTAATATAAACAGTTAATTTGATGCATAATATTCAATTTAATTCAACTAAGATTGATTTTGTTTAAGTTTTTAATACTTATTCTATAGTCTACTAAATTTGTTTTTAGTTTAAAAGAAAGAAATTAAATAATAAATTTAATAGAAATTGGAATGAAATAAGAAATAATTGACACTCAATCACATAAGTTCGATGAGAAACAAATAGAAATCACATGGAGTATTTAAAAAGGTATGAAATATAAAATTGATTACAGGTGTGCCATAAAATCAAGATTAGATAAATCAATAATCTCCATATTAAATAGTTAATGCCGGATAAAACGAGAATTATGGATGGGGCCCTGGCATTGGAGCTAGAGCAATATTTATAAATTAAGAAGAAGTCATTGTTTGCTAAGATTAAAATAGTGGTGGTTAATATTTATATTTTGATCAAGTCTAATAATAATGGCTTCCATTCTAATAAAAAGCAGATGAAATTATAAATAAAATAAAATAATAATAGAATCAAAATGATGAAAAAGTATTAATCATTGAGGTAAGTAATCATGAAAATTTTAATGAATATAAAGGATAAATTACAGAAAAAGAATTAGCTTAGTAATCTAATAATATTATGTAATTTGATGATATGTTCTTAATGATAACTGAAAACATTTAAAAAATTTTTGATAAGACAAATGCAGTGTATTTAGAAATTAATTAAAAAGAAGCTAAATTAATGATAACATTGAAAACAAAAATAGGAAGGAGATAAATTGATATTCCTATAAAGGTTCCTCTTTCTTTAATTGAATAGAATGAAGCAGACAAAAAAAAGATTAAAAAAATTTAATAAAATAAAAAATTTGATGAAATTTATAGTAAAATATCAAAATTAGAATAATTAGAAGAATAATAGAAATAATTAAATTCTAAACTTGATGATATCTATAGTAAAATATAAAAATTAGAATAATTAGAAGAATAATAAAAAAGGAATTTCGAAGACATATTAATTTTAAAAAATTAACTTAAATAATAATAATAATTATATTAAAAACTTTCAATTTAACATTTGAAATAGTAAATAAATTAAAATAGTAACATTTACATGTCTCAAAAAATTGAAGGATGCTATGAATTTGAATTTTTCATTGCGGATGATGAAATCGAATTTGATGTTGGTATTATAGCAGATGATAATTTGGAAAATTTATAAAATAAGATCAAATCTTATTTTATTCAATTACCATATGGCAATTTAGTAAAAGGAAATTAAATTTATGGATATATGATTACTCATATATTCTAAGTTGATGATAAATTAGCTATTAGAGTAGATTCTAAAAAACATGAACTTTAATTGATTATAAATGACCATGTTTCAGCTCCATTAAAGATTCATAATTCAATAAAAGAATTTTCATTTATAATTAAAAGTTAAGAACCCTTAGAAAAATTCATTTCTGAACATAATTAAGTCTGAATTTATCTTTTATTAAATAGTAAAAACTAAACTTCATTTCACCTTTACAATTCTTTAGAAATATAAAAATTATCTAAATCTTTTTATTTTAGATCTTTAAAGCTAAGTTTTGTAATTGTTAATTTTACCTCTTAATATTATTTTATATTGCTGCTATTGTATAAAAATATTTTATTGTGTTATTTCTTCAACTCTTAGACATAATATATATACAGCAAGTAAGGTAAATTCTACAATAGCTAAACCCTTTGTAAAAGTAATTAATAAGTTGTAAAATTTTGGATTTTTATAATTAATTTATAATAAGAATAAAGGAATGAAATCAATTAACAGAGTTTTTTTAATAAGCAGGCTGTGAATTTGACTCTATATTTTTATAATTATCTAAATTTGATAATGAAAGTAACTTACAAAAACTAATGCAATAAATTAATTCTTAAATTTTTAATATTTAGAAAATTAACCCTTAGCTTTAAAGATTTTTATCCAATTTTAGTAGTTTATCTTTCTAAAGGTTCTTGATATTCATGAATTAATACTTATTATTTTCTATAAGATTTAATGACTAATATTTTATTAATCGCGTTTTTATTTTACAGAATGTTATGATTATTCTTCAAACTCTTTTTATTTTTTAGTTTTTATTCTTATTAAAATTGAATCTCAAGAAAATCTTAAAATTGTTTTGAAATAAAAGATTCTTATAAGTAATAATTTTACACAATCTCCTAGTTTATAATTGCATATAATTATTTGAAAAAATAAATAAATTTTATAATATATTAGAATTAAGTTCAGGAGAAAGCAAAGAAAATATTTAAAGAAGAATAATAATTTTTAGATATATTAGAGAGAGTTCTAATGGAATAAATTGGAGAGTCATTAAATATTTAATTATGCAAAATTTGATTCTTAAAAGAGTTTGCAGATTTGAATGAAAAGAAAATCTTGTAAAGAATAAAGAGGAAAGTTATAAAGGAATAGAATAAAGGAGTGTAAAAAAGAAAATGGATTGTTAAAATAGTTATATTGAGGATTGAAATTGATATATAAATTTAATTATGTTATAGAGATTGTCTACAGTAATAAGAAGACCAATGTTCTGGCATGGTACACACCATCATGATAGTAATGATGCTACAAAGAGATTGTTTGACACAGTTTCAAGTACAGTGAAAGGAATTTAACAAATAAATTATGTGGTGGAACATGATCCAAAACTTACAGCTGAAGAGAAGTCTAAAATGAAGCAATTCTTGATTTATAGATATGATCCAGCTGTAATAATAGGTATATAGATTTTAGGATGAGAATGACTTTCCAAAATATGTGAGTTACTATGTGGACTTGAAGAAGATACCCCCTATGTATTTGGATGCATTATTGTACATCAAAGATAATTACGATTCATCTCTTTCTCTCCGTCGTTCATGCAGAGAGGGTATTTGTGGGTCATGTTCAATGAACTGTAATGGTCTACATAAGTTGGCATGCATTCATGCAATTGATACTGATTTAACATAGCCAGCATACATCACACCTTTAGGTCACATGTTTGTTGTTAAAGATCTTGTAGTTGACATGACTAATTTCTACACTTAATATAAGACTATTGATCCATATTTGAAAAGAAAGACCCCTAAAGAAGGAAACAAAGAATATATTTAATCAGTTGAAGATAGAAAATTATTAGATGGTCTTTATGAATGTGTCTTATGTGCATGTTGTTCTACATCTTGTCCATCATATTGGTGGCATCCAGATAGATATCTTGGTCCAGCTGTACTTATGTAAGCATACAGATGGATTGTTGATTCTAGAGATGAATATACAGATGAAAGATTAGAAAAATTAGGTATTTCTTACTTTCTTACATCTAGCTGAGGATGTTAAGGTTGAAGATTGTTAAAATATTGGTATGTGCTCATTTACATGCCCTAAAGGACTAGATCCATAAAAATCTATGAATCATTTAATGAAGTTGATTGAAGAATATAAAGAAAGAAAGATTGCATCTGCCACATTATGACATTATCATAACATAAATAATAATATCATTAAATTGACTCTTTTATTTTTTAATCATTCATTTTTTTATCTTAATTTCAAGCAATTTAAATTTAATATTAGCTAACTTTTATTCTATTAATTAGAAGGCAGAATCACATTCATTAATAAACTACTGAATAAATACCAACTTATCTCAAAATAGCATAATAAAGCTAATGACACCTTATACCCTTATCAGTGTTAAAATAAAGGGATTATTAAGAATATCATCCAAAACATTAGTCATTAATATATCAATGCTATTAAATCAATATTCCTTAATGTAATATCAGATTTTATTTGCTTTATGAGAATTAGTTCAATTCTTACTATATCCTCTATTCTAAAAAATAAATATAGGAGTTTTGATTTTAAGTTTGAAAATTTAAAATGCACTTCATCAAAAAAGATTGCAAAATTTTAGCTTTTTTATTGTAGAAATTTTTATTTTCTTTACAATAATCATTCTAAATTGATATTATTTGATAATGCTACATTCAAATTTATTGAAATATTTTTTAATAATCTATTCAGAAGATAAAATAATTTAATTTTTAGAAAATATCTTTAATTTTTCTAGTGATATAAAAGAAATTATTATATAAGATCACATAAACTATCTTATTGAATATAAATCACTATTATAATTATTATTGTTATTGTTATTCTGGTTCTTCTTCAGGTGGTATTTACTCAATAAATGGACAAATTTCCTGCCAAATTCTGATCATTCCATTGGAACCTAAATATGAAACTTATTAATTTACTTGCTGTAATCAATAATCTACCAACAATAAAGACTCCTCTAATTTCTTCTTTAGTTAAATCAAATGTCTTGATTAGCAATCCTTTATCAATATTCCAAATGCTTAATCTGCCATCAGAACCTCCAGTTATAAGATGTTTACAATATAATAAACTACACAATATTGATCCTGTATGCCCATCCTTTAATGTTCTAAATAATATAATCATTGAATGAATTACTTTAATTTAGTTCCTTGTTCCACATTCATCAAATCACTTACTTTATCCATTCCTCCAACAAACAATTGATTATTACTAATCATGTATAAATGTTAAACTTTAACTGTATTTACTGTTCTTAGAGTTTTCAATAATATTTTCGGGCCTGTTTTTTCCTAATTATAGAATATATCAATAATACTCTTTTATATGTTTTAACTCTGCCATCTGGGAATCCTGCTGCAAATACATCTTTATTATAAGTTACTAATGATATCACAAAAGTTCTATCGACTGGTTCAACATGTTCTAATGCACTTGAAACAAAATTGACTAAATGAATCTTTCTATCTTCAGATGCTGTCACTATACTACCATCTACATAAACAATAGAATAAACTCCTTTTTCATGATGTTTGAATTTGATATCCATTTACCATATTCCATCATGCTATTTCCATCCCATTACTGTACCTTCTTTATTTCCTGCCAAAAGCATTCCATTATGAACATAAATACTTAATATCTCAGCTTCATGGTATAATACTTTATTGATTCCAAATGTTTAAGCATTCCAAATAATTACTTATTTATCTTCTCCTGCTGTGACAAATTCATCTTTATTAAGAAAGACTATTTGATTGATTTTACCCTCATGTTTACTCATTTCTAAACTTGGAAATTTACCAACTATTTAAGAATCAGTATAAAGTGAAGTAGATTTCAATGTTTCTACATTTGGAATAAGAGTTCCAATAAGCCAATGATATGCTTATTTCCTACTGATAGGAATTTATTATGGAAAATTGAGTACTTAAAATCCATGAGAGGAAATAAAATATATTTTAGGTTATTTTGACCTAATTAATTCTGTATTTTAAAGATAAGCTCCTAATCTCCATAGTCCTTATTATTATGCTTAATCAATTTCCATATAAAAATAGGTATCTTCTCTTTCGAATTTAATATGTTTATTGGAATCTTTAATGATTTCTCCATTTTCCTTAATAACATAAATACTAAAGTTTTCTTTGGCTATTTTTGCATCCACTAATAAATATTATCTATCAATAGGTATCAATTTATGTGGGAATTCTGTATCCATTAAAAAATTGCTAATATCAGGAAACAAACGATCTTATAAAGACCATACAACCATTTTACCTTGATTAGTAAATGTAAGTAATCTTTTTTCATAACTGACACATTCTCCTGAATACAACATAACAGGAGATTAAAAATATTTTTGATTAGTGATTTTGAGTTCATTGACTGTTTCTGGAGAATGAATAAAACTTATATGACTACCTTAAACAATGAGAACACCATCTTCATTTTATAAAACACAATTAACTTATTGATCAGAATGAAGACTGATATTGGGACCTCTTTCAAGAGCATCTATACTTAAAGTGTGTAATACACCATCAAGACCTCCAAAAATTAAATATCGTTGATCCAAAGAAATAATTTATAGGATTGGTTACCCACCAATTAAATAACCTTTTATTAACACTTATTTAATGAGTGTTCCACTTAATGGTTTATCTAATGATTTTTCAATTTTATAAATAAAAATAGATTTATTACTATCACACAAGAATGCAATTTAATCATTAGTGATAGATACCAATTTATTAATTGGATCAAGAGTTTATGTTGAAGATTCAACATCAATAATTGCATCAATAGATAAAATTAATTATCTTAAATCTACTTTTACTAAAACCAATTAGCCATCAATTGTACCCAAAGCCAATCCTTCAGCTCCTACTTTACACATAGAATTAGCTTTTTTATTTATATTTAATGTAGATTAAATTATAAATTATTGTGTTTCATCATCCTTCTTCAACCAAACTATTTAACTAGAATTATCAGATAACATAACATTATCATCATCCCATATTATAATTGTATTGACATGATCAGAAAATACATTATTTATTGTATTATCAATTAAATAACTATCTAGATTCCAAATACTGACACTACCATTTTAATTAGCAGCAACAATCAAATTTGGTGATTAAAATGCACATTAAGCAACTTAATAATCTTTTTATGATTTTGTTAAATTTGGATAAGTTTTTAATTAAGCTGTGTTAATTATTTAATTTACAACATCAAATGCCTCATATGGTTCTTTTAATGAACCTAAGATCCAGAAATAAGGAAATATTGTGCCTTATTCTTAAGGTAATTGAGGCAATTAATATTTTTAGATTTTATTAGGAGTAAGGACATACATTTCTTCTATAGTGTCCATCTTTAATTTTGGAAGACAGGCTACTAATTGTAAGATATCCCTCTTATTTTGTAGATTCGAAAAAGATATGAGTTAGATTCCATCTTTTGGATTTTAATACTACTCAATATCTGAGTCTTATTAAATGACTTGCTTATCTAAAAATTAAAAGTGGACGAATTACTTTCCAAAATTATATAAAAATTTAAGAAGCCTTCATTAGGTTTATTAACTAGTAATACGACCAATTAAGATTGTTAAGGCTTACGAATTATATGATAGTAATTCATTGAATGTGAAGATAAAGGATGCAAATCGTTGATTTCTTTAATTTCATCATAATATTCAATATGTTGTATAACAATTTTGCCTTTAATTACTAATATATAATAATAAATGTAAAAATACTTTTATTTTATAATAATGCTTTACAAATACCATTTTCATTAGAACGATAGCTATATAATTTATTATTTGATTCATCATGAACTTTGATATAAACATTTGGTACAGGAATTTTGCTTACCAAATCTATAAATTGAAATTATATAAGATTAATTTATTTTTAAAGTGTCGATGGAGGTTATAAATATTTAGGTTTCTTAATTTTTAAATCACTTGATGGTTTAATTGCATGTTTTTTATCGAGTGCATCTTATACAGGATCATATCCCTCTTCTTATGTTCTTGATTTAATCAATTTATATTTAAATTCACACACTCCAGATTTGGTTGTTATTTAATCTTTATATACTAAATATCCTATTTTCTTAACAAATATCTGAAATTGATCAGGTTCAACAACGATTTCATATTTTCCACTTCCTGCTGGAGATTCTTTTAAAGTAGCATCTTTGCCTCCTCTTAATGGTACTATTTCTACTTTACATTCTGTTACAGATGCCAATTCACAAAGTACACTTACAACTATACAAGAATGTGTTTGTTTTTACAATTCAATTACTTGATCTAAAGGTTAATCTTCAGAATTCAATTAAAATAAATTTATATGCTATTGCCATATAATTAAATCTTACTTAAGTTTTACTTAAAAAATCATTGGTTTCTTCAATAATGACTTCATAAACATCTAAAGGTACATTTTTTAAACATATTCTACCATCTTAATTAGTTCTCTCTATTTTGTAAGTAGGATTCTCTTCTGCCTCTTTTAAACTTCTTTAAGATTGTCCTGATATATTTGAATATGCTGACTTAGGTCTTACCTGTGCACTTTATGGACGCAACATTCTATTTGACCTAGATGTCACTTCATTTTATATATAGTTTTCTTACACATTATGCTTGAAGATCTTTATTGAACAGGTCGATATGGTTAGATTTTTACATCAATATTCTTTAATTTCTAATCAGAGTCTGCAAATTTCAAATCTATATTGAATGAAACCTTCTTAAAATATTAAGGCAACTTATTTATTATCACTTAAGTCTATGGCCAAGCCTTAGTATTAAGTTTAGATCCAATAACTGCCTATTTTATTTATCCTTTCTACTTTGACATCACTTAAACCTCAAAACATCCTATTCATGTTACGTTTATATACATATACCTAATCTACGCTACAAAAACATCGTATCTATACTATGATCTAAATGATCATAGATTAATGGTTTCAGAATCACTTTCACTATTGGAAATCTCTGCAATATCTCATTCTTAAGGGCTTATGCATATTATAAGTATCGTCCTTCATCATGTTTTGTTGACCCCATATGTTCATGACAATTCGTACTGCAATTTATTCACTCTCTTACCAATATTCTATTGTTACTATAACATCTTCCTCTGATATATCTTTAAACTCTCTAAATTCTCTAAAACCTTGATGTTACTCACTCTTATTGTGAATCTCTTCATTCTTTTCCCACAACTCTTAAAATGTTCGTAACTTCTTAATCTTCACATTCGTGTACGACAGTCCTGCATCCGAGTGTTCATACTTTATCATCCGACTACACTTTATAACATTTTCATATCTACTCATAACGGAATATTCCCAAAGAAATCCACGGTTTCTCATGTATATCTCTATCAAAATGATTATCACATAGTCTATTCACTAAATCCTTATTACCTTGACATCACCATTAATGATTAATTCTATATAAACTTCTTTGATCTCTTTGTTGGTTATGAAAGTTACGATAATCTGTCCGATTCATAGTATCTCTACATTAATTTGTATTTATATATATTAATAGATAATAATAAGTTTCAAAAAGAATGGCGTTTATAATGAGGATTTTATAATTCTTCTTAATCATCTTGTTCTTCATCATCTTCATCTTCATAATCCATACCTTAAAAATTCTAAAATCCTCCCATTTACTAAATTTATTCCATTTATTCTTCTGTTAATCCATATTATTTAGCTAAAATTCTTATATGAAAATATACCTATAGCATCTTTTTATAGTTTTTCAAGTAATTAAGGATCTAAATTATCAATGTCAATTTAATCATCATAATCTCCATCAATTTCTTATCCATCATATTCTCTTAATGACTATTCTGCCTATTCTCCAACTTAATCTACACCTTCTGGATCTTATTATGATATTCTTTCTGATTCTTCTACATCTTACTCTCCAATAGGATTCATATAGTCAAATTATTCTTATTACTCTTATTCTTCTTAAGGTTATTATTGACTTTTGGCTGCTTCAACTTCCATCAATAAAGGCCTTTGATATACTCTTACAAAGATCTCTTTCATCATATTATTAAAATCTTCCTCTTCTTGTCTTCTCCTTTAAAATTGTTCAATAAATTTTTATTATTATCTTTCATATTGTATTTAATTATGATCTTATATAGCCCATGATTAATGTACTCTAGGCCTAAATAATTATTTTTTATCTTCTCTTTATTTTTACTCCTCGTCATTTTATTAATCAAGAACAAGTTGATTCTATTTCATTGTATATATATAATCGACATAAGCATTAAATTTATTAGTTGATCTAGGCTAGATTTTTGGTTTCTTTGATGTTGCTTTCTTAGCCTTTTTTAAGGGATCTTCTTTTATTATTGATTTTTCATCCAAATAATCTCTTTAAGCTTTCTTTTTACTTTCATGAAATATAGGACCAACAGGATTAGTAGTTTTAAATTTCTTTTTTTTTTTTTCTAATTATTTTTACAATTAATCATGTAATTTATTAAAATTAGGAATTTATTTAGCTCTTACAGTTTTTGGAGAACTTAATAATAATTCTTATTATTTTTCTAATTCTTTTAATTTCATTTTATCAATCCATTCCTACATTCTTGGTGGTAATTTTGAATTTTCTTATAACCAATATTTTCTAATTTTTTTTCTATTATCACTTTTAATTTTTTATTCTTAAATATTTCTTTCATATAATTTTAAAGAGCAATACCAAGGAATAGGATTAGCTCTAAATTTATATGGTTCTTCTTCATCTTCTGGTAATTTGATAGGTTAATCCCTTTTTCTATCATCAAAATTAAAAGGTTTTTATATAGATTAAGTTTTTTCTTTGCATCTTTCTTTTAATTCTCTTCTTCTTATTTCTTCTCTCTCTAACAATTCATTATAATAATTCTTATCCTTTACCTTATATGGTATAACTTTAGCTTTAAATGGTCTAAATTTATAAGCTTCTTCAATTTCTTCTTATTTTTATCTCACTTATTCCATTACCCATTTTTCTCTTATACTAGGTTATTTATTGAGTTCCCTCTTTTCTTAGCCAGTTTTCTTAGGAACAGTGAATTACATCTTTTCTACATTTATTTCTTAAAAAGGTTATCTAGGTGATGATCTTTTTCTTATTTTTTTTTTTTCAGGTTCTGGAGGAGGAGGAATTACTTATTTTGAAGTCATTTAATAAAAATAATCATCAGATGATTAAGATGAAAGAGAATCCTCTTATTATTATGGTTCTTATTATTCTTCTTAATCATTTGGTAGATTATCAAAGAAATACATAAATTAATTCCATGATATCTATTCATCAGGATTATTCAAATATCCAATTTCTATCTATTATAATACACTTTCTAATAACAAATTCAATCCGTAAACTACAATATGAACAGCATAAACAAATAACTCACAATTTTAGCGTATTATTTTGATTGCATCATCTATTGTAGCTAAACCATTTTCACTAACTTAATCAAATGCTTCTTTCATTTTTGAAATATCTTCCAATAATAAAATTCGAGGAGTATTCTCAAATAGATTAATTTATTTATGAATTGGATCAAATAAATGCACATATTCTCTAAATCCTTTTTCTGGTTTAATTTTCTAATACTTCTGTAAAAAATATATAAATTCATCTTAATTTAAATGAAATCTCTCCTTAACTGGAAAAGAATCCAATGCTAATGTGAGTGATTATCTATCAAATTAAAACAATGTCATTATTAAAGGATTGTCATACATAAAGTTTTTGATTTACAAATGGTGAATCTATCCTTTACGATGTGGATCTATTTAAGTATAAAAGAAATCAAACATATCTAAATCATTTGGATCCTTGATCACCCATTTTTAAAGTGCTTCTGTCTATTAATCTAATAATTTTAATAGTTTGAATTCTTGTTCCCTTTATAATCGTTCTCTTTATTAAAAATCAATAAAAATAATACCTTTTTCTACGTAAATACATTTTAAATTAGAATATGTAATGTCTCCTTTATAAGACCTCTTCATTATATTTACTTTCATATGGTTCTATTTCTTCAGTGATCTTATAATCTGTTGAATCTTCACTGTCTTCATTTTGTACTTTAGGTCTTCTTCCTTAAACCCTTCTTAAAATTTCACATATCTTATCCCTTGAGCGTTGCTATTTAAATCAATTTAAAATATACTATTTTAGCATTTATAGTGTTATCTTTAATACTGCGTTGTAAATCATACTCAGTTTTTAACTCTCCTACTTTCTATTACAATTAACCGACAAATAGTTAATCTGTCATTTTATTTTTATTTATGCAAAAACTCAACACATACGAAGCAACTCCTTGGGTAGCTGCCTATTAATGTTGCATTGTAATTTATACTTTCATCAGCTTTGGACTCATTTTGGTTTCGGTTTTCAATTAATCTATACTCATGGATTCTGTATGTTAAATTCATATTATCTAAAGGCACCATAATTTTATTCAGATTGGGATAATAACTTTATAGAAGATATAAAGATTTCAATCTCTTGTGATGAAGGTTATTAAAATATATTAAATTTCACATGGCCTGGAACTGAACTTGGATGTGATTGTACTTAGTCAAATGGAACAGATTAATACAAATATTCTAAGTAAAAATATATAAAAATTAAGTTATTATTATATGGAATGTAGTGAATTTATGTTGGCTGAAAATTGTTAATCAGTAGAGCCAATAAATGAATAATAATTCAAACATTGGCCATTTATAGATTAAACTTCTGTTAAAGGTAAATTATTATAATATTTATATTCAGCTTATAAGTTTTGTGCTAAATAAAGTAAACATACAGCAATTGAATCATTTTAAATTGGTGATGCTACTGAAGGATATAAAAAATGTGGCAATTTTTTTTAAGTTCCATCTGATGAATTATGTCCAATAAGTGATTTTACAATATCTACAAATTAAACTGGTATAGAAATTGGAACCACTGGATAATATTTAAAAATTTAAAGAGTTGAACAAAATTAAATACCCTTAATAGGATTCACAATTGGATTTAGTATATTATATTTTAAAATTAATAATAGATTCTATATGTTACTCAATCTCAGAGATTTATGAATTTTAGTATTTAGATAAGATGATCCATTATCATTGCTATGACAATGATGAAAGATATGTACGTTTAACAAATGATATGAGTTATAGTAATTTGTTAATGGTAAATGATGTATAAGAAGATTACAATAAATTGTATTAAAATTAAGTAATTAAAGAAAGAAGTAAATTATATAAAATATACTTTAGATGTGAATCTATTTTACAAATAGTTAACGCAATTTCATTACAATACTTCAGAATTGTGTTAATAAGATGATCTTAAATACATACATGATTTAAATATGTATATAAATGATAATGTAATGGATGTATAATTGGCAGCATAAGTAATAGTAGGAATATAAGCTGGAGTATTTGGATTCTTAGTTCCATTAATTTCAGCAATATCTTTGGTTGGTTGCAATTTTAAATATACAAGTTTAAACAGAAAGAGTTCACATTATAAAGATTTATTTGGATTTTGGTTGGGTGTTAAGATGATTGGAGAAATCTTATGTACAATTATATTAGCAGCAGATATGGGATATTAATAATAAATGATGGATCATTTCTATGATTTTATTAATGCTGATTGTTCTGATAAGTTTTCTTTAGAAGAAATGAGTGATTTCTACCACAAATATGAAATTAAGGTTTATAATTATGTTCTTCTTAATTTCATTCTTTGTATCATTACAAATGTCTTTGACTTTTATGTTACTTATCTTATGTGTAGAGATAAACACAAAGATGGAAGCTACTTAAAAAATAGTGAGAATTCTCATTAAAAGAATTATACTTCTACTCATCCTGATGAAATACTCAATAGAACCAAGATTCAACCTTAATCAGAAATTAAATAATAATTAAACCAATAAAATAAAAATTTTGAAGATGTTGAAATACCAGGTGATGATATGCCTAAACCACATAAACCTGAGAATTGAACACAATATTATAAATTTTATATCAAGTATCATATTTTTCAAAACAGATTTCGCTTGTTAGATTGCTTGACAGTTATCTACGCAACCGGTTTAATCTATCAGCCACTCTATCTTATATATTAGTTTCCTATTGTTGTAATTACTAACGAATTATAGAATCTAACATATTTTATTTATTACCCTTTTTTTCTACCTCATCATCCCAATTCTTTATTAAATCAACAACAGGAACCTTTTATTCATTCTATTATTAATATATCTTTTCTGTCATTGTTAATTTCTTAGAACGAACTTCTCTCATTATTTTATGCGATATTTTCTTATTTTCTCTATTATTATTCTCCTATACTTATTAATCATCTTCCTTTATAGGTGTTTACATTTTTATTTTTTATGGTTTTTCTGGACGCTTTAGAGGATCATATTTGACTTATCCTTCTTTAATGATTGGTTTGATTTACATTTCTTTCTATCTTTTCTCTTTTGCTATTACTTCATCTTTTAACATTATTTCAAATGCTTCTTTCTCTGCAATTGCATTTGAAATCTTCTCCATAAAATAGTATTTTGCAGGATTACCTACATTATCAAAGAATTCAACACACATCGTATACATATTTAGTAAATCCAATATTTATTACATTGATTCAATTTTTGTGCTAAACTGAATTTAAGAATGCACTTTACTTTTCTTTCTTTTTCTAATAATTAAATGAAAAATTTCTTTCCTATTCCAAATTTATTATCATCTTCATCAGATGAATCACAATGCATTTTTATTTAATAAATATTTATATTTTTACATATATCATCAATAATATTCTGAATTATTATGTTTATTCATTAATTGTAAATACATAACTAAATTTGTTTAAATACAGACTGAAGAGGCTTATTCTTATATTGATGTAAATAAAACCTTAAAAGAATTTGTACTAAAAATCATCAGAATAGAAGAATTATAAATAATGATCATAGACATGATTAAATAGAATCTTGGTATTGTTTAGAATGGTTTTATTTAATTTATTCTACTATAAAAATGAATAATTGTTGGTTCTGTAAGTTTTTCTATTTGAATTGTATTATTAAGGGAATAAATTTTATTGAAGCATTGGTTATTAGGATCAGTTATACAAATGTTTATTACTTATGAATGAAACACTCATTCAATGATTGTATTTAGTTTAATTAAGACATTCTAATTGAATAAGTAAGAATCTGATTTAATTGTAATGAATATGTAAAGATTAAGTTGTCAAAGTAAGAAGAGAATTGAAGAGAGTTGAATAGAATGTATCTTATATAGTAAATATTGTAATCAATAGATTAGAGATTGTCAATTGCTAATAAGAAGTGAAATCACATTGATTAGAATGGATTCAACTATGATTAACAAGAGAAAACAATGAATATATGATTTAGAAGGTAAAGAGGATCTAAATTTGAAGTTGGAATAACAAATTTAGGAATAGGTAGAAATTTATGTCATTTGAAGAAATTGCACATTGATTAAAGAGAATGTGTTATTGATTGTAATTATAATTAATAGGAATTTGGATTGTTTTTATTAGTTGAAGAATTTGAAATGCAATCAATGGAAATGATTAAGAAGAATAGGGATAATTAAATATATAAATGGAATGAAAATAAAGATATTTATTTTTTAATTTAAAATGTCTGTGGACAACAGCTTCGACAATTTAGAGCAGTTGATGTTTCCTTCTGATGATGATATGTAAAACAGAGAAAAGAGAGAGGAATAATACGTTCTAGATCCTATTCCATAAGAATAGGAAGACAAACCTATACAATTAAATCCAGCTAATAATGGGAAAACTTATGAATAATTGTTTGAAATAGTTTAAAGACTAAATGACATTAATTGGGTGGAACCATCATCAAAAATCACTCCTATCAAGTATCTGACTCCAATTACATACTGGTTTATTATATGTTCACAATACTTCCGAAACGATGCTGATCCTAAAATCATCAAGTATTTAATTACCATTACACTTTAGAATCAATTAGGAATGCCAATAGATTCAAGAGGAACCTCCTCGTCCATATACTTACTTTGATGATTGGTTCATTATGGAAATGAGAAACATAGTAAACTATAATCTAAGATAGATGGTTAAAAGAATTATCACCCAAAAATGATTTGGAATTATTGTAGACTCTACTTGAACAATAATTAATAGATACACAAAAATTAGTCAATATTCAAATTGATACACTACAAACACAAAAACCAAATTTGAACATCCAAAACCCTCCTGATTATATTCTCAAAGATCTTGTTGGCCTCACTGAAATTGAAAATCAGTATCTTACCTACCTTGAAAGTTAATAAAAGTATTCTATTCTCCTATTTATTTTCTAGATACTATGATGAATAAATTATTAATTAAACCAAGTCTTCTAATTTAGCAGGAACTGCTAGAAAATTATAAAATGTATATAATAATTGTTAGATATGCAATCAAGGCGTTAGATCAGAAGATCCTCTTATTTCTTGCTAAAAATGTTAAATAGTTATTCATTAAAAATGTTATGGCTTAGAAAATGCACTTAACAATTGGATTTGTGATGTTTGTTTAAATTTTGGTAATAAAGGGAAATTTTTGAAATGCCCTCTCTGTCCTAAATTAGGAGGTGCTATGAGACCATGTTCTATGTCAATGAAAGATTCTATATTTGAATTGATAAATCCTATGTTTCATACATATGCTATAAATTAAAAAGTTGATAGATAAAGTATTTAAAAGATTTATTATAGAACCTCCTCCTGATGGAGAAGAAAGTTATAATTTTATGATACTTCAATATCAACTTGAGAGTATGACAGGTGAACCACCAAAAGCTGAAAAGATTTGGACTCATGTTTCTTGTTCACTTTGGTTAGATGTAGATTTAATGAAGATTGATAAAAGAAAATTCAATACTTTATGTAGTATATGTAAGCAAAAGAAAAATGGAGCATGTGTATCTTGCTCAAAATAAAAGTGTACTATATCCTTTCATCCGGAATGTGCTAGAAGATCTTAAATTTATATGGAATCAGATAATATTTATTGTTTTAAACATTAACCATTAAAAATTAAAAGAATATTTGAGGATCAACATAATTAATGGAAGGAAGAGATTTACTCTTTTTTTAAATAATATGAAAAATTAGAATAATAATTAGCAAATAGACCTAAAAATAATGATGTTGAATTTTTGAAATTTGAACTTAAAGCTTAATAAGAAGAAATCGAAGCTGATATAAAATAAGAAAATGAATTATTGTTTTAAAGAATAACAGAAATTTTGGAGAAGGATGAAAAATTCATTGTTACTTTCCAATAAAATTAAGTAATAGACATTTAGTTACCATACAAAAGATAGTCTATATATGATATTGAAGAAAGTGATAGAATTTGGTAATAATTGGCAAATGAGAAATACTCTTCTGAATAAGTATATGTACTATATCAGAGAGCCATAAGGATGAGAAAAAAGAAAAAGCAAGGAAATGCAATTATATAATTACAAATGCCTTCAATACAAGAATTACCAAATAGAAAGAGACATTCAATATATTCTAGACCAAAGTATTTTAAATATCATAAAAAATAAAAATAAAATGGTTAATCAAATACTATATCTCTAAAAATAAAAATACCAAAGGAGGCAATCAATATTTAATAGTAATATTGTATTTGCAAATAATAAAACGATGAAGAAATGATGTGTATTAAATTATTTAATTATTTTAGAGTGTGAAATCTGTTCAGAATGGTATCATTTGAAATGTCTAGGATTTTTGAGCACTGTTGAAGATGCTTAAAATCTATATTTCTATTGTTTTAGATGCGAATAGAAATTAAATAGAGAATAAGCTAAATATATAAAAAGATATAGATAATATTTTGCAGATTCAACATTTCGAGATTTAAAATTGAAGATTGGAATGTCCCCTCATGAATTAAGAGCTCACGAAAAAAAGAACTATAAACAGTTGTCTAAATGAATGAGATCATAAATATATTACATAAAATTTATATTATAGATTATATTTTTGTTTTAATTATTAAATAATTTAGTATAATTAATAAATAATAAATTAGATAATTAATTAAATATTTCAATCTCTTGATTTATTTTTAATAAATTCAAGTAATGATTTAGAATAGCATTAAAATGAAAGAAACTCTTCATAATTTGACTATAATAATTTTTTTAAGAATTACTTCTAAAGGTGTATTTGATAAATGTACAACTCCAGGTGGAGTTTCATAATTAATTTTGAGTTCATAGAAACCAACAGCATATTGGATAGCAGGTAAGATATCTTGTAAGGCAAATCCAAAAGTAGTTTATACAAATTATCCAAAAATAACATTAAATTGATTATCCTCTAAACATATTTGAATAATAATACTATTTAAAAGAAACATTGATGTTTAAGACATTATTTCAAGCATATCTTGATTATAAACGTTAAGTTAAAAAGATATGATCAAATACATGAATGATGCAACAATAGTTCTAGGCATATATTACAAAGTTTAAATATCCATTAATGCACAATCTACCAATTAACAAAGCTTTCTAAATACTTTTAATTAAAATAGAATTACATTAATAAGATTCTTCATTAGGTTTTCTAAATTATATATTTATATCATAATTTTAAGCATAAATATCCCATTGATCTGTAAACCAGTTGATCCAATAAGTATAAGAAGGAGGATTTACATGCCATTTTAAAGTCTTAAAATAAATAAATACGATTACAAATAGAATATCTAATTCCATATTTAATATTTCATCTTTGGTATATCCATTATTGGCAGCTATTTCGAATTGTTTTATTCCAATTGGAATGATTTCTTCTACTTTATTTGCTATTAATAAACTAGTTAAACCAATTAGTTATAAGTTTTATTTATTTGCTTATTTTTTTGATAAAAATGAATCTAAGTAAAATATTGATAAATGAAATGTTTATCTTTTTAATCTAAATTCCATTGCAACTTCCATCATCCAATCTAAAAGAATTGCTCTCATAAGTTGATTAATTTCACTTTACTCAGTTAAATAATATGGATCTGTTAAATAATCTCTCTCTTATTGAATTAATGGATCAGGTTCTGTTTTGATTCTTTCTTCTAAATTTATATTATTAATGACTATTTCATTTTCATCACAAGTCAAATCTAATTCTTTAGGATTTGAATTAGCCTAAGTTGAACCTAAAAATCTGGATTCTTTTTAATCTATAGATGAAGATCTTGATTTATTATTAATTGGACTTTTAGATAGTAATTATATATCTGCAGATACACATCTTTGAGAACTTTTTCTAAAATGAGATTCTTAATTTTCTAAATTACCTTTCATTTCATTTAATAAATTTTACTATTCTTTAGAACAACGACACATTTCTTCAATTACTCCATATTCTAATTTATAATTATTTTAATTTTATTAAGTATGAGGGATAGAAAGTAATTTCTAAGTTAATTTCTCATTACAATCAACTTAATTCAAATACATACTGTCTTTAATACGTGTTCTACTGTTTGTATTACTAAGTAGAACTGTATTAGGAAAACTTATTTATCTAACTTTCTGAGATGGCTTATTAATATTATTAAATGAATTTTCCTTATTCTGTTTATTCTGATTTCTAAACTCTTGTAACAATTAATGAAAGGTGATTGAAATATCTCTATTATCTATAGGTCTTGAAGTAGTTTAAGGATGAATAATTTAGTTAGGTTATTATTTCTATAAAGGTTTGTATTGTCTTTCACTATGCCTATCTTTTGAACTTTTAATCAATTAAGTGATTTATTTAATCATTTAAGGTTATATATGTTTTACTTGATATTTAGGAGATTTACTTTGAGTAAGACATTTAGGGTGACTAACTTGCTTATTATATTATACATACTTAAATCCTATGATCTAAAGTTGTTTCTTTTGCATATATTGTTATATTAATTCAAATTTAATTTATAAAATACTATTAATATGGAACCAAATTTAATGTTTGAACTCAATAAATACATAAATATATTTATAGTCTAATAAAAAATAGATTACTAATAGATAATAAAATTGGATCCTCTTACTTTAATCTAAAAAAATATAACATTTTCTTATATATTGAGGATTCATGAATAGAATAAAATGATTGATTGAAAAAAATAAGGATTATTTGTTAATATAGAAGTGATCTATGAATTTATGAAATAAATGATCTTAAAATATAATTTGAATGTATATAAAAATTAGATTAAGATAATTGATTAGATTAGATTATAGATAATCTATTAAGTTAGCTATTAATATTCATAATAAAATATAAAGACAATTCATAATGGCAGAAAGGATTTTTCTTTAAGGAGCATTTTTTTGAGTTGTTTTTTAATAATCTGAAATGCAGCATGCATTCCTGTTTTACCACCTGGAAAAAGAGATACTGTTAAATATATCAATGTTGAAATCTTGATTTAATAATTAGATGTTACTTAAAGTGATAATAATGCAAGAGTATAGAAATAACCTATATAAAACATTCCTGTATAAAGACAAGCCATTAGAGATCCTAAATAGAGTAATGTGGCAACAGATGAAGATAGTTTATTGAAAAGCGTTTTTAGTTGAATTATTTGAAGCATGGATATTAAAATAATAAAGGAGCCAGCTGAGAATAATAAACAAAAGGGTTTAGGATTAAGTATAAGAAAGGAGGCAAATGGAATGGATATAATAATAAGTATTAGACCAGCAATAAATAGAATGGCAAATGTCATCCAATTTTTTTATGTGCCAGTTTATCTATAAATAATAGTAATATATATATAATTACTTAGGTTAAAACGTTGATACTATTGATCCTAACAAAGTTTCATCTTCAGCAAAAAACTACATGATAAATAATCGTAATTTAATTTTTATATAATGAATGAAAAGTAGTGTTAAAATAATTCGTTTAACATAAATTAGATATTCTTATATCTACGATTGCTGAGAAATTAGTAAATATAAAGAAATGAGTTGGACAGTTTGGGTAATTTTGAATTTTTTATATTAAAGTGAGATTTAGAAAAGAAGAAATAATTATCAGTATGTTGGTGATGTTGTTAAATATAGAGGAAAAGATAAAGAAAAATATGTATTTACATTTGATAAGAGTTATATAGAATGAAAATCTAATATTAAAGTTGGTTTCATAAGTGATTCATAATTTTAGCATAAGTTGTACCAACAAAAGTAGATCCATTGGTTTCATAAATGAAAGCAGACAACGTGTCTGATTCAACATAATATATGATTGTTAATTTAAATTAATAAGTAAAAGAAGGAAGTTATTGAATTACTAATTAAACATTATCAAATATTTGAAAGCTTAGAAATTGCTTAACCAAAAGGTGTTTTATTATATGGAACACCTAGTACTGATAAAACATTTTTAGTTAGAGCAATAGCACTTTTCATAATGTATTTATATATTTACATATAATTAAATTCAGGATATTACATTTATTAGAGTAATTGGATCTAATTAGTATGAAAATATATTGGCGATAATAAGAGGAATTGATCGAAGAAAAACTGTTGAATTTTTACCTGGTGCTTCTGAGGCTGAATCTATAGTTGTTTTTACAGAAAATTGTATGTTTACATTTGGAGAACTAAGAATTCATAATTACTTAAGAAGATTTTGAAATTTCTGATGCTAAAGTCATGAAAAAAGATATTGAAAAAATAATATGGCTATCTATAAAATGTTTAAGTGATTTTTATTTATTTATATATACAATATTATTATTATTTTTAATGATTTAACCTAAAGTCTTAACTCAATTATTAACTTAATGCTAAAATGAATTTAAGGTTTAATCCATTTTTGTTGCAGCTACTGTTGATGGTTAAATGATTGCTTAAGTTGGTTAAACTCAACATTAATTACCTTAATTCTCTACATTAAGCATATTTTTTGATGATTGCAAAGAAATTGGCAATATTTAATTATGTATTCACTTTTTCTTATCTATTGTAGCTTAAAATATTAAATTGAATTATGTTTTTGTAGAAATTGAAGATCAAAGCATTGTATTGTCCAATTTTTAAAATTTATTTACTCTTGGAATAGCATCATCACAAAATGTAGGAATGCTTGTTTTGTATATGAATAAATTGCATCGTCAATTAGAAAAAATCATAAAATGATTGTTTTATATATATCGTTATACATATATTTCATTATTAAATAATTTTTTTCTTTTTTCAAATAATTTATTCAGACATATTTATTTCATTTATAAAATAATCATTTTCATCAAATAATATTTCATATTTTTATTATTCTATTAATTAATTTTATGCTGAATCAAGTGTAATAACCTAATTTTATTATTCCTATTATTAGGATTTTTTTAGATATTATTTTTTATTTTTAGAAGAATTCAAATTTTTAAATGATTTCAATTAATAACTCTTCTCTGGGCTTTGTACAATTTATTATAAAATATCAAGTTCTTCAAAATAATCAGTAATTGATTCTAAACTTAATCTTGCTTTAAAAATTAAATTTGGAGCTATATGAGTTAAATAAGCCCTAAATTTGACATCCCTTTAATTTTCTTTAGACCTAGCCAAATTTAATTCCTTTATTCCATATTTTTTCTTTTTTTTAAATTGAATCATCTATTCTTCATTTTTAGATTGAATGATCTATTTTATATTAGACTCTTTTTTAAGTTAAGAAAAAAAGTTTCTCAATATAAAATGTAAAAATGCCTTTTTTTTTTTATCAAGTTGAGCCTGCGAATCCATTTAAATAGTTAAAATAATTATTTATAATATTAAATATATTTTATAATGAAAGAGACACATCTTTTCTCGAAATATTAATTAGAATACATACAAAAAATAGGTGAAGGGGCATTTGGGAAAGTATATAAAGCATTCGATTAAACCACTAAAAAAGTGGTAGCTGTCAAAGTATTTGTTAAATTTTACTAAAGGTTCTAAATACAGATGAAGAATAAGAATTGCTCTCATCCTTAAATCATAAAAATATTGTTAAACATATTAGAGGGTAATGATTGAAGTTTTGATTAAATAGATCAACTTAACTCTTAGTAATGGAATATATGGAAGGAGGATCATTAAAGAATTATATGGTTTCAAATCCTAATTTGAGTGAAGAACAATGCGTCTAATTTATGAGATCCATTCTATCAGGTTTAAGTTATTTGCATTAACATAATGTAATTCATAGAGATATTAAACCAGGTTATTTTATTTATCTAGATTTAGATAATATATTATTAACCAAAGATCTTATACCAAAGATCGCTGATTTTGGTCTGAGTATATAATTTGATGCTTTTGATTTCTCTACTTGTAAATGTGGTACTTATTTATATATGGCTCCTGAAATCTTATAAAATAAGCTCTATTCTAAGGTATAAGACTTATATAAATTAGCCAGTTGATGTTTGGGCTACTGGAATCATTATGTATCAATTACTATAAGGAATTCATCCTTTCTATAAATAAGATTCAACTAAATAACAATATCTTTAAAACATCTTAGAAAAACCTTTATATTTTAAAAAGCAAATCTCTCCTTAAGCCAAAGACTTACTTATACGTCTATTAAAATTAGATATCACAGATCGTTATACTGCTAGTTAAGCTTTACAACATCCTTGGCTTACTAAATAAGACACTATGCCTTTAAGTCTTTTTGAATAATTTAAACTCTTTGATTGTAAAAACAAATTTATCAATGTACATATATATATCTATTAGATTTATAGATAATTAAATTATTGATGTTTATTTAAGAATTAAAGATTCCTAAATTCTCTTATGGATACATTTTAGGTCAATAAGGTTTTCATATAAAATAAGTCCAATATATTATTGGATAAATATAATCTCCTCTCAAAATTGAATCTCCTACTATTTCAAGCTCCAATACATTAAAAAAAATAGGTAAAATTGATTATTCTGAAGAAAATACACCTTTGAGTCTTCAAAATGCTACATTCTATTAAAAAAATAAAAAATTGCAAGTAAATATTAAAATAATGAATTCAGAAATTATCAAATTTTTATGAATAAGCATATAAATCAAATGAGAACTCTCTTGCTTAATTAAGTCCTTAAAAACCAAAAAAAAGTATTATGAACTTTTCTTAAGCATCTAGAGAGTATGCAGAAATTATGTTAGGATACTCTGCTGTTAAAGAAAAAAGAAAACCATCATAAATTAAATTAGAGCCTTTAGATAGAAGAGCAAAAAGAACATCTTCTGTTATAGTCATTTCAAATAATTAATGAGAATTCTAATTAATATTAATTAATCATAGAATGTTAATAATAATAATGAATATAAAACTATTAATACCATTTAATTAAGGTTTTATTTCTTTTAATAAGTTATTATTTTCTAATTGATATAAAATTTCATTCAAATTTGTAATGTTTATATGAAAAATATAATGACATTAGAAAATTCTAAGTAACTTTTTTTAATTTAAATAGTAAGATTGAATCTTAGATATTCGTTACAAAATGTATGTTGTTATAATATTTGTTAACTTTAAATTTAAATTCAAAATGATATATATCAATAAGGAAGATTTAAAATAAATTCAAATCACATTTTTCTTTTTCCACATCCTGATCTTTGTCCTGATCTTTGACCAGATCTGCATCCTGATCTACTTGATCTAGCTTTATACTATTTCTTATTTGTTTTATGTTAACCATCTTCATTAACTTTATCTTAATTTTCTTCATCACATTCTTCATCATCTTTATTTGACATTTTTTAATCACCTTATTTAGAATTATGTCCATTATGTTTTTAATGATCCTCTTTATTTTCATCATTATCTTAACATTCTTCTTGATCTTCATGTTTATCATTTTTCACTTCATGTGTTTTTTTCTTTTGATGTTATTTTTCTTCATTTATTTTCATATTCTAAACACTTTTCTATACATCTTCAATATCTTCTTCATTTTCTTTATCTTTTTTATGTTGACTTTTATGTGATTTTTTAGATTTCTCTTATTTTTCTTTTTCTTTCTTTTCTTTTTTCATATGCTCTCTAATTTCTTCTTCTTTTTCTTAAAATTCCTTCTTTTCATCTGTAGATAATTTATTCCATTATTGAATTATTTTTTCTTATTATTCAATACTTTTTTTTTTATGAGCTGATTAGAAAAGTTATTCATTTAAATAAGCATTAAAACCACTACATTTTTGATCATCATTCATAGCATTAAGTTAATATTTCAAAAGTTCAGAGGCTTCCATAAAAATAATTTAAATAAATAATATTTTGAATTTAATAACTATTTATCTGTTAAATTTCCATAATCAAAAAAAAAGAAAAATATATTAATGAATGTTCATCATTTGAATTAAAATGATTTTCTACATTACATTAATTTTTCTAATGTAGATTCTTTATAATCAGAATCTAATTCTGTAGTTAAAGAATTCTCTGATCGATCAATGAACTTTTTATATCCTTTTTACCAATTTTATATATTCTCTTTATTTCTATGAGAATCTAATTCTTTTAATTTTAATTCATATTCATTTAAGTACATTTATTTTTTTTTCAAATCTTCTTCTCTTTATTAAAGCAATTATGAATTTTCTTTTAATCTTTTTTCTCTTAAACGAATAGATATTCTTGGTAAATTTAATAAATCATCAACACTTGGTCTCTAATCTTAATTCACACTCAAACACCAATTTATTACACGATTCATTTCAGCTGTATATTATTTTGGAATATTATCATATTATGCTTATTTAATTTTAATAGCCAATGCTAAATAATTTTATGCTTAAAATGGTGGTTATAGTGAACAAATTTCATATAATAAACAACCACAAGCCCAAATATCAGATTTCTCATTATATTTATGATCTTCTATTAATTCTGGACTCATGTAATATGGAGTTCCAACTTTAGTATGAGCAAATTCACTATTTATATTTAACATTCTTGCTAAACCAAAATCTCCTAATTTTACAGTTTTATCTAAAAATATATTTGCTGGTTTTATATCTCTATGTAATATTTTATTTTATCTTTTATGTATTTCACATAAAGCCTAAACTATTTGAGAGAATATTTTCCAAACAGATTCTTCTGGTAAATATTCTTTATCCTTTTTTAGTTTCTTCAAAAACTAAGCCAAATCACCTCCTTCACAATATTCCATTATTATATATAACTTTTATGTCTATTTATCAACTATACGATCATAATATTTTATTATATTTGGATGTTTAAGTTCTCTCAAAATATTTACTTCACTTACCTATTTTAAATTTAAATTTTAAATATACTAATTGTTATTTTTCTTTCTCGCTCATTCTACCATATTCCATCTCTTTTGCTACAAAAACCTTTTAATCTACTTTCCTTTAAACTTTATAAACTTTTGCAAATGATCCTTTTCCAATATTATCCAAAAATTAATATGCTTCCATTTTTATTATTTATGATAAATTTTATATACGAATGATTAATACAATTAAACATTCCAAAACTTATTACATCAAATTACCATTAGATAATTATTCAACATTAAATTTATTTCCTTAAAAATTAAATGCTTCAATTTGATAAAATCAAAATCATGTTAATTATAATTTTAACTCTTTAAATTGATCATATATTCATTAATTTATTCTATTTTAAGATTGATATAATAATCAAATAACATTGATATGGCGGCTTAAAAAGAGTAATTAAATTCATAACTTGGAATATTAAAATTTTCAAGTGCATTTAAAATAAAATTAGAAGATTATAAATTGATTAATTATTTTCTTAAAATATTATGGAGTATATTTTAGCTTTAAATCATAGGCGACCAATTATTAGAATAAATTCAATATGTTTATAAAGAATTAGTTTTGAATAATATAAATTGATTATATGTAATATTTTTTATATTAAATTGAACTGTTAATTTTCTAAATATCTTATATTTAATAACCAACTTCTGATTATCATATTATTGTGATTAAATATAAATATTATGATTTGCAAAACCAAGCACTACTTCTTCGATCATCAGTATGAAGTTTATATTGTTAAGGATTAAATACTTATTGGTAAAGTAATAGCTTGTTTAAATCATATTAGTAAAAAGATTGTGTCAAATATAAAGTACCATTTTAGAATAAAATGTTGATTTCCTGGATGTTTTAATAAGGAAAATTAACTGGCTTTAAAATTTTGCTAAGAGAAAAATGGAAGTAATTTGACATGAATAATGAGAATTGTTTAAATTTAAAAAGTATGGTGGATGGGAAAATAGGTTATCGAAAAATAGAGTCTCTTTACAAAATATTAGACACAGTAGGTTTAGGGAGTTATAGTGAAGTATTGAAGTTTCTAAAACAAAGGTTTTGTTAATCGAAAGCTATCTTAATAATTAGAAATACATTGCTAAGAAGATGGCCATTAATTCAAAAAACGTGTAAAGCGTAAAGCGTTTCTAATTAATTTATAGCTCTTCAATAATGAATTATATGCTTTACAAAATCTGAAACATAAACATATAATATAGATGAAAGAGTTTTATGTAGGTTTTGCTGATGCTTACATAATAATGAATTACATAGATGGAGAGTCATTAGCTAAATATATGAGATACAACAAAAAAATAAGTATTAAAGAAATGATCAATATATTAAAAGTAAAAGAAATACATATAATAACAGTAATTGTTTGAAGCATTAGAATACATTCATAAGAATGGATTTATACATAGAGATATAAAGCCAGAGAATATATTATTTGATAAAGATCATAGATTTTTAACATTAATAGATTTTGGATTTGCAACGAAGATAGAAAAGTAAGAATGTAATGCAGGGACTCCAGGATATATTGCTCCAGAAATGTTTGAGAATGCTTCTTAAACAGAGAAATGTGATATTTTTAGTTTGGGATGCATTCTATATGAATTGTAGAGCAAATTATAATTATTAGAATATATGGGAAGAAACTTTTTTAAGGAAATTGTTTAAAAGAAATACAATTGGTAAATATGAGATGCCAGTATTCTCTTCAATTAAATGAACATCCTTTACATAATTTATTATGTAAAATGCTCGAGAAAGACATGAGTATAAGAATTGTTGCTAAAGAAGGATTGAATCTCTTAGAATAATATGAATAAAGCACTCAAATTTGATATTTATTATTAAATAAATATTATTTAATATATAACGTTTTCAATTTGAATATTTAATGGTTAATAACACACAGCAAATAGCAATCATAATTATAAGTATTATAATGCATCGATTTGCTAAAGGAGAATTTTGGGAATCTTCAGCCTATTTATATTATTTTAATATAAATACTTTTATCAACTCTTCATTAGCCTTTTTAACATTGTGAACTACTTAATCAATATTGTAATCGATTCTATCTAAAATAGTACCTTAATCAATAACTAATTAATTTAATGTTTTAAACACTTCTGCTAATTCATTAATCATAGTAACTAATTTATTGATTTCTTAATCTCTTAAATAAATAAGATAGATAATAAACCTTTCAGAAATTATATCATCATACATTTGTTCTTCTGCTTAAGTAAGTTCATCATCAGCAACTTTCATTTCTTATTATTTCTGTTCACTTAATTTTAAAAAATTTCCTAATTTATTATTTTAAATAAGTACCTCCATCATCTTTATTAATTTATTTGATCATAGTAACCATTCTTTTTTATTGATTTCTTAAAGCATTTGTTAAATCTTAGATTTATTAAGCTAATGCTCTATTAATATTCATTCGAACTATTGATAAATATAAAATAGAATACTTTTCTTATCACTTTATGTTTCATTATCATTATTGTAATTAGCAATAAATTCTGTATTTTTTTCACATTCCATAATTTTCTAATCATGAAAAGTGTAATACTTGTGTTGCTTTTTAATTGTTTTCATAAATCAATTTCTCTAAAGCTGAGGCATCACCAAATTACATCTTTAATCTTTTAGATCCAAGAACTTAAAGTTCTTTAACTATTAAAATATAGGATGTAATTAATTACGAATTTCTTAAACTTGTTTTATTTTGTCTAAACAATCTTCATATTGAGTTGCCCATTGAGATGGTAATCCCTTATTATGAACTTACATTTCAATAGAGAAATTATTAGCTGTAGATTCACCCAAATTTTCTAGCAATAATGTATTTGGTTCTAAATGTTATAAATCAATATTTAAACTTAGTATATGGATATCATTATTTTTTTTGAATCTATTAGCTTATTACTTTTGTTCTTCTTTGTATTTAAATAATAAATGAGTTTTATTTTTCATGACTCCAACACTTTGTCTCATTATTTTATATTTTAATTATTGAATAAATGTTTCAAACTTTATAAAAATTAAGGGTGATATGTTTTATGTTTGCAACAACAGCCGAACGTAAAGTTCCACCTCTACCTTCTGATCTTCCATTCACTCTAAATAATCTTTGGGATAATCCTGGAGCTAGAAAAATATAAAAGAGATGGGGAAGAAGTGGTACAAGAGGAAATGCTTGTGGTCGAGGATAAAGAGGATAAGGAGCACGTTCAGGTGCAGGAGTACCACCTAAATTTGAAGGAGGTTAAACACCTTTAACTAGAAGATTACCTAAATGGGGAGCTAAACCTAGGTATTCAATTATTATTCAATCTTTTTATAGTTTAGAAATTTATAGAGAAGTCAATATTTGCCAAATTGTTGATAGAATTAAATAAGGAAGAATTGATGCTACTTAACCTATCTAAATTAGAGACATGCTAGAATCAAGAATTTTTAGTAAATGCAAATATGGTGTTAAATTATTGGCGAGAGGTGCTGAAAGATTGGCTGAATTAAATACTCCTTTAACTATTGAAGTCTCAGATGCTTCTAAAACTGCTATTGAAGCTATCAAAAATGCTGGAGGTCAAGTTAAAGTTGTTTATTTTACACCTCTTCTTTTAAGATAACATATGTTCCCAGATAAATATCCATTAGAATTAAGATAAGCTCTTCCACCATCAAGAGCTGTAGAAGCCATCTAAAGAACAGAGGAAAGAGGAGCTGTGTCAAATTATATTAAACCAAAATGGGTAATCGAAGAGGAAGTTGAAAAATAGAAATTAGAAGAATTAGCTAAATTAGAAGTTGATACTCTGAAAGTTTAATTAAAAGTTGCAGAAACTGTTGAAACTGCTAAGAAAGAAAAAAAGAAGAAGGTTTTTCATTTATATTAATATAATTTAGAAACAAAAATAATAAGAAGAAAAACAAGTAAGTACATTAGATTTAACCAACTTTAAATATCCAGCAGTTATTGAACCTGGATGTGGTAAAGATAAAATCAGATAGCGTAAACCAGTAGTATATAAAAAGATATCTTTAAACATAGACTGAGTTATTCAAAATATATAATTTCATAGTAAATAAAATGCATATTATTATTAACAAATAACAGCATGTTTTATAGGTGGAAGTGTATTTTATAATATCTAGAGAGTCTCTTAATGTTTTTTTTCAGTGAAATATTTATCTTCCTATCTATTACGAAAAAATCTTATGTTTCTCATTATTTGATCTCCAACTATATAATGCATTCCAATTATTTTATTTGTCGAACGACTCTTTATATATTCTATTACACAGTCTCTTAGACTAATTTATTTATTATTATATACTTTTCAGCTCTATCTTCAGGAGAGTCTATTTAAATTTGCTCCTCTTTAAATTGCTATTTCAATCTGCTCTTTATATCAATCACTTTCTAAAGGTATGTTAATTTAGCTTATATTTATAGACAATTTTCAGAACATTCTTGTAGTGTCTTTTTGAGATTTAACTATATCAAATCCTATTGCTCATGCTTAAATATATGACATAGAGCAAAATACAATTTTTATAGATTAATTTTATCTTTTTAAAGAAATAGATGAATCATCTTACAATTGCCTTAATACAATATTTTATTTTTTAATTCCTCAATACTAAAAGAATTATTTTCATTAACAATTTCATCTATCATTAAAATTTATTCTGGCTATTTGAATGTTTGAATCAAATGACTTACATTTATCCAAATCTGATTCATATTTCTTTAATAGCTTAAAAAATCATTTGGACATATATGGGGTGATTAAATAATACAATCATACTATTGGTCTATTTATGATTAATTGTTAGTTAGTAAGACTAGAATACATTCAGATTTGATTTTTTGAATTAACTATTTATTAAGAGAAATAGATTCGCCAATTATTACAATATTTTAAAGTTGAGATGTATCCCTATTACCTTTAAATAATATCTTAGGTTCTGCTATTTATAGTTAATAGATATCAATGATCTCATATTTAATATCTACAAACTTTGGTTTACTTTTTAATATTTTATTCTTACATGATTAAACTAGGTTGAGTTTATAAACCAATTAATCTTCTTGAAGATTTCTTTTTATTTGATATATTGTTTATTGAAATTTGTTTTTCTCTTAAAGGCTCTCCATTTAAATGTGTATCCTGAACTGATATTGTTCTACTAGTCAGTTAGTATGATTACTAATTTTAATTAGTTGGTAATCTTCTAACAAATTAAGAATGTTTAGATGAACGAGATGCTAATTGATTAATTTATTAATTTTACATATTGAAAGTTAATGGATTGGAGTATTTTTAGCAATTAGTAAAGTACTGAAATCATTTTCTGATGGAGGTTTCATATTAATTCTTTTACTCAATCTCGTTATATTTAATCTCATCATTTATAAATAATTAAATTGCGGAACAAATTAATATTATTTAAATACAGTTAAGTATGAATTTAATATCAGGCTTAAAAGGTATTAAATAATGTATTAAATAAGTAGCATATTTAAAGTATATTATAATAATAAAACAAAACTATCTAAAACAAATTTACATAAACAGTCACAAAATTCCAAATTTCTACATAACATTTTTAAGATCCTCCAAGTTTAGAGGTTTTTCTAAATGATAATTAGCTCCACATTTTAAAGATTTAATTTAATCATCTTAGCCTGAAAAGGCTGTGACAATAACAATAATTGATTACGATAGTTTTTAAATTTATTCAAATTTTCGTATTTCAGAAGTACATTAATAGCCATCCATTTCTGGCATATTAACATCCATAAATATTATATTCATTTATTCTTTGGAATATAAATCGAATGCTTATTTTCCATTAAATGCTTTAAATAATTTGCAATTTATCATTACTTAATTTAACATAGCACTTAAAGCAATTATGTTAAATGGTGTATCATCTACTATAAGAATTTTAAATGATTCATCAGGTGTTGTTTCTAATTTATAATAAGTATGAGCCTTTTTGGTTTATGCTCTTTTCTTCTTTATACAATTAAGATTTTTATATGATGGAAACAGAGGAACTATTTATTTTTAATGTAAATCTTGTTCTTAAATAGAATTCTCTAGTTATTACTATAATATTCTATAAATCTTAAATTTAAATGTAGATCCCTTGCCTACTTAAGATTTAAGTTCAATTTTATCTGATGGACCTAAAAGAGTAACTAATTATTGACTAATTGTTAATCCCAAACCAACTCCATGTCGATTGTTTTTACCAATATCATAAGTACTGTATAATTTAAATAGATTCTTTTAAATTTCATCTGGAATTCCATAACCAGTATCTGAAACAGATAACTCTATTAAATCTGATTCTGGTATATGATTTGCTATAATCAAAATTTCACCTTACATTGTAAATTTAATAGCATTTGTTACTAAATTTATTAATACTTACTTTAATCGGGTTTCATCTGTTAATAATATACTATTTTTATCATCAATCGTATTACACCAATTTAATCTTACACCTTTTTCTGTAGATTATCTATTCAATAATTAATTTATAAATTTAAATGTGTTATTTAAATTAAACGACTTAGGTATTAATCTCAATAAACCTTTATTGATTTAACTATAATCCAATAAATCATTTATCATAGATAATAATAATTAACCAGACTAATGAAATTCATCCAAATGTAAACACAATTACTCAATATTACTATGTGTTATAGATGATTTTTGTTGTAATATATGCTACATTATATTAATATCAATCATCATTCCATTTAAAGGAGTTTTTAAATCATGAGATACTGTTGCTAGTAATCTATCTTTATAATGATCCATCTCTCTTAAATGTTTTAATCTTATTTTTTCAGATATATCATTCATTATTACTAAAATTGAATGTTTATTCTCCCATATACAATGAAAAACACGAATTTCAAAATGAGATATAATTTTTACTTATGATTTACTAGATAAAGTTACTTTACTTTAACAATCAAATTTAAAACATAAAAAGTAATCACTAACATCTGAAATATCATATTCATTTTTTATTAGTGATGATCTATTGCTTGAAGTTTACTAAAACTACTCCTCCACTTCATTTAATTTTTATTATAGAATATCATAAATACTCACACAATTATTATATGTTTCTTATTCTGTTTCCTATTCAGTTTGTATATATATGCTCTTTAATTTTCTAATAATCTCATTTTCATCAGAAACTTAAAGATATTTTATTGCAAAATCATTTGTGAATATCAATTTCATTTCTTTACCTGTATTTGTAGATTCTTATAAATCATCATTTTAACCTGTTAAAATTAAAATTGAATTTGGAACTGTTTTATCGAAGATATTTTTACATGCATTCAAATTTGAAGTTTATTAACAAATTGCATAAAAATCCAATCTTTTGTAATATTCTAAAGAACGAAAAAAAATAAACAACATAATCAGTAATACATAAAAAGTCCAATATATTGAATCGATTATTCCAATCAAACCAACGAGTAAGATTGTTGCTGCTACCAAAATTAATCCTTAACAAAACCATAAAGGACATACTATTAAATAACTAATTATTATAATCCCAGTTTATATTCCACTACTTAATGCTTAGGCAGTTGTTTATTAATTACATTATTTGTTTAATAATTATGCTTATATATACACATTTGTAATTAATATTGTAGTAAAGGCACTCACTATCTCTGATATAGATATAAAATATTTATATTAGATTTTTTATATATTTGCTTAAGTAATTAAACAAATTATATGCCAAAAACTAAATCCTATTCTGAAAAATGCTACTGTTTAATTTTTCAATACAAACTGATTATTAATAAAGTAGATAAAATTTATGAAGAAGTGTATCAAGTAAGAGATTCTAAAAAGAACAATTATTCTTTTTTTCTCCTTATTTGTATATTTCTCCTCTATTTCTGAATTTCTAAATTATAATGTCCATAAATTCATTATTTTTTTTGGCTCCAATCCATTTGACACTTCCTCTGGATGTAAAAAGAACTTTACTATAAATTAATAAATTTTTAACATTAATAAATAAGTAATTTATATTGAATACCTTAACTTCAAATTATTAGGCTTAATTTTACATTACAATCCATGCAACAAATTCACTATTTATTAAAAATTAATTTAAGATGCAATGCCAATAAAACAACTTTGTATTTTACATATTTTTATATAAACAGTAATGATATAATTTTTAATTTATAAACGATATTTTTATTTATCCTCAAAAACTTTTCAATAATTTTTTGTTTTTAACAATTATTACAATAAATTATATAATATTAAAGAAATCTAAACTATTTTTCTTATTTCCTCAAAATAATAATTAATCATTATAATTACTTAATTTATGATGATATAAAAATAAATATATGAAATCTATTAATATTAATTTAATCATAAAGAATAAGAATAAAAAATTGGAATATAATTTAATTAAAAGCAAACTTTAACTTTAACGTAAAAAGTTTTTGGAAATATTTGATTTTAGCAACAAAAGTAGTTATTAAAAATCATAAAATTTGATAGAATTATTTTATTTACATATTTTAGATAAAAATTAAAAATGAAAAGATGATGAATGAGAAAGATTAATTTAGATTGTAATTTAAAAACTAAAATAGCATGATTTATATTATATAATAAATTGAGTATATTAAGTGGAGAATTTGAAATTTGAAAAAAGTTGTTAATATGAATTATGAACATAATAAAGAAATAATACAATTAATTTTTTTTCTGTGGAATTCTGAAAGTAGTTTAAAAGATAATAGAAGGATTAGAAATTGAAATAGATTCAGGAGAGAATATAAGAGAAGAGTTTGATTTAGATTGAATGAGAATAATAGTAGAATTATATGAGATTTGAAGAAAGAATAAATAAGTTAAATGGATATCTTTATGGATTAAATTTTTAAATTGGGTTTAGTAATAGAGAAAAGTAAAAGGAATACAAAGATAATAGAATATTAAAGTTTAGATTATAATGAAAATGAATGAGATTAGAGAATGTAGTAAATTGATATATTGTAATATATGAAATGATTAATATAAATAATGTCCAAATTTTAATAAGATGGTATAACCATCTGTTTACTGGGAGGTTTCCAGAAGTGGCCTTCCAGTGCTCAGCATTCCTTCACTCCTCACAAATGTGGATTAAGGGTAAAAATATGAGATTACTATTTTGAAGATTGTTAATAAATTTACATCTTAATATAAGGATTATTTATAGAAATTCAATGGGAAACCTATTTAAATGCCTGTGAGGATTCTTACTTCTCCAAAAGAAGGTAATTATAATAAAAAAATAAATAGGAAAATATAATGATGGTTATGATAATGTAAATCATGATCTGATTATCAGATAATATGACAAATTATATAATAGTAAAAAGAATATGTAAATAATGTGAAATGTATTATTTAAGAACATACATTTGTGAAGCTCTCCTAGGTGCAGGAACATTTGGTTAAGTAATCAAATGTAGTATAGAAGGAACAAAATAATAAGTAGCAATCAAGGTATAAAATAGGAGGATAAATAGATAATTAAAAATTAACATGCATTTCATTAATAATAAAAAATAGAAATTCGTGTTTTAAGAACTCTATAGACTTTCTCTAAAGAATAAAATATTTAAAAAAATTGCATAATCTAACTAAATGATTAATTTTTACACAAAAAGCATGCTTGCCTAGTTTTTCCTTTGATGGCATAAAATTTGCTTGAAGCAATGAAAACAAATAAATATGAAGGATTTAGTGTGTCATTAGTTCGAAAAATTCTCAATCAAATAGTAACAGGATTACATGTAGCAGAATAATGTGGAGTTGTTCATGCAGATTTGAAACCAGAGAATATAATGATAGAATAAAAATAGCCTATTTTTGATGATTGTTCTCTATAAATAATAGATTTTGGATCAAGTTGTTTTTTGAATGAAAAACATCCATACATATATATTTAGAGTAGATTCTATAGAGCTCCAGAAATCATTTTAGAGAATAGCAATTATAATAGTAAAAATATTAATAAGATTAATAATTAGCTAAAATTGATATTTGGAGTTTAGGTTGCATAGCTGTAGAATTATTATATGGTAGTCCACTTTTTCCATGTTGGGACTAATATTCTTGTTTGGAAAGAATCATTCAAGTTACAAGTCCTATTATAAGTATAAAAATAATAAATATAATTATTTTAGCTAAGTAGGGATATGTTAGCAATGCCCCTGCATCATAAAAATACTTTAACTTACTTTACAATAATACTTTTTAATTAAAATCAAGAGAGTAATTCACTAAAGAATTTCCTTACATTTAAACTAAAGAAGGATATAATGCAACACATCCAATAAAGAAACTTACAGATCTAGCATAATATTATAATTAATAATCCACTAAAGGTATCTATATACATTTATTTATAGATTAACCTTCATTTAATTAATTTCTAGATTTTGTGTAAAAATGTCTTGAATGGGAACCAAGTGCTAGGATGTCTGCCTAGGATGCTAGTTAACACCCATTTTTGACTGGACAAAACTAAGGATTTGACATCAATATTGATTTAGATGAATTGTTTGCGAAATTGGATACGTAATCTAATTAAAGTAGTACTTCCTCTTTTTATGAAGACCAACCAGAGTTTTGAGATATAACCCATTCCTCAGATTAATATGTTCATTCAAATAAACAATAAGAAAAAAAAAAAAAAATTACCATTTGAATGATGTTTTAATCATTAAGAGGCAATTAATTAAAACAAAAATCAATTTTCACTATATATAACATTTAATTAAGACTCATCGATTCAGTAAATTAATTTCTGCTATATATAATTGAACTAATTGTTGGATTTCTTTTCATTATTAAATTATCATAAACTCAAATGGGTCTTTGCCAATCTACCAAATCTACTCTTAAACTTCCTAATATACCTGCCTCAAAGCACATCTAGATTAATTTTGAAAAGATTAAAGAATACGAAATATAATACACACGTCAAGAAAGATTTCAAAAAAAACAATCTACTGAAGGATTCTCACCTCTAAACAATGTTGTAAAATGAATCCTAACCTGATTTTCTTATTTTTATAATCTCTAATCTATATTAAGCTATTTTCTATAATCATTTTAAGTTTTCTTTAGAAATTACTTATCTTATTTCTCTATCCATTTTCTAAATCATTGTATTCGAGAATATAATTGAACTTCAAGTGTTTTTAAACAATTATCACTATCGCTTTAAAAATTGAAATTTCAAGTGTTTACCATAAAATATATCAATATTGATCTTTGGAGATAATCATTTAAGTTTAAAAATTAGTCTCAAAGCAACATTCAATTATTATATAAAGAAGTATGATTAACTATACTGGTTGGTTATTTAATTAACTAACATTATATAAATGATAAATATTTCAATTAAAACATATTACTTGATTACATTAAAATAATTATTATTTAAGAAGAAATCATACCATTTCTTTTTCCTAAGATTTACGTTAGAATATTTATATATAATTTTTATATAATATTTAAAATGGATTAGAGTAAATAATTGATAAAGAATGAACTTTTGAATTTGAGTTTTTCAGAAGAACAAATAGCTTAAGTATTACCAAGTGCTGATAGTATAGAACAAGCAGTAGAATTGCTTTTAGCATTGTAAGAGGGATAGCAAACAAAAAAATAAAATGTTGGATTATTTACAGATATTGATGCAATTCCTTTTGATATAAATTTTGATGATATAAAAGCACCAGGAGAGTAATTTGATAAGAGATATAAAATGGTTTGTGTAGTGAGAATGGATCTAAAAATGGGAATAGGTAAGATAGCAGCATAAACAGGACATGCAGGTATAATTAATGTATTAATAAATGCATAGTTTTGGGAGCATATAAATAATTATTAAATGATAAATATGATTTGTTATAAAAATGGGAAGGAAGTGGTTAAGCAAAAGTAGTAGTGAAATGTGAGAGTCAATAAGAATTGCATAATATAGAAGCAAAAGCAAGATAGAATGGATTGATTACATATATAGTAACAGATGCAGGTAGAACATAAGTAATTATAAATTTCAATTAATTTAAGGTTGAACCTGGAAGTTAAACAGTTTGTGCAATAGGACCTGCTGATTGTGATCTAATTGATTAAGTGACTGGTCATTTGAAATTATTATGATATCAATAATATAAAATAGTAAAAGCATTATCAATTAGTTGATCTAAAATTTTTGGCTATTTTTTTAAGATCTAATTAGTTAACAAGTGGAGTAGTTGATTCTTATTATTTTTCTTCATTTCTTTAGACTGATTCATTATTGAAATCTTTCATGAGATGTTAAGTTTCTTCAATTATTTTTAATTATAACATTTATTACTTCTTAGATTAAACAGTTTTCCATAAACTAGATCTTGATCTCTATTTAATAAGAGGCATGGGAGCAAAAGATTTAATGCCTTTAAATGAGAGTAATTCAATCTACTCTCTTAATTTTAGGAGTCTTTCTTATTCATCTTAAACTTTCTATTTTTCTTTCATTTTTTCATGTTTAGTAGTATCCATATTGGATAGTTTTTCTCTTTAAGTTTTAACTTAAATATTTTAATCTAATTCAAGCCATACAATATCAGCTTTAACAAATCCATTTTCATTATATCCTCCAAAAATAAGTAATCTATTTTCATCCTAAGCAGCACAATGACCTGCTCTACCATCTCTATATTCCATTTAAATATTACACCAAGTTTAGGAGTCTACTTTAAAAATATGACAATCATTTAAAAATATAGAATCTATATTGATACCACCAAAAATGACTATCAATTATTACTTATCAAAGTAATTACAAGAATGTTTATATCTAGCACATGGTTGAATTCCTTTAGCTTTAATTTCACTCCAATACATAGGTCTTTAATATGTATTTNACAAAAAAATAAAATGTTGGATTATTTACAGATATTGATGCAATTCCTTTTGATATAAATTTTGATGATATAAAAGCACCAGGAGAGTAATTTGATAAGAGATATAAAATGGTTTGTGTAGTGAGAATGGATCTAAAAATGGGAATAGGTAAGATAGCAGCATAAACAGGACATGCAGGTATAATTAATGTATTAATAAATGCATAGTTTTGGGAGCATATAAATAATTATTAAATGATAAATATGATTTGTTATAAAAATGGGAAGGAAGTGGTTAAGCAAAAGTAGTAGTGAAATGTGAGAGTCAATAAGAATTGCATAATATAGAAGCAAAAGCAAGATAGAATGGATTGATTACATATATAGTAACAGATGCAGGTAGAACATAAGTAATTATAAATTTCAATTAATTTAAGGTTGAACCTGGAAGTTAAACAGTTTGTGCAATAGGACCTGCTGATTGTGATCTAATTGATTAAGTGACTGGTCATTTGAAATTATTATGATATCAATAATATAAAATAGTAAAAGCATTATCAATTAGTTGATCTAAAATTTTTGGCTATTTTTTTAAGATCTAATTAGTTAACAAGTGGAGTAGTTGATTCTTATTATTTTTCTTCATTTCTTTAGACTGATTCATTATTGAAATCTTTCATGAGATGTTAAGTTTCTTCAATTATTTTTAATTATAACATTTATTACTTCTTAGATTAAACAGTTTTCCATAAACTAGATCTTGATCTCTATTTAATAAGAGGCATGGGAGCAAAAGATTTAATGCCTTTAAATGAGAGTAATTCAATCTACTCTCTTAATTTTAGGAGTCTTTCTTATTCATCTTAAACTTTCTATTTTTCTTTCATTTTTTCATGTTTAGTAGTATCCATATTGGATAGTTTTTCTCTTTAAGTTTTAACTTAAATATTTTAATCTAATTCAAGCCATACAATATCAGCTTTAACAAATCCATTTTCATTATATCCTCCAAAAATAAGTAATCTATTTTCATCCTAAGCAGCACAATGACCTGCTCTACCATCTCTATATTCCATTTAAATATTACACCAAGTTTAGGAGTCTACTTTAAAAATATGACAATCATTTAAAAATATAGAATCTATATTGATACCACCAAAAATGACTATCAATTATTACTTATCAAAGTAATTACAAGAATGTTTATATCTAGCACATGGTTGAATTCCTTTAGCTTTAATTTCACTCCAATACATAGGTCTTTAATATGTATTTAATAAATAAAATCCAGAATATAATTATCCCTATTTATTTTCACCTCCAAATAAGTAGACTCCTTCAACTTTTTATTTCATATCCTTTAAATCATCAACATCTAAATTAGATTTATAAAGTTGTATTAATCTATTTGTATTATAAACAGAAACTAAAGTATGAAAAGCAATTCCATTCTAAAAATAATTGCAATTATCAATATTAGCAGGTGCTTATTTGGATGTAGTGACATCAAAATGAAATGCATCTGATAGATATTTTCCTTTTGTATTTATTCCTCCCATAATAAATAAATGTTTGCCTACCAATGTACTAGCTTATCCTCTTCTTACTTCTACTCCTTCTCCACTTGTTCTAACAAATTTGAATTCATTAGTTTCTGTATTAAAAACTCTAAAATCATTTAAACTTTCTCTTATTTTCTAAGCATTATCATATGGTTTTTCTCCTCCAAAATAAAATATTGATCTTCTATATACTCCTGCTATATGATTAGTTCTACCATATGGTGGTTTATCTATTACTTCTATTTAAGACCATTCATTTCCATTCCAAACATTCATATCATTAAATGGTGTAGCACTTATTCCACCATATAAATAGAATTTATTTTAAATTACACTCAATGTGGCACCTTCTCTCATTGGAGGTCTCCATTTACCATAAAATCTCTCAACCCAATTTAAATAATAATTTGGAATTGAAGCATCTTATACTAATTCAATTACTTTTGGTTAATGTTTATTTAATTTCTAACCATCATCATTTAATCTAGATGGATAACATTTTATTCTTGGTAATTTACCCACTTATTAACTTTTACTTATTGTATATTATTCAATCAATTAAGACAGTTACTCATTCTAATGTTTTATTTATGCTCTATTATGTCCCAATTAAAATGCAATCTCATCCAATGGACCATAACCTGTATATATTTTACTAGAACTTTTATCATGCAAACTCCTTAAACTATGCTAAGAATTATTTTTAAATAATCTAGCTCTATAAGGTTACCATTTTTAATCCTTCTCTAATTTATCCACTAATGTTTTATCTACTTATAATAATTCCTATGAACTTATGAATTTACTTAGCTTGCTTTTATTATTCTATATTGGTAATGGTGGATGTATCTATAATCTTTAATTTATTTTACCATTTATAATCCTCTTTACACTAAGTATTTATATTTAGTCAATGACAGATCACTTATTCCTTAATTCTAATATTCTTTTACTAAATGATCCATAGCTTCATCTTCATCATTAAAATTTAGAATTGGTTGAAGTGGAGAAGGTGAGTCACTATTGCTCATTTTTATAAATATATATTTTCAAAATAAATATTTATTTTCTTTATATTTACAATGTAACTAAAATTATGATGATAACTTTATCAACTCATATTCTTTTATTCTACACATTTTTATACCATTCTTTTCATATTCTATTATTAAAACTCAAATAATTATTATTGTTTTCAACTTTCACATACAAATTAATATCTTATCTAAATAACTGAAAACTTCTAACAAATTAGATTTTTATTTTTTTAGTATCAATTCCAATAATAAAACAGACTAGTATTAATTAATTGTAGGTTAAAAAATATTATTTTTAATAAATAATATTTTACATGAAATCTCTTCCAAAATAAGATTTTTTAATTGTTAAGCTTTGGTCTTTCTAAATTTTTAAAAATACATTGATATATATCTATAATAATAATACTTAAATTTACTTATAATTTATCGATAAATAAATAAATATAAGCTATTGCGTTAATATATTTGTGCTCTTCATATATAAAACTAATATTATCAAATAAATTTATGGGAGTGTGTCATTCTAAAAAATCAGAACAAAACAAAAATACTCCTATTCTCAGTAAAACTCAACCCAAAGCTAAAATCCCTTAAACCACTGAGAAAATATTAGAAATTGCTATCACAGAGCCTTTTGAAGATAGCAATCTACTATATATGTCTCAATAATCTAAACCTAAATGCTAATTACCTAAACATTCAAGTCCTACATACTCATTGAATCTCTCCAATTATAAATATCGTTTTTCATCTAAATATGTTCACTAAGAATTCAAACTTAATGAGAGTATCATACATATTTATTACTTAGAATAACTTATAATTCATAGATAGACTGGGTTACCCTATGACCTTGAGATTTTGGAGTCCACATCTGAGAATAGAGGGTTGATTAGAAAATTATTTAACACCACTTTTCATATCAATGAATCAGATTGTTCAAATATCTTTAACATTATTGAGATATGCTTATAAAATAGATTTATTTTGGTTGTTAGACAATATATAGAGGCTAACAGTCTTGAATCGCAATTATAAATTCTCAGATAGAATGTTAATACTTTATCAATTTCCGTCAATAAGATAATTAAAATCATAATGACGCTACATTCATTAGATATAATTCATTTTAATTTGAGTATTAAGTCTTTCTAGTATTAATAACTATCAGGATACATATATCTTAATAATTTATCGGATTTATATAATAGTGATGATATCAATTTTTAATACATCTCACCAGAATAATTAAATTACATTCCTTATTTTACAAAGGAATGTAATCTATGGTCTTTAGGAATGATTATTTGTTTAATGATGGATTGTCCAAAAATACCAATTTATAATGATAAATTGAATAAATTTAAAAAACAAATAGAAAAGTGGCAACCCAAACAATCATTGAAATATATTTAGAATAGAGAACTTTAAGAATTTATTCTAAAAATGCTATAAAAAAACCCCATTGAAAGAACTTTTTGAATTTCTCTTTTTATATTATAAAATTAATTAAAGAAAACTAAACTTGTTTTATAGTGAAAGTTAAATTGTATTGCAAATGGAGGCAAAATTGATTAATATTTGTTATGGCAGCTGAGAATTGTAATTCATTTATAAGATTTGCCCTAGATCTCATAAGGGCTGAAGATTACTATGCATCAACTTCGCCAAAGATAGAATAGAAGAAACCTAAATTAAGATTATTTGATATTGATGAAAGCCCAAAAAGATATACGACTATCAAACCCTTTCCAATCTAATAAAAAATCACAAAGATGAAATAAATTGAAAAGCCTATTCAAAATACTGTGACAAAATGTAAATGTATGAAATCTAAATGTCAAAAATCTTATTGTGAATGTTTTGCTGCAGGAAAAGCTTGCAATATTGATTGTAATTGTTAAGGATGTAATAATTCAAGTTGTTCTTAATCAACAAAAAAACTATAGACTGGAGGATGTAATTGTAAAAAAACAGGTTGTATGAAAAAGTATTGTGAATGTTATTTGAAAAAATAAAGATGTACATTCTTGTGTAATTGTATTGATTGTTGTAATCAAGAAGATTCAGAATCAGAAAAAGAAAATGAATAATTATAATAACATAGCATCGATTGTGGATAAACAACTACTAATTAAATAACATAACAATGAATAAATTTTTATAAAATAATATTACCTCGTTTTAATAATTGAATAGGTCTTCGTAATTATAATACTAAGACTAATATTGTACATAAAATTACGAGTATTATAATAAACTAAATAATGTTTTTTCATTCTAAATCTTCCTTTCTTTTTTAATAGATAAGATCCAGAACGAAATGATGATCTTCAATTGAAAAACATTTCAATTTTTTAGAACAAATAGTTAAATCTCTATCTATTAACTTTAATAAAGTAATTTTTTCTTTTAATTAAAGAACTTACAATTTTATATTAGAATTATTTAGAAATAGAATAATCATTCAAGTGAATAATTTAAGACTGACTAGATTACCCAACAACTTCATTTCCATTCTTATATTTATTAGCTACTTCCTAAATAATAGAGATAGTCAAATGCTTATAATTCATTAATCATTTTAGTTTTAAAATCATCTTTAGGAAAAGCAACATCTAGATAATTTGGAATAGAAACCAACCCAGATACATGTTTCTTATTGATATATTCTATAATTCTGGCAATTTTTGAGTTATGAGCTTATCATTTTTTATAGACTATTTTTGGATGAAACCATTCATTTATTACTAATTTATGTTTTAGTAAATACTTCATTCTAACATTATAAAACTAATAAGTAATATATAAAAATAATAGAGTAGAGTGATAATAAGTTATTCAAAAACCATAGAGTTCTTTAATGTTAATTTTCATTACAGTCAAATTAGGTTTCAATAACTCATTTTCATATCTTCCTCAAAAAATCAAAAAGGACTAGTCATATTTCAAATAGCGACAATTAAACATATTTATTCTATATCAAAATTTAATGAATGCTTTTTTAAATATTACAATAAGTCACTATTATTATTTGTACCAAGATCTTAATAAGTTTAAATTCTCTACTCTCAATTAAATTACCTAATAATTATATTAATGATACATTATCTATTAAATTAGAGTTCTATTTTTACAATCACATCTTCCAAAAATTATATCTTAATTTGAAACAAAACTATTTGACAACTCAAATAATTATACTATATATGCTGATATAGTTATAATGTACCTTCTTTAATTTTTTCATAGAATGTTTACCATATCTCATCATCTAAAAATTTAATTTAACATTTTTTACCATTTTCTTTTATAAACCAAATTTATAAATCTCCATTTAATTTGTATCACCATTTTATAAATTCTCATATTAATATTGGCAATCATTCTAAGGATTAGTTGATGTATAGATAGTTAATTTTTGATTTCCTATTACTAGATTACTAGATTCTTTATTTTATTCATTTACAATCTCTTGTCAAAAAATAATATAAGAATTTTAGAATATTGCACTAGATTTAAGGATGTTACATTGCTACTAAAACTATTTTTTTTAAAATAGATGAAATCCAATTTTTCTCTTTTGAATTTTATAGAACAATTCATGTTTAAGGTAAATACAAGTAGCCATACTCAAATTTTAACTTAATAATTATTTAATTATTTTACCACTTCGTGTAATGCAAAAAAATGATTTATCACTTGTTACTTATCGAAAGATATTTTCAATCTAAGTTCAAAAAATTTTCAAAAATTAATTTGAAAGGATTCGCTCCTGATTTTATTTATTTATTTTTTTACAACATTATAATAAATAAATTATAATTTAAAATATTTTATATTATTTTATATAATTCAATCAGTATTCTATTTACTTTTGCAAGTTATAAAAATTTCAAAACTAAATTAAGATCATTCTTAATTTCAAAATATCATCTTGAATTTGTTTTCTTATTAATTTAAACTCTATTAAGTATTATTATGACTATCTACTAGATAATAATAAAAAAAAAAGTAAAATTAAATTAGATTGGAGAAAATAAAAAGAATTGAATTAGTATTTTTGAGATTAAAAAAGATAAAACTTATTTTGTATTACAATTAAAAACCAGTTGTTTTATATTTTAATGTTTTACTAAGGAATAGTTCTTAAAAATAAATTATTACGTTTTGAGTATATATGAGACAATAAGAATCAAATAATTTAATAGAGAAATGATAAAAGAAGAAATTACAATAAGAATTGGTTGTTCTAATGAATTTTTGATTTGTAATAATTTTATATTTTATTCATAAAAATATAATGAATAATAGATTTGAGAATTCCTAAGATCATGATTTAGACATGTGTGGCATTTCAAGATCATATTCATAAACAAAATTACCAAGCCAAAACAATAATAATAAAGATAAATTAAAAAATGAGTTTGTATAATATATTTTAAATGATAAGGTGGATAAAAAACTATTATAAAGAAAGGATTAAGAAGATCTTGGAGGTTCAATATAATTAAATGATTTAAATATTTTGGGATTGAAAGATTACTACTCTGGTGCATGCGATAATACTTTGGAAATAAAACCTAAGAAAATAGAAGAAGTCAATGATCGTATTGAAATAGAAGCATAATAAAATGAACCATTAAATACTAATTTAGATTAATTGGGTCAAAAATTAAATGAAGTGATTGGACAATATCTTAGTGAACTTACTTCTTAATCTAGATTATCTCTAGACTCATTTTCCTTATAAAATAGTGAAAATCTAGATGAAGAACAATAATAATAAATAATAGATCTTGAATTAAATGTAATTAGATAGCGTATATATAAGGTATGGATTTCAATTTAAATTAGTAAATTGTTGATAAGATCAACCTTTCTGTGATTCAATCAGTCCAATCAATTGGAACTTCTAGTTAACTTATATCTTAAACTTAATCTAATTAAATTTCAACACATGTTTCGAAAGAACTTATGAATAATAGTACTACATAGTTTTCTTAAATTTCATAAAAATCACCACCAAAATCACTTACTCATTCTCTTTTAGACTTATAATCCTAACTTTATTAAAGTGCCTAATAAGCATATGCTCGGCCTAATAAAAAAATTGATGAATTACCATTTAATATTTTAGATTGTGAAGGAACAAAAGAAGAGTTATAAAATAAGCTCAAGATTTCCATTTAATTAAATTATTAATAGTCCTAAATAAACAACTAATTAAGAGAAGAACTATAAAAATATGAAGTATGGTCATTTTTTTATGAATTTAGAAAATGAATTAACCTTAAGATTCTATTTATGAAGATGAAATACATACTTTATAATAAGAGATCCTAAATTTGAGACTAGAAAATGCTAAACTAAAAGAAAATTAATCAAACAAACTATGCGAAAAATGTAAAGACAGTATATGACTTTTTGAAATAATATTCATATCTATAATTATCATTGATTAAGTTTTTCTTACTTTATTAAAGGAAGTATTTTATCAAAAATTTTTTGATACTATTATAGAATATTTTCGATTTTTTTTTCTTCCTTTTAAGGTTATTGTAACATCTTAAGTCTTTAATAACCCTAATTTTATAGTTTGTAATTTTAAATAGGCTTAACGTTTAAACTCTTTTCTTAATTTTATGATTGTTTTACTTAAGTTCTATTTGCCCTTGTACTAGATTTACAATTTGATTTATCAAAAGTAGATGTTCTTAATCTTATATGAAGATTACATTTATTTTAATTTAATTTGCATTCTAGTATTTTCTTTCTTTCTATTTTCTTAGATTTCAATAGATTTTTTAGAGTTGCAAGAACTTACACTACGTATAGATTACCTTGAATACAAATATATTTTTGTTTAATTTTACAGATTTATGAAAAGTAGATTCAACTTGATTTAATTTATGTAGAAGTTTTTTGTTTTATTTCATAATCCCTTCCCATTTATAAATTTCTTATTTTCTTGCAGATATATATCTGTTTTGTTTATAAACATCAAATGTTTTATCCAATTTCGGAAGGGAACTCTTTCTTGATTTAATTTCAGTTAATCTTCTTTAATGGATTAAATAGGCTCTAAATAATAATAGATTAATTATACTGATTGTTCTAATGTTAGAAGTATCTCTGCATATACTTTTAACTAATTTATATAAAAATATATAAAAATCAAACTATTTTGGAAGTAACTTGGACAAATTTTTTGAGGTTTATTTATTTTTTACTCAATAAATAGATTGCAGCAGCTACACAAAATCCAGTAGTAATACTCCATTTCCAATATTGTTCTTTCTTTTTTTTGTTTTGATTCTATTGATATATATAATTAATATATATTACCACTTATGCTTGTTTCTTAATAATTTCTATTTCTTTGAGTACTTTTTATCTCTTTTATCTAACTCTATTCATGTCATAGAATGTAACAACCTTAATCTGAATTACCATTTACCTTATCTGTAATGCATTCAGTTTTTTATTAATTGTTTACTTCCCTAAAATGGCTGAACAAGGAAAGTTTACTGATAAAATAGACTTTCACTTTTAAGGCGAATTGCTTTCTATTGATTGTAATTTAATTCATCTATAATAATTTTGAAAAATCTAAATTCACATCTCCATTATACAATATTATTAACACTATTGTTGGATATTTATACTCTTCTAAATATGGTATATATTCTGATCTAATAATCTGATGTTACCTAGTCTTCAAAATAATGTTTTGTTTACTGTTGATCTAAAAAGATTGTCTATTTTTTATTTAATTTCGTAACACAATTATTTGGCTTTGGTAGCTGGATATTTAATTCTGGTATCAAATATCACAATTTCTCCTTAAAGTATATCTCCTTGATCTTTAGCTAATTTATTAGAATATAATTCATAGAAGTTATTTTATTGCTACTCTTGCTTATCTTAATTAAATGAATTAGATGGATTATGCACAAATTAATGTCTACGATTAGTTTAATCTTATCTACTCTATTATTTTTTAAATACGTTGTTCTTATTGATCGAAAGTAATCTTCTTTTGTATATACATTCGTATTTTCTAATTTCTAATCAAACATCAAAGAAAATGAATTAAAAGTAAAATTTCTTAATGCAAAGAATACTTGACTCTCAGTGTTTTGATTCTATATTTAAACTAAAACAAATTACATTTATTTGTTGTGTTTTATAGTTTATCAATTATTCACAACTCACTTTCTTTGAATCTAAAATATGTAGCATATGAACAAATGATGGAGTTAGAAAGGTATCAAATTCATCTCCAATTAAATAATGTGCATAACGTTATAAGAATTGACTTTCAATTTTTGAATGAATATCTTAAGCTGAAGCTTAGGATTTTCCTGTATGAGCAATATCATTCATTTTTACAAACTATTATATTAAAAAATATAAATAATTTTAATTTGTCTAAATTCAACAAATAATAAAACAATAAAACATCAAACTTCTAAATTTGTAATTATATAATCTTATCTTACAACTAAATATACTATTATCAAGAATTCTATTCAATTTCTAAAACTTCTCTTCAAATTCAATTAAATAAAATAAATTGTCTCTAAAAACTACTTTTAAATATTTTTGGATATAATCCATTTCTGAAGAGTTATCAAATAGGATTAAAAATTTAAAATATAATTATTTAAACTTAATTATGAATCAAAAACCTAATTTATAAGATGGTTAGGGTTTTATTAACACTAATAAATTTACTAATCAATTAAGAATCTTGAATGAATCATCACATTAAACACCAAGATAAGTAAAGCCTCTTGATTCTCCATTTAATAATGCTTTCATTAAAAAATGTTTAACTCAATAATCTCAATCTCCTAATTAAAGAAGAATTCTTTATGGAAATTTCTAATAAATTTTATGTACTAAAAAGACTTGTTCTCCAATTTCAAAAGAATAATTATTTAATTTTAGTTCAGAAAAATAACAAAAGGAAACTAATTAAAAATTCAATAAATTTAATAATTAATCAAAATAAAAAAAATACAGTCCTGTAGTATAGGGAATTTAAAGAAATTAAAGACAATAGATAAAAGATAAGTTACTTTTAATCTCAAAAGATTTAGACAGTACTTAAATTAACTAAATAATTTAATTAATTTATAAATGAAATATGATTGTATAAAATTACAGTATGTTTATCTTTTATTGGTTTGAGAATTTGTCATGACAACATTAACAATGCATTATAGATACCTAATTCAATTATTTGGATGTAATTAAAACATTTTTCAAATAAATATTTGAATTGATTCTTTATTTTTTATAAGTGCGCCTATAATTTTGGTTGGTTTCTCTCATTATAAAACTGGCTTCAAAATAATAAATTTTGTGAAAGGATCTATTTCTCTACTCTTAAATTCAGATATTATATAATTATTGATCTTCTTAATATTTTAATAAGAATTTTCTTATGGTTTACAAATACAATTTTAATATGTCATTATTATTATTGATCGAGAATAATAATTATTGTGTATAAACAAAACCCCATACATCAATATTTGTATTATAAGAATAACAAATAATAAATTCAGGAGCTCGGTAAGATATTTAATTACATGATATTTTACAACTGTTACTTCAGCCATACCAAAATCAAATATTTTTAACAATTTTTTGTTAATTGATAAAATCAGCTTTTACATTAATACATATGTAAATAGATTAAAAATTGAATTTATTAGAATCTTATCTGGTTTAATAAATTTACTGGATTTTCTTAAATGAGCTACCTAAATCAATTTTTTTAAGCTTTATCTTCCCCAAATATTATTTAAATATCTTTAGCTCTTTTAAATGTTATATCATATTACTCTCCATCTTAGATTGTTTTAAAAATATATCTTTAATATATTTATTAATTATTTTATAATCCTTTAAGGTTTTACAATATTTTGTAATATTTATCATCATAAACCTTGAATGATACATTCTAGTTTTCTCCCATTATATTTAAAACTTCATTTTCTAATTCATCATTTAATTTCCAAAAAGTTTTTTAGNCAATAATCTCAATCTCCTAATTAAAGAAGAATTCTTTATGGAAATTTCTAATAAATTTTATGTACTAAAAAGACTTGTTCTCCAATTTCAAAAGAATAATTATTTAATTTTAGTTCAGAAAAATAACAAAAGGAAACTAATTAAAAATTCAATAAATTTAATAATTAATCAAAATAAAAAAAATACAGTCCTGTAGTATAGGGAATTTAAAGAAATTAAAGACAATAGATAAAAGATAAGTTACTTTTAATCTCAAAAGATTTAGACAGTACTTAAATTAACTAAATAATTTAATTAATTTATAAATGAAATATGATTGTATAAAATTACAGTATGTTTATCTTTTATTGGTTTGAGAATTTGTCATGACAACATTAACAATGCATTATAGATACCTAATTCAATTATTTGGATGTAATTAAAACATTTTTCAAATAAATATTTGAATTGATTCTTTATTTTTTATAAGTGCGCCTATAATTTTGGTTGGTTTCTCTCATTATAAAACTGGCTTCAAAATAATAAATTTTGTGAAAGGATCTATTTCTCTACTCTTAAATTCAGATATTATATAATTATTGATCTTCTTAATATTTTAATAAGAATTTTCTTATGGTTTACAAATACAATTTTAATATGTCATTATTATTATTGATCGAGAATAATAATTATTGTGTATAAACAAAACCCCATACATCAATATTTGTATTATAAGAATAACAAATAATAAATTCAGGAGCTCGGTAAGATATTTAATTACATGATATTTTACAACTGTTACTTCAGCCATACCAAAATCAAATATTTTTAACAATTTTTTGTTAATTGATAAAATCAGCTTTTACATTAATACATATGTAAATAGATTAAAAATTGAATTTATTAGAATCTTATCTGGTTTAATAAATTTACTGGATTTTCTTAAATGAGCTACCTAAATCAATTTTTTTAAGCTTTATCTTCCCCAAATATTATTTAAATATCTTTAGCTCTTTTAAATGTTATATCATATTACTCTCCATCTTAGATTGTTTTAAAAATATATCTTTAATATATTTATTAATTATTTTATAATCCTTTAAGGTTTTACAATATTTTGTAATATTTATCATCATAAACCTTGAATGATACATTCTAGTTTTCTCCCATTATATTTAAAACTTCATTTTCTAATTCATCATTTAATTTCCAAAAAGTTTTTTAGTATAGATTACATTCACTATAGTTCTTTTTGTTGTTAACTATAAAAATAAAAACAATTCGTTATCAATTCTTTTGTTAATCACCATAAAAAATTAATCGAATTTTTTAATCAAATATAAGAAGGGAATACTATTTCTTTTTATCTATCTATAATTATGATTTAACTTTAATCATCTCATTATTAGGTGATGTTAAAATCTCTTATTAAAATATTTTAATATATCCTTCCTAATCTATCTTTTTCTCAAATAATAGCAACCTCATCTTCAACAATCTATATTTAGCATTTTCAATGTTTTCTAATGTTGTAATTATAATCTTCTATTATTATTATTAATTTCTAATGCTCTATTCTTGACTTCATTCTTATTATGGTTGCTTTAATTATAAATTCAAATCTAAAATCTTTTAATCTTCCTTCTTCTCTTTTCCATTTAAATCTTTTTATTTTCTTATCTAAATTTCTTTATATATCATCATAAAGAATTGTCTCCTTCCTCCATTATATCTATATATGTTTTAAACTTTAATATTTATTCATTTGAATTATTTCTTGCTAACTCTAATGTCCAATTTTAAGCATCTTCAAATTTAATTTAATTATTTTATTTATGTTAAAACTAAGGAACAATTATTTCCATATGTTTATAGAATCTCCATTATTATTAAATATATGATATAAAGTATTAATATTTGCAAATTTTTACAATAAAATATATCGATAGCGATTGAATTATTGATTTTAAAATTACTTTACTAATTATTTTTTGTATTACTCAAATAATTATATATTTAAGGCAACNATATTTGTATTATAAGAATAACAAATAATAAATTCAGGAGCTCGGTAAGATATTTAATTACATGATATTTTACAACTGTTACTTCAGCCATACCAAAATCAAATATTTTTAACAATTTTTTGTTAATTGATAAAATCAGCTTTTACATTAATACATATGTAAATAGATTAAAAATTGAATTTATTAGAATCTTATCTGGTTTAATAAATTTACTGGATTTTCTTAAATGAGCTACCTAAATCAATTTTTTTAAGCTTTATCTTCCCCAAATATTATTTAAATATCTTTAGCTCTTTTAAATGTTATATCATATTACTCTCCATCTTAGATTGTTTTAAAAATATATCTTTAATATATTTATTAATTATTTTATAATCCTTTAAGGTTTTACAATATTTTGTAATATTTATCATCATAAACCTTGAATGATACATTCTAGTTTTCTCCCATTATATTTAAAACTTCATTTTCTAATTCATCATTTAATTTCCAAAAAGTTTTTTAGTATAGATTACATTCACTATAGTTCTTTTTGTTGTTAACTATAAAAATAAAAACAATTCGTTATCAATTCTTTTGTTAATCACCATAAAAAATTAATCGAATTTTTTAATCAAATATAAGAAGGGAATACTATTTCTTTTTATCTATCTATAATTATGATTTAACTTTAATCATCTCATTATTAGGTGATGTTAAAATCTCTTATTAAAATATTTTAATATATCCTTCCTAATCTATCTTTTTCTCAAATAATAGCAACCTCATCTTCAACAATCTATATTTAGCATTTTCAATGTTTTCTAATGTTGTAATTATAATCTTCTATTATTATTATTAATTTCTAATGCTCTATTCTTGACTTCATTCTTATTATGGTTGCTTTAATTATAAATTCAAATCTAAAATCTTTTAATCTTCCTTCTTCTCTTTTCCATTTAAATCTTTTTATTTTCTTATCTAAATTTCTTTATATATCATCATAAAGAATTGTCTCCTTCCTCCATTATATCTATATATGTTTTAAACTTTAATATTTATTCATTTGAATTATTTCTTGCTAACTCTAATGTCCAATTTTAAGCATCTTCAAATTTAATTTAATTATTTTATTTATGTTAAAACTAAGGAACAATTATTTCCATATGTTTATAGAATCTCCATTATTATTAAATATATGATATAAAGTATTAATATTTGCAAATTTTTACAATAAAATATATCGATAGCGATTGAATTATTGATTTTAAAATTACTTTACTAATTATTTTTTGTATTACTCAAATAATTATATATTTAAGGCAACTATTAACGAATATATCCTTGAAGAATCTATAAGTTAATAAAAAATAAAAGCATAATAATTAATTAGGGAGAATTTTCTCAAAGAAATATACAGAAATAATATTGAGTATGGTTCAAGGATTTATAAAGTTACTTCTCTAATAAAATAACACTTTTAAATTTCATTTTTTATCATTTTTAATTTTATTCGTTAATTCAAAAATAATATGAATTATTTTATAAAATTATTTGGAATATTATGATTTCACTTTATACTTTATTTCCAAAAATCACGATCAAAAGCCTTAGTTTTCTTTTGAATGTTAAAAAATAAAGAAATTAAGACTTTTTTAAATCCATATTGAATTTAAAGATGATTTAATTTATTCAACCTTGAGACTTATTGATTTTCACTTGTAAGTAATATTATTTAGAATTATTGAAGCTTTTAATGATTTTGAAATGTAAAAAATAACACTATAAAGTCATTCTTAAAGATGAACACAAAAATTATTATAAAAAGATACTTCTGGAACATAAAATTAAATTAAATTTTTATAAAAAATTATTTCTTGATAATAAAGGGTAGGAATTTAAAAAAAGGTAAAATCTTAAAGATTTAAATAAAATCTTTATGATTCATAGCAGAAATTGAATTTAATTCAAATATTTCTAATGCGTATTAATTAATTGAAAAGCTTTATTCAAAAAATTTATATTAAGGAAAAGTAATCTTGAGTTTAATATTGGGATTATAACACAAACTTTAAAGATCTTTTTAAATCAATAATATCATTTATATGGTTAAATTCAATAAAGGATCTCAAACTTACCCTCACAATGTCTAAAGCAACACATGTATAATAATTTTTGAATTTAGAATCTCAAGACAGTATAGAAAGTCCTAATTAGTGTGTAATAACAATTCAAAAAGAAGGTCATCATTAAGAAAATTGTACCATTTGCTATAAAAAACTTTGCTCTAAATGTTTTAGATAATTAGAACTCTTCTCTTCTAAAGAAACTAAAACTTTTTAATGTCCACATTGCGAAGAATTAAGGGAATTAAAAAATACTATACTATACTTCATAGTAAATGTTCTCTAACTAATAATATTCCTTTCTCTTTCACCTATTGTGGCATTTGCACTTGCACTTAATAAAACTGAAAAGCTTATTTAAGAAATAGAAACGAAAGTTGATAGCATTTTTGTTATTTTAATTGTTAACTTGTTTTTCAGCATACCTATTTATATTGGAGAGCTTATAATTTGTATTTTCATAGCTCCTTTCAAGATTTTCCTTGGATTTCAAAAAGCCATGAATCAAAGAGACTTTGTAATCATGAAAAGAGTGTTCTCATAATAATGAAATTTGTTTTATATATGCTTATTGATTAATACGTAATATATTTCATAATTTTTTCTTTTTAAAGAGCTATTTTAATATCAAGATGATGCATCAATTAAAAACAATTGTTTAAGAAGGTTTAATTCCTTCAAATTATATATCAATATAAAAATAATAAAAGATTACCTTATTTATTATTCATTTATTTATTTTATAACGACCTTTTTAAGGAAAATAATGAATATTATCTTCAAATTTCGTGATTTTAAACTAAATTAAGTCGAAGATAGAAAATAAAATAAACTGTGATGTCAAAGATTTTTACCTTATTTCTTTAAAAAAAGATGTAGTTGTTGACTACTCAAACCTAAGATAACAGTTTCTAAGAAGTTTTAGTTGAGTACTACTATTTTAAGAATACATCATATATTATAAGTCTTAAATTTTTTGATTTGATAATTATTCACAATTTTATATTAATTAAAGATTCAAATTTAATTATTGAATATTTATAAAGAGAACTTCAATCTCCATAATTTTTATTTTTAATGTTATTCAGAGAAGAATCCTTTATTAAAAAAAAATTTTTATTAATATTTATAAAATGTTATATTATTTTGACTTATTTAATTTGAGTTTTTTAATGTATATTATATCAATAGATAGGAGTTTGGCTTGATAAATTTATTCAAATTATTAATAGTTCATAATATTGAAAATTTTGTTTAAAAATGAAAAAAATAATAATTATATTTTGAGTTTTATATATAAAGTTAAATTCATTAACATTAATTAAATGAAGACTAAGGAGGAAGAATATTCATGGATTCTATTTATAATAGAGTTCTTTTAAAATGACTAAATTATAAATATTATAATTACACATGAATAGATTGTTTTTTAAGTTTTAAGTATTTAACTTCTAATGGAGAAGGACTTAGATCTTCATTGTTTTCTTCATGTTCTTCTTAATTTAATTGTTCTTTAGTGACTTTACTCATACTTTCAAATGCTAAGGATAAAAGATTATTATCTTCATAAAAGGAGAGTTATGATAAATTATTTTAATGACTTGGTAGTCCTATAACACTTTAATTTGCACTTTAATTATAACTACTAAAAGTATCATTAAAACTGGAATTGCTTTTTTATTTAGCAGGTGTTAATGATATTTTTCTACAATGTTATTCTGGAGTTTTTAAAAAGCTGTGTCCAGATAAGCCTTCTAATCCATTAATTGTACTAGATGATGGTTATTTTTTACGATTTTATAATAAATCTTACTATTCTTAATCTGTAGTTCTTTTAGATCGTTTTAAAATAGCAATTTCTGAACTAGGAACTTAAAGTGATGATGGAGTATAATCCCAATCATATCTTAATTAATCTTAAATATTTTATTAATGAGCTAATTTCTAAAACATTTATCTTAAAAATTTATAATCTGGTGTTGCTCTAAAATCTAATTTACGTGCATAATCAATCATTCTTTCAAATTCATTAGGTAATCCATTACATAATTCATGGAGTGTTATTGTTGTTTTCATATCACCTACTGCTTTTATTTTTTACTCATCCTATAATTTTAAAACTTACCATGGTAAGCTTCCTAAATCAAAATACAAGACTTTACCTTTTAAAAGATAAATTAAAACATATCCTAAAGATTCTAAATCATCTCTTCTACTAAGTTCTAAACCTTTATGTGCTGCTAAACTGGCATATCGAGATGTCCCAAGAAATGGTTTATTATCCTAAAAATTTCTTATTTTTTATCATATTATTATTATACATATGTCTGCCTTTCTTATCTCTATAGAATTTACTAATCCCAAAATCTACTAAGTATAAATTTGAATCATTATCTCTTCCAGTTAATATATTCTCTGGCTTAATATCTCGATGTAATACAGATCTCATATTTTTATTAAATATTACTTTAAATGTATATTTTCCAGAATATTTAACATTTACTCTGCAATCAATAAGACACATTTCAAAGAAAATTTTTTATATTGTCTAATATAATAAGTGAGATCTTTTCCCAGAAAACTTATTACCATTAATATTTATTTCTTATGCTCTCCAAAATAGTATAATCTAGGTATATTGAGAGTCCCATTCAAATGTTAAAGTATTTTTGCCTATTCATATTATTTTGCAGATTAAAGTTACTTCTTTTTCCAAACTTGATCCCTAATCAGTTTTTTCTATCTTTATTGCCACATACTAATTAGTTTTTACATCTTATCCTACAAACACCACACCAAATGAACCTTATGAAATTTTCTTCTTTATTATGTATTAATCATTAATCATTAAAATAATGTCCTTATTATACTTTATTTTTAATAAAGCTAATTTCTTAAATTAAAGACCAACACTATTATTCTTAAAGAAAAAACAATAAGATATTCAATATACTTAAACACTTTTCTTATAAACTTTATTTATTTTGATAAATTAAAAGAATTAAGATCTTATTATGTCCTCTCTCTTTTCAATTATGATCAGATTTAAAATAATAAATTAATAAAACTTTAGATTAAAATAATCATAGTATTAATTAAATATAAACAAAAATAATCTTAAATTTTATATTAATCTTTTGAAAATTAAGAAATACATTGTAGAATATTTTACTATAATACTGAATAATTCTTAAATAGATTTAATATTGAAATTTAATAAAATATGCAAACTTTATACTTTTATCTAAATTGATTTATTAAAATATTACTTATAAATTAAATAATTAAAATGTCAATTTAGAAATAGTTTCACCTTTAATTATCACAATCCCCAAGATCTATCAATAAAACATCCTTGAAATATGATCTTGCCTTACTGGGTTAGAGTGAAAGATTGATAAAATAAACATAAATCGCTCCACCAAAACGTTAAAGAAGTATTATGAAACAGCAATTATTTCTTAAAACTTAAATATAAAATTCTTCATTAAATAAGTCAAATGAAGACTTTCTATTAAAGAAACATAATTAGAATTAAACATCCATTCAAGAATAATTAATTATGAAAGATTTGTTAATATAAGAGTATGAAAAAAAATATAAGGATCAGGTATTTATATATTTAAAAATTTAGATTAATATTTCCTAACAATTGACTTGTTAAGTTGAATAATAAAAGGAGATAATTGATTAATTGTAATTACAAATTAATCATCTAAAACTATACAATACTGATTTAAAAAAATAGATTGATAATAGTACTTTACACTAATAATGTAATGAGAAATAACAAGAATATAAATATTAATTAAAGAGATTGGATGAAATTCTTAGGTAAACTATGGATTAAAATTATACTAATTAATAAAAAATTAAGGATTTTGAGTTAAAGTCTTAAAAACTAAAACTTTAATCAGTAAAATACTTAAATAATATTTTAGAATGAATTAAAATATCATATTATTTGTAAGAATTGCAATGCTTAAATAAAAAAAGCCGTTACTTTGATTCCCTGTGCACATACATTTTGCAGTAAATGTATTGGCAATTTTAAGGGATAGTGTTTTGTGTGTTTAGATTAAGTTATTTTTATAATTTTTCTTAGAGCAAAGTGACAGCGACCTACTCTAATGATTACATTACAGATTTGGCTTAAATATATCAAACCTTAGAGTCTTTAATAAATGTAATATAATGATGATCTATAATATATGTTATGAATATAAAATTAAGAAAAAAAATAATGATAATTAGAAATAAAATTTTAATAAAAAATCGAAGTTGTATTGGTGATAAATAGAAAATAAATTAAGCTAAATCAAAGATTAATTAATCCTTAATAGTATTCATTGTAGTCATTACTCATACTCACTCATTTGATCATAATAAATATAATTGCAAAGCTTATCTTTCAATAAAGAGCAAGGTTATTGATAAGAATTTATCAATATTATCCATTTTACCTTCATATTTTCATATGACTTATAAAATTGAAGTAATTCTTACATGTGGTAAAAAACTCAAAATTTTTTGAAATTTTGTACAAACTTCTTTATGTTTAGCGTCTTCAACAGACTTAAGCATTTATTTTTCTGTTAATTTTATATTATGTTTATAGGTATCAATATAATTTTAATATTACTATTTTCGTTATATAAATTTACTCTAATTAATTTAAATATGCATTTAGTTATTCTCTAATTATATAAACATAGAAATAATGCATCATTAAAATGTTTTATTGGAAATAATAGGTTCACACATTATACTATTATACACTTTTTCTCTTAGTAGTTTAATGAAAGTTTGAGTTTAGTTTTCTATCAATTCACCCAATAATCTTGGAATATATGTATAATATTTTCGATAAAGATCCTTTTCACTACTGGTTAATTTTTCTTGCTTTACAAAATAGCAATAACTAATTTAATTAAATTTCTCTATATAGTCAATACTTGCATTATTCATAAAGTTCTTAAATTAATGGATAATATTATACTTTCAATTGATGTTAAGGTAATTGTTGTTTCATTAATTATAAACAATTTACCATATGATTTGTTAATTCATAATAATTTTTACCAGTGTTTATAAATTAAGTATTCACTTGTTATTATATTTTATTAATATAATTATGTATTAAAGGATTAATTTCAATTTGTACTTTTCTAAATATATCATATTAAATACTTATTCAAATTGATACCATTTATATCAATATTTAGTTAATAATCATTTGTTTATGTATTATAACCTTAAAGAATCATAGAAATTATTTTGAGAATTTCTTCTAACTATTCTTCTTTATGAATTTCGCATTCTTATTAGTGAAGTATTTTTTAGTCTTATTTTGATGACATTTGTGATTTATAATCATCCAAAATTAATTAATAATGATTGATTAATTCATTTTTTTGATTAATTTCATTCAACTATAGGGTTTATGTGTTGAGTTATTAATGATAATTATCCTCCATTTCATTTAATAACTTTTCAAACTCTTTAATAGTTTCATCTTGTTCTAATAATTTATTTTTATAAAATTAAAGTTCTTCAATCATTTCTTATTTTTCTGCTTAAACATTTTAGTAAATCTGTTAATATTTATCCATTTATATAACCATCTTTTATACTTTATCAATAGCAGTCTTACCTTCAACTTAACAAACCTTATTAATAAACAATTCTAATTAAGTTGTCATTTTATTTGAATAGTTTTAATTTTATTAAAGTTTTATTTGATCTAATATTGGTTTAAACTAAAGAGTATTGCCTTATTAAAATAAATTATCGAATAACTTAATCAATTATTCAATTTACTAAGATTAATCCACATTAATTGTCCAGCAACCTTTTAAGGCCTATCTTAATCCTTAATGTTACTTTTAATATAATTTAGTTATGTCCATGTTACATTATAACAATTCATAAAATACTCTACTTTTTTCTTTCTAAAATAACAATTCTTCCTCTTTTTTTATAAGTTAGGAAATTATTTCTTCTTGCTTTTATAAAGTCATTTAAAGAATCTCTTGATTCTTTTATATAATCTATTAATTCATCTTATTGCAATGCTTTATAAAAATTTCTAAAATTTCTTTTGATTCTAATTCTCTACTTATGGATTCTTATAATTCTTATTTATAATAAGGAGTAGTTTCAATATATTTTATTTAAAAATTCTCATCTCCTTATTTATCTTATTCTAGAAATAAATTTAAAATTTCTTTAGCTGTAGTAGTTTAAACAGGAACTTTTAATTTTTGGACATCTTTTTATTATAAATTGTATTCTTCACTTAATGATTAATATTTTTCTTTAAATGTTTCATTATCTCTAAGTTGTTACTCTAAATAATGAATTTATTGAGACAATTCATCAATTAAATAATTCTATTATGATAATTCATCTCTCATTATTTCAATCTCTCGATCTTTCCTCATAAGTTATGTAATAACAGGAGAGAATTATTTATTTTTTGGTGGCAAGGTTCCTTGAGAATCATATGAGGAATTAAGTTAATAACTTCTATCGATCATTTGAAATTTATTTTACGATAATACAATAGTTAAATAAATAAAAACAATATTATTATTTCTTATTGAATTATTCAATTTTTATTATTCATAACTTTCACAATGTCTCTAAATTATATGTTTTATTATAACATTAAACTTTTTTAAGATCTTGTTTTAAATTGTTAAATCTTTATTTATAAAAATCAGATTTATAAATCAATTTGAATACTAATCTGTATGAATATTAATGCTATAAATAAATAAAACATAATTTAGCAATTATTTAATGAAAAATTTGAAAAACAAGAATAAAATAAATAATATAAAATTTATTTGTTTGTTAATGTCTAGAATAATATTAATAAAAAATGGAATAATTACTTTTCATTTAACCTGAAAGAATGTTGAAATTTGAATATGAAAATAATTAATACATTGCAAGAATCGTTTTGCAAAATGTTTCAGCAATCTTTGTAGCTTTTAAAGTTAGATTAAGTAATCAAAATGATTATAGTGTTAAACCAACTATAGGAGTTTTAAGAGCTGGTAATAGTGTAACTTTGTAATTAACTACTGAAAATGCAATTTGTATTAATGCAGATCGTGTTTAGATTTTAGCTGGACCTATTTCAAATAATGAGGTATAACTCAATCAATAAGAAGGATGTAATTTAATTTTTCAAAAAATAACAGAGATTGAATTAAAAAATCTTAAAATGTAGTATCGATGAAGTTCCATCTTTATAATCTACTGTTTATAAATCTACTATTTCTCCATAAGAAATTAATGATTTTAAAACAACGACAATTAAAACTGAATATGTTAAACCATTGAAGAAATAATAATTACTACCAAAGGATATTTTAACATTAGAAGAACAAATCAAAAAAATAGTAATATTTTAATCTATTCTTCTTAGAGTGAAGATCTTAAAGTTATTAAAGAAAAATAAAATGATGGGAAAATAACAGTAGGAATTAAACCATTCTTGTTATCCATTTTAATTTCTATGATTGTTGGAGTATATATAACTTATAGATGATAATATTATTCAATTTAAAACAAATCTTGTTCTTTGTCTTATCAGGACATTCGAAATATTTGTTCTATTCATATTTTTAATTTATTCTTGTGTGAATTCAAATGATACTTTTTTATTAGGTATCATTTGATAAGATAAGTTATTATAACTTTAAATAGATGGGACTTCGAAAGAACTTGCTTTTAATATTCCTTAAGGAGATGAATTTTTTATTTTTATTGTTGTATTTCTTAGTTTTTTAGGTTTTCTCATAGACAAATTGTTATTTTAAGTCACGTTTTTCTTTCTTAGCGTGTTCAATTTAATTTATTGCATACTAATTATTTAGGTTTTATTGCTTTTTGAATTTCTTTTATTATCTAAACAAATGTCTACACTCTTGCTGACATTAATAGTAAATTATTATATAACTTGATCTTGCATTTTACTGTTATCTAATTTTCTTTTTATCGTTTAAAAATAGTTCACTGATTCTTCATTACTATAGCTCACTCCCATGAATTTATATTCAGGAGATGGTATTGGTTGATTTGCTACTTCATTTTAAGTATTGTCTTGAGAGCAATATTAGAAGTGAGTTTAAAAGGGACATATTTTTACCTGCTTAATTTCTTCATCTGAGTTTATAGATATATTGGAATCAAAACTATATTCTTTAGTCATTATCAAAAAATTAAATATCTAGATGGAAACATTTTAGAATTACATTTTACTTCCTATATATTTATAAATAATAAAATAGACAACTTTTTCATTTTTTCAAACTTAAAAAAAATTGTTTTATCACATAATTACTTTTATCTTAATTAAAATTATCATTTATTAATATGAATATCAAAGCATCTTATTTGATAAAATAAAATGATGATTCAAATGAATAAATAGTCAGTTAGATTCTTATGGATAATTTGTAATAATAAGTATTGAGTTGAATAAAATAGATTGAAAATAAGAGATAAGTGTAAGTATAGTATATATAATTTTGATATAAATAAATTCAGATTGAATATGATTAATTTAAATGTAAAATAGAGTTATATATTGTAAGATAGGGTTTTTTTTTGAAATTCAGAGTAATAATAGGATTAATTCTTGAATTGTGATAGTTTGAATAGAATTGAGTATTGATATAAATAAATGAAGAATATAAATAATTGATCTATAAGTTGAAAATATGATTGGTGGAATAATCATACATTAATTTGATTTATGGGTGGAAAACAATCATATGGACAAGCTATAAGCACTATCAATGATAAGAAGGCAGTTATTATTGGTCAGGTGAATGTTTAAACAAGTTTTGATCATAGTAAATATACAAATGATTAGTATGTAGTGACTGAAATAACTGTAGTATTGGGGAATGAGATTCATCCATAATTATGGAATGTTGCAATAATGGAAGTAAGAAGTACAGATATTGATTTCCCATTAACATATCGGAGGTTTTGTATTTCTGATCCTGTGGTTGATTATAATCAATAATACATTCCTAAAAAAATAAGTAATGTTTAGCAAAAATGAAGATTAATTCTCTAGCATTCAAAGTCCATAGAAAATATAATTTCATGATAAACAAGGTGTTTTTTGGATGATTTAAATTCCAAGTTATATAATAGAACAAGAGTAAAATGATGAATTGATTATATATGAATCACGAATTCATCCACTTTGTGAGAAAATGAAGAGGAACAAATATCGTGAATAATATTAATAAGCATATATTGAGTTATTCAATAAAATAGAATAAGAAGTTAGTTGTCTTTCTGATTATATATCAATTGGTATTTTAGATATGAAATAGAGTAATCCAATATTGGGGATAGATAATTACTCTATGACATCTGATATAATTGAAGCATTTATTTAATGTACTCCTAAGATTCATAAATTAATATTCATTTCAGAAATAGAGACACAAGCATTTATTATGGGAATAGCATTAAAAGATAAGATTGGATAAATTGAAGCTATTACTTAAAGATTTATGGGATAAGAGAAACAGAAAGAAGATTAAGGAACCAATCAGTTATATATAAATGAAAAAATAGAATAAGAAATAGAGTTTAAATAAGAAGAGAATATACAACTTAATTCTGATAATAGATTGTAAGAACCTTAGAATTTAATCTAAAAGATTCAGAAACCTTATATGATTAGTTATTTTAATGGACATAAATGTATAAATAAATATATTTAATTATTAGAAAATATAGTGTATCAATTTTTTAGATAATTTAATACTCCTTTAAATTAAGAAGTGTTTCAAACTATCATTCCAAGAGTGAACAATAATGAAAACTCTTTGTGTTTATGTGGTAGAAAAACTATAATCAGAATAAATGCTAAACTATGTTGTTATTGTGGATTGGAAAGGAGTACTTTTTTAGAATGCGAATAAAGAGTAATATTTTACATTATTTAGGCTTGTGCAAGATAATACTGTGCTAGTTGTTTTAATCCTACTAAATTATACAATTTATGTATGTAGGGACATTAAATGAAATTCATTAATGAAATAAACGAAGATCTAAAATGTTGTTATTGTAGATAAATAACATATCGATATGGATATTATTATTGTAATATCTGTTCATTTAAAGTATGTGCAAGTTGTTATTATTCTAATTATGCATAATGGCAGTTTTAAAAAGTAAAAATAAATATTTATTAAATAGATGAAAATCTACTTAAGTTATTTAAAAAAAATTAAGCCTAATTTAAGATAAGAAGTTTATTTTTAATTAATTACTGAGTATTTATTAGATGCAAATTTACAAAAATTAAGAGTATAATGATATGATTCTATATTATATATTGATTTTTATTATATTTGTAGAAGTTCTTTTATTAATACTTAGAATAATAGATTAATAGAAATAGTAAAACGTAATAGAACAATATAATAATCAAATATTAAGAATAGTACAACAATAGGGCAAATTTAAAACAAAATTATGAAAAATGAATCTAATTGAAATTGTAAAGCAAATGAGTAAAATAATAAAAAAAGAATTAATCAAAAATAATGTACATATATCATAATGCATAACTAATAAATGGGAATTTTTAAATAAGATCTGCTTCCTCAGATCTACCATCTGCTCTCAAGCTTTCTATGTAAGCTTCTCTTTTAGAGTTATTTTCGAATTTACATCTTCTATATCTCTATGGAGCTACAATTACATCCTTATAGTTTAATTAATTGTCTCCAACATAGGGTTTAAGAATGTCTTTGAATTTATCAAAGAGTTCTGATGAATGTTTGAACTTCTTAGATTCATATTTGATGAAAAGTTGAAATTTAAAATCATAATCCTTGGTATGACTAGCTAAAACATCCTCAAGGAAATCTTCTTCTAATTCAGTTGAATAAAATTATTCAAATAAAATGGTACCATAAATTTTATATGTATTTTTGTAACTCCAACTGGCAGTTTCAGGAGGCCACATATAACTTGGTTTATCCAATAAATGTTAAATAAAATAGGAACGACTACTTTAAGCTTTAGATTATTAAAATGGATAAGCCTTATCTCCAGCCTTATCAAAAGATAAAATAGCTGGATATGATAAAGTACCTCTTCTATCTTAAGATAATGAAGCTTATGGTGCTGCAACAGTTTATTTGAACCATCCAACTAATTAACCCCATACAAATTATGATGAATATGCTCTTCCTTCACTTTTACATTTCTTTTTAAATGCACCTACTTTCCTCCATTCCAAATCTTCTATTGGAGGAGACGAAAAACCAGTATATTCATATGGTTTAAAATATGTATATGTAAATGCCATCATATAAAGAATTAACGATAATGCTTCATGATGAAATGTATATTATTATTACATTAGTATATGTGACATTGTCAAAAATAACATTCTTGTTAATAAGAGTTCTTATCTATGAATATTATGAATATTTTCTTTATAATCATGCAATTGTTATTTTTTTTTGTAAATTACATGCATCAATTCAATCATCTTCTTTTAATTATGCTTTTAAAATAATTAATACAACTCATTAAAAAATGAAGATTCACTTGATGACACTGAAGAATAATCTTTCCAAAAACTATCCAACAAATCATTATCTCCTATTATTGAAATTGGAGGTTCACTACAATCGCTATTATTTAAAAAGAATTTTATCTTATCTAAAGTGAAAATCAGATTCTGAATTCTATCCTCTGAATGTTAAGTTGCAGTAAATTAATTCCATTATTCCACCTCTGCTGTTTACTCATATTTCAAATTCAACTCACTCTTATAAGTTTGACGCCTAATTATATACACTTCGAATAATACTCTTAATCTATGAATTTCAATATATAACCAACCCAATTCTTCAACCATAATGGACAATCATTCAGAACACTTGATCCTATTCTGTATTTACTATATAACTCTGAATCCTCATTTGATTTATCTACATTATCACTACATGATTTTAACAAAATAGCATTCCTAGTTAAAAAACAATGTTCCTTGTCTAAAATACCATTGTACTCTTTACAATTTGATAATTACAAATAATAACTAAAATTAATTATCAAATCTACATCTTGCATTTCTCACTCCCACATAAACATAAAGCTTACAATTATTCTTATTTACTTTCTGTGAATGAACAGTAATCAAACGTAAGCTCCTCTCCATACTATATTTCTCTCATTGCATACATTCCAATAACATATGTACCATTGCTTACAGTTGTAACAGTACCACAATTTGGATTACAGGAATGACTCAATCTTGATGAGTAATTACCTTTATTGATAGGATCTACAAATAAGAAATCTATTCCCTTAGCATCATCTCTATGAATATCTAACATGATATTATAAAAATCAGGTAGAATGTCTTTTTGATTATGTTCTTTCATTTATTTTTTAATAAAATCTTATTTTTCGTACCATCTCCATGGTTAATAGATTTCACCAAGATATGGAATAATCAATGAATTATTTTTAATACCTTCTTTATTAACACAAACTAATCCAAATCCTTTTGTGTGTATTCTAAATCCTTCAGGATCATATTTAATAACTTTTTAAATTTGTTTAGCCATTTTTCTATCATCTCTAGTATAATGACTAGACATAAGTTTAGATTCTTTAATAATGAAATCACATGCAGATCTCATATCATAAGCATTTTCTTTATCAGTTGGTCGATTGATAGCTAAAAGTAACTTTTCCATAAATTTATTTTTTTATGTTTCATCATAATTTAATGGCAGAATATTAATAATAACTTTTCTTGTATAAGCATCAATACCCCAACAAGGTGTTTCCTAATTAAATAAAAATATGTATTACTTCAACATCAGCATATTCTTCTTATTTCATTTTATTAACCTAATGTTATTTTAATTAGATAGACATATTCATACATGGTTTATCAGTTCCTTCATGTTCTAAACATTCAACTCTATTCTTTCTATTAGGACATTCTGAATCCCAAGTAATATTGACATATGAAAATGCTCCCATTTTATTTAAATCAAAACAAACACAATCTTTATAACACTTAACAGGTCTCTTAGATGTTGATAATTTCTCTCTAATCTATTCTATATAAGGTTCTTAATTTGGATTTGGCTCATAATTATATATCTCTTAATATGATCTAATATCTTTCTTATCTGGAATTACTGGCCATTTAGTTGTCTAAACTTTATATTCTTTGTCTATTTCCATAAGATTCCTAACATCAGCTTCTATTTAACTATTAAATACATCCATATTCGGTTTAATCTTTACTTTACTATCTAACCATACTTTACTCAAATAATTATAATCCTAAACATTTCCACATCTCATATAAGTATTTCCAAATAACTTACGTAAATCCTTCCATACTGTTTCATTATCCCAATAATATCTATTTTATATACGCTTCTCAAATTAATGTAAATAATGCAAATTACTCTTAAACTCCAATGGCTATCATCTATAAATATTTTATACCTTTATCAACTTAGATTTCTCATCTAATTCAAATTTATATTCTCCATCAAACCATTCCTTATAGATATTTGATTATCCTACATCATTTTATTAATTTGTTATAACAAACTCATCATTATTTAAAATTCCCTAAGTATCTACTTATCCAAGTAATTTCCCAATATTCACTAATCTTGACCATGCAATTGGATTAAATCGTAATGATGGTTAAACTTTCACTTTCTTCTTACATTCTACTATTGCGACTTTGCTATTTTTCTTCTGTTTCTTCTTCATCTACTTAGATGATGAATCCGATTCATTCTCTTCCTCTACACTATAAGTTAGTTTTATAGTATTTCTTTTTGCGCGCTATAAGCTCATTTTTAGAATTAATTTTTTTTAATTAACAACATAATATTGAATTCAATTCATTCAATATATTTAAGATATTCATAAATATTATTGCTCATCTTCAAACTTAACTTCCTTATTAAATATTATTTCCTATACTTGTTTTCTCCTTTTTCCCTCTCTCTTGTTCTGCAACCCAAAATATTATTCAGATTTTCATTATCTATTTCATTTCTCTCTCTATTTTTAGAAAATCATAAAAAGCAGTATTAATTCATTAAAATCATTATGAGATTTATATTTATATAAAATCTTCAAGATTTTCAACAAAAATTATGCTTTATTTTTTTAATAATTATAAATTTATGTATGCATTTTTTAATAGTTATCCTATTATAAAAATTCTCATATCATAGCCGAAAAAAAATGTGCTAATAACAGACAAACTGAATCAAAATAATTAATATTCAGATAAAGTTATAGTAAATTGATTACGAAAAATGACTAAAATATTTATAAATAAAATAAGATTTCCTTCAAACAATAATCCCAAAATTTAAACATAAAATATAATGATTAAGAAATGTTTACTATTTGAATTACAATATATTACACATTTCATCAATATTATTATCAATGAATAGGCAATTCTATAATTATATTCAAATAGTACATGGTTGAAGCATTCTGCTGAAATCAAATAGAGAATATTATTACATCTGTTATTAACAAACATGATATTATTAGGAGAATAGATGTGTACTATTAAAACATAGATATTATTAAACAATGAATTTATTAGTAAAACTATGAAATGTGTTAGATTAAAAATTTAGAGTGAATATTTATGTTGGAAAATAATAATTTTTTTTCTTATAATTAAAGTCTATATCTGAAATACAATAAAATTTTATTTATTTTACATAAGAAATGTTAAATCAAGGGAGAGCACTTTGGTATGCACTTAAAGTAGAGGATTATGATTTGGTTGAGTTTCTAATCAATTAAAAGACTGATATTAAATAAACATATGAATTCGAACCTAAACGATACTTATCCACTGCTAGTGTAAAATAAAATAATCACAATTATAGTTATTAACTCTACGTGTTTGTTAGGCTCGATCAAAGGGATTGAATAATCATCATTATAAAAGAATGTATTAATTACTTGATTATTTTCTGTAATATGCAGAAGAATGTGATATTCGATGTCATTGTTCAAAGAACTATGAACATAGATGTCCACTCTATATAGCATTGAAGACTTTAGGAGTTAAAAAGGAAGAAGATTTGTTTAATAAAAAAAATGACATCTTGAAAGCCTTACTCATTAAAGGAGCTAATATAAAAATCTTCTAAGAATAGACTTCGAAGATTGATGTAGAAGGATACAGACAATATCTAATCTAAAGAGTTTAATTCTAAAAAACAAATGGATTTAAGTAAACATAAGATGGATATGCTACTTTTAGTCAATGAAATAATTTTATAATATCAATCTTATTTATGCTATTCTTCCAAAGAGTCACAGTATATCAGTAGCAATCTCGATCTCATTTTATAATTCAATATTCTATTCTCATAATAATCATTTTTTTATTTTAATTATAATTTTTATAATTGATCTCTCCTATCATTTACTCCTTAATTTCATTACTTTTCTTTCTTAAGTCAATCTCAATATAGTATTCCATTTATTTATCTTTTTTATATAAACCAGTATTCTTATTTTTTCTGATATATTTTTAGCATGAATCATATTAAACTCTTTCATTCTCATCAAATCATCTAGCTTTATTAAATCTATTCCAAGATTTCGATTAAATTCTAAGATGATAAAAAACAAATCTTTTTGTTTATTCAATCTATCTAATTACATTTGATTATCTGATATAATTCAATTAATCTTATCCTCCAATCAATCTGTCTTACTTTTATTTCTTAATATCTTACACAAATTCTATAAGCTATTAATTTTCTATCAAGAATTACACAAAGCATTAATGACTTTACTATTTTTTATTTCTTTTATTTTTTTTATTTCGATTCCATTAAATCTAAACTACTTCAAAAAAGATTAAAGGCTTTGAAATATCTAAATTTTGTTACAGAATATTTCAATCTTAGGAATCACAAACTATTTTAAAAGAGCATTTATATAAATTGGATAATCATGAATCCTTTCAAAGGATTTTATTTATAACATTTACATATTAATTAATTAATTTAATTTAAAATTTATACATTAAAATCAAGAGTTTGAAATTCAATAAAAAGGCAATTATTTTGGAGAATAAAAATCTTCTTGTTATAAAAGATCATCCTTTAATATTTCATAAAGAGGTGCTGAAGTTAGGACTCCATATAATGGTTTGCATCCGCATATTAGTTTTAACATAATTCGCATTTATTATTTCCAAAACTCTGGATATTAATTTTCAAATTGCTAAATGTCTTTATTACATATTTACATTCAGAAGTTACTTTATTTTGTTAGTCAAAATTTTATGAATTTCTTATTGGGCTTTCAATTGATAAAGAAATGAGTATTACTGTTCTTTTAGTTTTTGAAGTTACTCCTTTAAACTATTACTCACTTTAATCATATCATCAGCTGTTTCATGACTCTTACTTTTTCTCTGAACAAGCCCTAATTCTTTGCTAACTGCTTATAAAATTTAAGTACAAATTTCCTTAAATAAAATTAGGATGCGAATACTCCTTTAAGCCTTTTTTCTTTTTCAATCTAAACCCATATAAGCACATTTGCCTATAAAATGAGTGTATACTTATTTAGTTAAAGCATTCCGTTAAAACAATTTTCTAAAAATCATCTAATTTATGAATCATGAAAGAAGTTCCATTATTGGTCCAAGAAACATAATTGAAATATTCTTTACTCTAACTTTATGCTTTTTTATTACTTCAAGAACCTTATATAACGTAGCAATGAATTTGTTAGCTTTGCTCATATGTTATTATTATTATTGCTTAATTTACTTTGCAAAAACAAATATTTACTCTTTTGGACAACCAAAAGCATTTTTATGAATCTCATTTAGATCTCGAAGCATTTCCTTCATTAACCGTGCTTTTTGATTTTGGATTCAATATTAATTTCTTCAATTTTTTAAAAAGACAAACTTCAAGGCATAAACTTAATATTTCTAAAAATAATCAAAGTCTCTTTTCACTGAAATGATATTCTTTTCTTATTCACTGAAATAACTTTAGTTCTAAAGATTATAAATATATTTTCTTTTTGTAGTTTTTCCTACTTAAAATCTATAATCAGAGAAAAATAGGATTCTTTAAGAATTTTTTTTTTCTATCTTATTTTAGATTCTGTAAAGAATCTTTATTGAATATTTTTAAAAGCCAAAGATCATTTATTATATAAGGCGATCGACAAATAAGATCGTATTGAGATTTTTCGGAAAAAAAAAAAATTTTGTTTTTGAAGTCTAAAACCCTGAAGATAAGAAATTGATATAATATTCTTTATGATTATGGTCACAATTTAATAATTAAGTAATATGGTTTTATAAAATAATATTTAAAAAAAATAAGTAAATTTAATGCTCAGAATTGAGAAAATGCATATTAATATTGCATTATATAATTGAACAAATGAAATACGGAATGATATGAAGAAATATGAAATAAATACTAAATTTTTCTTGGAATAACATAAATCTAAATTGAATAGTTTTTATAATGATGTGAGTAAAATACATAAACAAATTTCACAGTAAGAATCAAGCTAATTCTTCATCAGTTTCTTCATCAATGATTAAAAGTTCACAAGTTTTGATTTCTAATTCTCTTCTATACATTTTAATTTAAAACAAAAAAAATGAAGAAAGTTAATGAGGATCTAAATTTTGTGGGATATAAAATTAATGGTGAACAACAATCTACTTAAGATGGATTTTTTCTTAATCAGTAATAAGTCTTAATTCACAAAGGGTCTTTAGTGTTGAAAAACAAATTCTATAAAATGATTCATTCATCATTAATTTAAAATATAAATAATCCTTTTTCAGCTTGATTTATGGTGAAGTTAAATAATAAATTAATTAAACAAATTTTTATTTGTATGTGTAATAATATATCATTCCTTTTTGGTTTCCTTTTTGGAAATGTCTTTTTTTTATTTAGGAACATCTTTTTTTTAGACTTATATGCCATCAACTTAAGCAATAGCTTTGATCTTATCTTTTTCTTAAAGTGTGACAGTTCTATTCCAAATGAATTTTCCGTCTTTGGAATCAAAATCTAAATTGAAATATCCTAACCTTTCAAATTAGACTTTATCCTCTGGTTTAGAGTTGAGTAGATCCCTATTAATTAAATAATATATAATACTTGTGCATTAAGGCATTAGGGCAAACAATTTTTGAGTTAGGATTGATTCCTTTGATATAATCATCAAGTTGATTTGGATCATAAGCATCGAATAAATAATCATATAATCTAGCAACACAGGGAGTGGCCTCTTTAACAGATAACCAATGTAAAAATCCTTTAGGTTTAACATCCTTTCCTAGTCGTTCTAGGTGAACTTCATTGTTAGTAACACTGAGAACTTTAAATGGTCCACATTATTTAAGTCCAATAATTTTTCCAGGTGCAACACCCCAGAAATCAGGATGATCTTCAGTTCTTAAGAATATTAAGTGATAAATACCTGACATCATTTTTATCTAAATATACTTATTTAGTCAAAAGAATCTTTCTATTACCTTTTTATGGATTTCTTGGAATGATAGAAACTTCTAATTCTTCAGAAAAATCTTCAGCAACATTATCAATAATAGCAAGAATTGGTTCTAAGATAGCCATAGTTCTTGGAGCTTTGACATCTAGATCTTTTCTGATGCAACTTTCAAGGACATGCATACCAATAAAGTTTTCATTTCCTTTTCTTGTAACACTAATAAGATCACAGAATTTATTAATAGAATCAGCTGTGTATCCTCTTCTTCTAAGACCATTAAGAGTAAGAATTCTAGGATCATCCCAACCATCTACAATATTATTGAACACCAAATGATGAAGTTTTCTCTTACTCAATACAGTATTTGAAACATTCAATCTTGAGAATTCCCAAACAAAAGGTCTATAAAGATCTAATTCTTTTAAGAACCAATAATAAAGATCTCTTCTAACTTCAAATTCAAGAGTACAACATGAATGAGTAATACCTTCAAGAGAATCACAGATACAATGAGTGAAATCATAAAGAGGATAAATACACCATTTATCACCTTAATGAGGATGTGGAGTAAATCTAATTCTAAATATTGCTGGATCTCTAAGTGTTGGATTTGGATTTGCTGGATCTATTTTGGCTCTCAAACAAACTTAGTTCTCTTTATAGTAACCCATTTTCATTTTTCTAAAGATTTCCAAATTTTCAGCTGGACTTGTGTCTCTATATGGTGATGGTTTAAGATCATTTCTTAATTTAGAAGACTATAGGTGAAAATTTAATGAATACTTCATCTTTGCTTAAGAAACAACAATAGGCTTTTCCTTTTTGGATCAATTGGACTGCATAATCATATAGTTTGCCAAAGTTATCTGATGCATGTGTAGTCTTAAATGGAGTGTAACCAAGGAATCTTAAATTTTCTTTGATATTGTCAATAAATTCTTAACATTCTTTTTCTGGATTTGTATCATCAAATCTTAAATAAGTTACTCCTTTATAGTGTTAGGCTAATCTAAAATTGAAATTTATTGATTTGGCATGACCTATATGTAAATAACCATTTGGTTCAGGTGGAAAACGAGTTAAAACTTCATAAGGAAAATTTTATTTTCTCCAATTAAGTAATTATTCACTATTCACTGTTGTAGCAAGATCTCTAGCAACCAATTTGGAAATATCAAATTTACATTCATCTTCTTCTTCTACTTATTATTATTATTATTATTATTATTATTATTATTATTATTGTTATTATTGTTATTATTATTATTATGGTTTTTTTACTTATGTTTTAGCAGCCTTTAAATCTTCTTCTGTTTTTGGACCAAGTGTTGCTTCTATTTATTGATTAAGTTCTTGAGTCAATAACTTTCCATCAGCAAAAGGTAATAAGATTCTTAACTATTTTGTATACTCAGAGAAATTATAAGTATATCGAATAGTCTTCAAGTCTTATTTACTAGAAAGAAATTCTGATACAACATTTTTGATTTATTCTGGAGTCACAACAATTCCTACACCAGCAGCTTTCTCAAAATCTTAGATAGGAACTTAATCTAAATGAGTATGTGTTCTTAAATATTCAAGACCACCTTCCAATTGCAATTTGTTAGAAATCTTTCCATCTACAATATATTAAGCTAAAAGAGATCTTCTATTGTCAAGAGCCTCTGTTAGATTTTAAGACATCTCATATAATAAATTACCAACCTATGTAAAATTAATTATTAATACTTTCTTATCACATTCTTTTACTCCAACTAAATCTAGAGTTTAAAGAATTGATTTTAATGCATTTTTTCCTTTTAGAGTGTTTTTGATTGTTGTTTCATCAAGCCCTATTTTTTAGAGACGTGTTTAAACTTAATCCATTTAGATTCTCAAAAATATTTAATTAAATTTTAAATAAATCTCAAAATCATAAACACGCTATATAGAATATCTTTCCTGTAGGAATTTAAGTATCAATAACAGGTACTAGAAATATCACATCTTCTTTTAGTACCACTTAAACTACAATATGTGTGTACATCCACAGATGTTGATTCTACTAGAGTATTTCTATACATTATACATAAAATTGAGGTTAATTTACAGGACATTAAAGTGCACCAATATCTATAATTAAATAAGATAATATATCTTTAAAGAGTATAAGCACTTCTATCTATCGCAATTATATTAAACATTATTGCATCACTTTATTCTTCATAATTACTTTGGATCGAATATTATAAATTTCATCTATTCATTACTACTTTTTTATCGAAAAAAATTTACAAAAAGTTCTCAATCTTTAAAGTAATATTATATCATTTAAATGTCTTATGTTTCTCATAGTAGTTAATTGATCTTTGTTGTACTCTAAGATTTTGAAGTCCTAAATATATTGCTTTCTCCATTGAAAATTGATGTGACATTCCATAACCAGTTACAAATGTTTGTATACTAAATAAAGTCCTAAAATTGCATTCAATTCTGAATTGTTGGTAGCTATATATTTAGACTAAATAACTAAGTTGATAAATTATTTCTTGTAATAACTACTTTTTTTGCTTGTATCTATGTTACTATCATTCCTATTGTTGAATGTGTTGCTGATCCACTTTTCGATATTTGTAATCTATCAAAAGCATGATCTAATTATCATCCAGGACCGCAAACATTGTCAGAATGTAAATCAAATGAACTTAATTCAGAACATTATTAAGCATCATATACCACATCTGGAGATTCTCCACTTGCTCTTACTTCACTTATATTATTAAAAGATTGACTTTAGTAACTTAATAAATCAGAACTTAGAGTACAATATCCTGATTTATTACAATCTGATAAAACTATGGATCCAAATGGATTTTTTATTATTATTTGCATACTTATTAGATCAAAATTATAAAATTTACCCATCCAAAAGGTGAAATCATCATTATATTTTTATTTTTATCTTTATTATACTAAATTCTTACAAATTAATAATTTATATTTCTTAATATTCACTCTAATCTATTCAAATATAATCTTCAATTCTTGTTCCCTTCCTTTAAGCTTTGTCAACTATTGCTATTAAAAAATTTATATGAGTAATTATTAAAATCACTAATTCATTTTATAATTGTTCTCAAAAAAATTATAAATTCTTCCGATCTATTATCTATCAAGTAGATAAATTATTAAAAATTTGGATCGAAAACTTAGAATTAAGATACTTTTTTAAAGAGGTTCAATAATAATTCTCTTTCATTTTTACACTTAATAGCTTAATAAATTATAAATATTTTAAATAGTAAAATAACTAAATTCAATAAATATTCATTGTTATTAATATTTCAGCATTTTTTTTATTAAACTATAATTTTCCAAAATACCTTCTCTACCTCTCTTTTTACTTTATAAATGCTAGAGATAGATTATGTTTTCCTCAATACCTCCCTTAACAATAAATCTAAATATGGCTTTAATATTGTAGACTCTCTTCATTATGATATCCTCTTAATGGATATTCCTATTAAGAAATATTAATTTATAAATACCAAATTTGATCATAAAATATTATAAAGTGAGCTGATTTAATAATTATTGATTATTCCAAAATTTATTAGGGATTCAATATTAAAATTGTTTTTTTATCACTCTCATCAAATGAATCAACTTATTAAGTTATATCATCAATTCTTTGGCTGTATGATAAATTCTAAAAATGGTTTAGATTATAAATTTTACTTTAACGTTATATAAACTCAAATTAGAGTCAAAAAAAAGTTATTCTAGTTTATTTGGATATTAAGTTAGAATTAAAATTTTTTCCTATAAATTTTATATTAATTGAATTAATTTAATCTATTTATTTTTCACAGTTGGAGAGTCACAGATAGAATTTTGTAATCTGATTTTTTGAATTTAAGCCTGAGTTATTTTCTTATCACATAAAAGACATGCATACTACAAACATTAAAAACAAAAGAAATGTGAGCACACTAAACTCTTATAATTATTTTCTAATGGAAGGAAACAAATACTACACTATTTTATATCATAATTCTATCGAACTACAGAACAGAATTATCTTAATAAATTAAATTTTAGACCATAATCGTCTAAATTATGGTTTTCTAAATTCTTATACCTTAATTCATTATATTAATATTATTCATCATAGTTAAAATCTATCAAAATAATTTAATTCTTTATGGATATTTAAGAAAATGAAATCTATAATTGAGAAGCTATACTTGTTAAACATCTTTTCTATTATTAAGGTTGATTTTCTATAGAAAAATATTTTACAAAGGCTTTCTTCTCTAATGTAAAGAATTCCAAAATAAAGTTGAGTGTTCCTCTTTTTATTTATTCATCAAAATTTTTTAAAAATATCCATTTGTATTTAGTTTTTAAAAGATTGATAAAATATAAATTATAAATTAATTGAGATTCCAATATACTTAGATCAACAATAATCCTTTTCCATCCAAATGAGTATATTGTATTCAAATACTATTACTTAAAGTTTTCATACTATTTCTCGACCTCATGAATTGAAATTATTATAATATCAAAAATTAGAAGACAATTTAAATTTACTTCTTAATTTATACACAAAACACTAAGATGTGGATATTTTTTTTGTATTTCTTATTTTTTTTCTTCTACAATAGATTAATCAAATGTGATGATTAATGTTTAGCTTTTTCGTATTTATAATCTTGCCTTATGACTGATTAAATCATAAAATCTATCAAAAATATAACCCTATTTAATTTCAACAAAGACTCCACCTCTAAATTTCTAATTAGATATTGAACTAATGTCTTTTTCTCTTTCAATCATCCATTTCAAAATTATATTTGAAGAGTAACATGGACCAGACAATTGTATTTTTTTTTCAATTGGATATAAGTAGAATAAGAAGGATCTTTTAAGGAGGTCTTAAAGTTTCAATAAAGCAAGAATAAATTTAATTTAATTTTATTGAGAGAAAGTATTATCTTGGTTGAAAAGGAAAGGATTAACATATAAGTTAATTTCAATCTGAATCTGAACTACAATGAATTCTTTATTTGATATACATTTTTGAATAGTTTAATTCACTTCTACATGAATTCGAAGATATTTTTAACAAAGAAGATAGTATAATATCTTTTCTCCTTTATATTGAAACCTACCTATCTAAAAGTAATTGTTAATTTATGTACTTCTATATTTTAACTGTATAGATAGATTTGATCCTACTAATTTTCTTTGATGTTTAATTCACAACAATTTAACTAAATTGTTTAACTCAAATTTTAACAGTTTAACCATCCTTCTATTTTGAATTTTCCTAATTTATTATATGGAATGATTTAATTATCTTCATCTATATTTTCATTAACTTATTTATAAAGTAGCTACGTGAATTTTTAATTTTGTTTCTATATTATCAGGATTTGTTTCGTTTTCATAAAATAAATTATGAAGTGGATGTGAAGTGAAAACTTAAAATTTGTTTAGTAAAATTTTAGTTCATTTATTTAATATTATTACATATATAATTTGAAAATTTCATGTAATATCTTGTTTAAATTAGAAGAGTGTTTGAGAGAATGTATGAGAAATTCTAAAATATTTTTAAAAACAAAAAAAACTATAATATTGTTTAAGAGTTTTTTAAGTGAATGAATTTGAAATAATAAATTAAAGAATTAATGTCTTGGTATCAAAGCTTTTCAGATAGCTTTAATCAAACACATAATAATATTACGAAATAGTATAAGTTTGGTTAGTTGGCTGAGATAGAGAAATAAGCAAAGTTAGGAGGAAAAAAGTATCCGCGATAAGTTACTTTGAGAGAAAATCATATGATTTAACATAATCAAAAGTAAATTCCATATCCAACTTGTTTTTCTGTAATAACAAATGTATATGCATTTAAATAATAAAGGAATAATTTTAATAATTACCAAATGAGGAAAAAATATTATTTCCTTGGATAGAATAACAAAATAAAACTATTCGAATTCTTTATGACCGTTCATTAGGAGGAGAACAAAGAAGATTATTAAGAGAATTTTAGAAACCAACAGCTATTTATTTTGAAACATAAAATCAAGCTTATAGATTGATTGAATACTTGAAATTTAGAAATTAAAATCTTAAGGAAAAATGTAAAAAGTCAATGGATAAAATGTTTAAATATTATGAAAATCAAAGATTTTTATATTTAGTATAAGTATCAAATAAAAGAATAGAGAAAAAAGCTGTTTAGATAAGAGAGGCATTAGAAAAGGAGAGAATAAAATGTATATAAAATAGTAATGAATTACAAAATTATGATATTCAAAAGTATAAAGAATTGTTTAGATATCTATAATAAAAAGCATTAGAAAAATAGTAAATTGAATTGGCAACAATAAAAGAAAATAAATTATAAATTTTAAGAAAAAGTTAAGGATTCATGTAAAATTTAGAGAGAGATAATATGAAAATAATATTGATTAAATGGTAAAAGATAGCAGAGAAGATAATGTAAGAAAATATAGAGAGAGAGAGATAGGAATAACAATAATTATTTTTAGAGGAATAAAGATAATAATAATTATTATAAGAGAAGTAGATGAAGGAGGATTTAGAAAAAATATAATTATAGGAATTAATAAAATTATAAAATAGAGAATTACATTTTTCAAATTTTAAATTGATCATAGGTGATAATATAAGATTATTAAATCCGATATTATATATTTAATTTAAAGCTTTGGAATCATAAGAAGAAGGAAAGATAGAATTTGTAAAAGGATAAGAATTATCATTTATGGAATTAGATAGTAGAGGTTGGAAGGCAGATGTTGAGATTACATTGTCTCATTTTAAAACATAAGATATTTTAGAATTTATAATATTTGATGATTATTAGGATTTTAATGAGAGAATATTAACGAAGGCATAAGAAGAAGCAACAGAAGTTTTGGCATTTATAGCAACAGCAAAGAAAGTTATATAAGGTAGAATATCAATATTGGAATTTGAAAAGAATTTAAATAGTAATAGAAGACATTTTGCAAGATTGGATTTATCAGCTGATTTATAATAGAATTTATAATAAGATTAATAATTTAATCAACCAATGATTTAAATAGATTTACATGAGGATGTTAGATTTAAAATAACAAATTCAACTATTAATCCTTTTTATTTGGATATTGTAGAATTACCAATAACAGCTTATGAATTGAAATATTATATAAGATAATTGAAAGATCCTAGAAAAAGTATATAGTAATAATGGGAAGAGTTTAAGATTAAATCTTTAGAAGATGCTTTATAATCAAGAGGTTAGATTTGGGCAAATAATAAATAATCAGAAGATGATTTGATAGAGATTTAGGAATATTTATCAGAAGAAGGATATGATAATAAAGATGGGAGATTTAAATAATTATATTATTATCTATATCATAATAGGATCTAGAATACTGAAGGTTTTATTAAAGTTAAATTAATTGTTGCTTGTTAAAAAGGATTTACTAAATTTTCAAGAGTAGAATTAATACCAATTCTATTGTAATTTAATGAGAAAATCAAGAATTTTGCAGATGATCATGGATTGTAATGGCATGAAAATCTTAATATTTTAGATATTGTATCTGATGAAATTAATAAGTATATGGATGATGAGACATAAAAAAATAATTATGAAAAAGTAGAATAATATATTAGTAGTATCAGATTTAAATACAATAATGTTTGGACAAATATTTTTAAGGAAAGATTGTAAGGATGGAAAGATAAAATATATAGAATAGTAAATGGATGTGGTGCTATTGATAATACTTAAGATAAATTATTATTGATTGTTAGATTATTTTAATTGTTTGAAGGATAAGAGAATTGTGATGAATTTATTTATAAAATTATTAGATGTTTGAGATATCAATTATTAGTTCCAAAAATTAATAATTCTAAAATTACTATGATGTGGTTTAAAGATCATCTTAGTAATTTATTTAGTGGTTACTTTTATTTTGATGTTTGGTTAAGAGTTTTTGATTATATTATTGGAATTGGATTTATTGAAGGTAGTTTTGATAGAGTCATTGCAAGTGTTGTAGGAGGAATCTTAGATTAAGTTAATTATTAATCATTTACCACCTAAGAAGAATTTATTATTGGTTTAAATATTTATGGTAGATTGCTTTGTAATCCAGAAAAATTAATTATTGCCAGCTATAATTGTTATTTATTAAATGAATTTGAAACTCTTGAAAAATATGATGATCTTATTAAATAAATGATTTAAAATGTTAATCCTCTAGATACCATCTATTCTGATTAATTGAAACTCTTAAATACTTAAAATCAAAGTTTAATCATAGATATTCCAGAAGAACATGAAGGATCGGTTTATGATATTTAAGAATCACAAATCTTTTTAACTAAGATTGGCTCTAAATTTGTTTTTAAATAATAAATAAAAACTGTCTATATATTGATTCACTCATTATACTTACATTAAACTCAATATATTGAAAGCAATTATGTTATAATTTAGGGTTAATAGAAGAATGAATCTGAGGAGTTGTATTTTGAATTACCTTATTCATCTAATATCTTGGATCTTTCAGTAAATGATACTTTTAGAGCAAGAATTGATTTAAGATACTTATAAGTAAATACTATTTATAAGAATGTTCTTATTTTATAAGATGATTATAATTTAGAAAGAAATTATTAAATATCTGAAATTGAATATTCCATATTATTATCAGGAGAAGGGTGTAATTCTGAAAATCCAATATCTAAAGATTCAGGAATCTCATTCTTTTTGGATTAATGCAGTTTATTTAATGTTAAACATAGTGCATTTTCACATCCTGATGATTTTAAATAAGGTAATAACCTCAATTATGTTGAATTCAAATAATTAGTAACATAATATTTCTAATTGGATCCAGCCTAAATAAATTTCTAAGATTTATATTTATAATTCTAACGTGAAGGAAACAATTCAATATATTTAGTAGATTTATTGTTTAAGTTGACTCATAGTAAATAGAAGAAAGAAGAAATTTTGAAATTGTTTATTCCTAATGAATTAATTAATCATCAACAATATAGAAGATAATAGATGTAATATGGAGATGTAAGATTTATTAAAGTACAACTATCAGATGATAATTATGAATAGACTGCAGATTTAACTGATTATTTCAATACAATTTTATATAATCATTATTAGAAGTATAATTCATATGATTTATTATTGATTGATGAGAATAACCGTTTTTATTTATTAGACAATGTAGGTCAAATAAGTAATCAATTTAAATTATGTAATGATATATTTATTAATATTAGAAATGTTGATTTTAAGAATGAAGTACAATTCTTATGGAAATGTAAGAAAGATAGAGTTTAAAATGAGTAAACAATTTCAATTGGCTAGTGAATTATAAACCTAATCCAGTTCAATAAAAGAATTATTAGAAAATAATTAAAGATTGTTAAGTTTGGATTGTAAATTTGAGATTAATCAGAATTCAATAATTGATTTTAATTAACATTTAGTATACATAAATTGTAGAGATGGAGCAAAATAATTGGAGAAATGTACGATAGTTGGAAAGATAAACAATAAATAGAATGAAACTAAATATTATGTTGTTTAATTGGAGAATAATAAGAAAGTAATAGTATATAAGTAGGATGTGTTATTATTTGATACAATACAAGAAGATGAATTAGAAATATTTGATAAGCCTTGGAAATAAATATGATATTATTAAAATAATGATATTAATAAATAATTTATGATCAAAATATCACTGGGTCTAATTCTCTATAATACCATAAAGCAAGATAACGAATAATAAACAAAGCAGCACCCATAGTGACAACTGCAGGACTGTTAAAATTAAGAAGACTAACATAAACTAGACTTAAAAATGAAATAACAGTAGCAGTAGGTAAATCATATTTACATGCATCTACCCATCCATAATATACAGCAGTTGCTAAGAATCCAATGGCTACACTTATAACGCCTTCTTTGAATTTTTACAAATAAACATTATTCCTTATATTACTCCAATGAGGTAATAATCCCCAAATTTATAAGATTGAAGGTAAAAATATTGCAACCCAACAACATATACCTCCATAAATTCCCATACTATGAGTTCCTAAGAATATAGCAAAATTTAAATAAGGACCTGGTAAAGCTGCAGCTAAACCAAATCCTAACCAAAATGCATCAGCATTTATATATAATGGATTCAAAACTGTTTCTGCATACATAAATGGTAAGGTTATAGGTGTTCCTCCTATCATAAATGTACCTATATTATAAAAAGACAGAGACAAATCTAAAATTAAAGAATTCTATTATGAGTTTAGATACAATAATATCAATAATATAACAGAATACAAATGTAAGGATTTATTTCCTAATAATTAACTGATTTTATGACTATTTTTTTTGTTAATTAATTTTGGATCATTAAATATTGCAGGAGTAGCACTTTATTCTTTAGCAAATGTTCTTCTCCCAATTGTATTTTCTGCATCATATTCAACCATTATTGTAATGATTCCTCCCATCATCATTGTTAAGATTAATACATATGGTTATTAATAAGCAACAAATAATGCTGCACTTAATATTGATAAACTAATATGCATCTTATTATTGATAGATTTCATAGCCATAGTAATCATTAATTAAAGAATTAATGCAACTGTACTTGATTTGATACCTTAAATAGCTAAAAATATTAGAATGTTAAGATCTTTAGGATCAGTATACTAACCATAAAAATAACCTAATATTGTTAATAACATAGCTCCAGGTACTGTATATGCAATCAAAGCAACAATTCCACCAAGTGCATTTTTTTTTGAGATTGTTCCTAAAGCCACCATCATTTATGATGTTGTTGCTCCTGGTATAAAATCAACCAAAGATGCTATCTCTTCAAATTATGGTTCCTTTAATATTATCTAATCAATTACTGATACTGCCTTTGTTTAATTTACAAAGACATCTTTAAATTATTAATAATGACTTGCACTAAGAGTTTTGACATCGAAAAGAGCCAATGGAGCTGCATATTTAAATAATTCTGGATATGTTAGAGTTTTGGAATCATCTATCAATAAAGAAACTTTTGGTTGAGTAGTTCGAACTCCTAATGTTTACATTTCAATCATCTTTATAAATTAATTAATCAATTATTAAACATTTTGTGCATCATACCATATTTTATTAATTCTCTCTCAGCTCTTGTATATCCAAATAATGCAGCCAATACTTACAATGCTTCTACATTAAATCTACTATATTTTATATTCGTTAACCTTGCTAAATAATTCTTATAATCTATCTCCTTAACTAATCTTTACAATTCAGTTTCTTCGAACTTTCTGAATTAACTTTCTTTTACTTCTATATCTTTTTATATTTATTAATATTCTTTTATCAATTTATCTTTCTCAAAATTGTTTATCTCTGTAAATACTATTGATTATTCTTAGTTTGCTTCAGTTTTAAACATTTTTGCTATTCTTCTTTATGCTTCATTATATATTATATCATTTAATGTCTCCTTACTTTAAAATATATGAGTTAATGTTGATTATATCAATTTATTCTCTGTTTCACTCAATCCTTATATCAATAAAGATACCTAAGATTCTTGTTTTTATTTTATTTATTCTATATGTTATTTCTTTATATCTAATGAATCAATTTAAGAAAAATGATTTTTTGATAATAATGAAACAATAGAATTATTTCCTGTATCAATTGAAGAATCTCTATAATTACTAAACAATTGATGAGCCTTTTTAAACAAATCATTCAATTCAATTGCCTTTCTTGTTTTTAATATTAAAAAATCTCTTGCTTTGCTATCTAAATATGATGGAAAACTTGCTTCTGCTATTTTCTCTCCAGAATCCCAAACTGCTTTAATTATCCAAGATAAACCTTATGATCTACAATCCAAACCAATTTTTAATAATTCTAATAAAAATCCTTATATTGATTTTAATAATGTTTTATTGTTTTTATTTAATTTTGAATTCTCTTATTCTAATTTTTCAATTTATATCGAATTTAATTTCATTTACTATTAAAATTTATTATAATTATCTCTCATCTAATCTATTTAATTTTCTAATTCATTCTATTTTACTGCAATCACCATATAATTATCAACTTAACTAGCATTATTTTTTATATTTGGGGAATTTGTTGATTACGAAGGTTTCTTATTTATTCCTTTCAATTCTTCCTATCTTTCTTTAATCTAATATAATAAACAATATAATCATACAAAATCCTATATAGCTCTTAATTTTTTATGTATTTCATGATTTTCCATTCTTAATGTTTCAAGATCCTTCTCATTCTTTTTTACTGTATTCTTTTATCTCTCCAATCTAGAATTAATAGATAATAAAATTTAATTAGTTTATTTTTCATAAAATATTGCTCTATCACTTGCATTTTGAAATTATGTTAATTGCATTTTAATTAATGTATGTAAACTATTCTTTAAACCTTCAACTGTATAATCAAATATTAAAGTTCCATCATGTTTTTCTTCTCCTTACTATTTAGCTCTTGCTAATTCAATCTATGCTAATTCTTATTATGTTAAAGTTGAACCCTATTACATATATTTATCTAATTATTTTGTTAATGATTAATCTTGATGTAGCATCTCGATTTTTTTAACTGCTGATATCTTTTATAATGATCCCAGCAATTTCTATTTAAATACACTCTAATCTCCTTCAGACTTTGCAGATTCTACAATTAATTTTGGAAATGCTGGAATTCCTTATACTGCTTTCGATCTATCATTCAATCCTCCTCTTCTCAATAATTGTAAAGATTAAGATTTTTCTTATTATTGTAATTTAGCAAGCCCTTAATTTCTTATTTATATTAATACTTTCTTTCTCCTATTCCTATTTCAATTTCTCTTATTCTTCTTTCCATCTCTTTTTTATTCCCTTATACCAAGTATCTAAATTAGCTACCAATTAATCATCACTTTCTGCTTTATATTATTAATTTGCCTTAAATTATTCCTCTTAATGTAATTTCTTACGAACTGTTTTCGAATGATTATCAGGGTCTTCTTCAAGTTTCTCATAACTTTAGTATTATTATTATCAATATACATTTCTTATAATAATAATTTCGCACCAGGCTCATTTGATAAACGAGCTCTTAATTTATTTTCTAAATCAGTTCTATGTACTTTCTAATGCAATTTAACTGGTTTCTTTGTTGTATCTTTCAATGAAGTAATCATCTCATCTTAATCAGGTAAAACTATATCATAAAACTGTATAGTATTCATTTCATCATTCAGTATTTTTTTACGCATATCTTACATTACTAAACTCTCTATTTCCAGATGATTTGTAGGTCTGTGTCTTGTCCTAATAATTTCAGGAGCTGATTAAAGATCATTTCTTTTTATTTTTTTTTTATGCATTTATTTATAAGAATTAATTTACCTCTACAATTTCATTACTTTCTTACATATTTTATACTATGTATAAAATTAATAATAAAAACCTAACGATTTTAAGAATACCTTAGATTTATAACATACATATATATAATATATCCAGCAATATTTCGATACATAATTGTATTAATATAAAATTTAAACTGGTTTTTTAATGTAAATCACCAAAAAAGTAATTAAAAAGTATTAGATTGATAAATTAGTAATTGATTAATTCAATAATAAAAAATATTAATTGCTGTATGTTTGAAATAAATATATAGAATTTATTATTCATTATTATGATCCACTAAATCGTACTAGCTCTTATTCTTCTACTTCTTTTTATTTATAAATGCCAGCCCAAAAAGAATCTTATCTTGCAATTTTTTCTTAATGTTCAACCCACTTATTTAGATTATGCTCAAAAACTTTAACTTTATTTAACATCTCAGAAGCTGGATCTGTAAAGAATTCCCTAATGATTTCCGCCTAAACAGCTTCTAATCCACCTATAATAGCTCCTATTAGTATTAAACTTAACCAAAAGTGAGGTGTACCTACCATTGTAAATGGAGTATATTCCATCATTGTTCCAGGCCAAAAATGAGAAATGATCACATAAATAATGTAGAGGAGCACTGACAAAAAGGAGATACTAATAAAATTAAACCATGTCCAAAATTTAGTATGAATTGCTATTTTAAGATCAGCTATCTAAATAAAATTTTATGATTAATAAATACTAAAATAATGCAAGAATAAACTGTTAATGAAAATGGTGCTAAACCACTTGATTCACCTGAATTTTACATAATTTCATAATCCATAATCCATAGAACAAAGAAAAAAATGATCATACCATGAACTAATCCATTAAAAGCCCATAACATATAATTAGGAATGGTGAATATAGTTTTATTTTATCCAACATAATAAAGATTTGGAAATTTAAGTTTTAAATATTATTCTTATTTCTTTTATAAATTAGCCATCTCTTCCTTTTAATCATATTAACAGTATTATCGATAATTTATATCCTAATCAAAAGTACCTCGCATAATAAGTGGCAATGCTGTAAAAATAAGATTATAGAAAGTAATATACCAATCATCAAAGAAGGATTATCCTGAAAAAGCACAAAAATATGAAAAAAAAAATTAAGGCACAGTAAAAATCATATTTTTATAAAAGAAATACAAGACCATCTCTGCAATTCTAATATAATTCCAATGTCCATGAACAAGTAATAATCTCCATAAACATCTAAATTCTCCCAATGCAAAATCACTACTTTAAACAGCTCTCATTCCTTCATTTCCATAGAGTCCAATTCCAATATGTGCAGCCTAGATCATATTAACATCATTTGCTCCATCTCCAATAGCTAAAGTAATTTTATTTAATCTGTCTTTTATCAATCTAACAACATCAGCTTTTTATTTAGGAGTAACTCTACAACAAACAATACTTTCACAATCTTTTGCCATACTTACAAATGCTTATGCTAAATCTTCATTATCAATTACAAATTATAAGGAAGCTCCTTCAACCACTATTGACTAAAATGATAAATACAAATACTTTTTTTCTATTTTCTTTTATACAGAGATCATAAGTATCTTAAATATCTCCTAATTTTAATTTACATTCAGCAACATTAGGAACTGATAATCTCATAACTGTAAAATCTCCTTAAATCAATCTACAACTTTTAGCTATATTTTCAGCAGTTTCTAATTTATCACCTGTTAACATCCAAACTTTGATATTAGCTTTTAATAAATCAGCAATAGTTTCTGGAACTAAAGGTTATAATTTATCTTCAACAGCAGATGCTCCTAATAAAGTTAATTAATTTTCTAAATTGCTTGTAAGTTTTTCTATTATTATAAATAATAAAGAGATACATACCTAACTCTGCAGCTCTAGTATCATTATCTGGTAAATTATTATAAGCATGATCAAAATCTTGATATTCTTCATTAGATAATACCCTTGTAGCCATGAGTAGACATCTTAATCCAATTTTACTAAAGTCATCTAGATAATTAATAATCTCATTTAAAAATGGTTAATTAGGTAAGAGTCTTTCCTTAATAATATTGTCTGCACCTTTAATAAATAATTTAATGATTCCATTATCATTAATAATAACACTCATTCTCTTCCTAGTAGAATCAAATTCAAAAGACTTTAACAATTTAACTTTCTTTTCTCTTCCAAGTATCTTAAAACTCTATTCACTAGCAGATGCTCCAGTAAATTGAAATCCTAATCTTGCAGCTGCATCTACTAATGTAATTTCATCTGGAGATGGACCTTAATAAGAGGCATTCTAATTCTTATCATATTGAATAATGCATTCATGTGCAGAAGAAAGTAGAAAAAAGTATTCTTCAATTAAATTTCGTTGTTTAGAAAGAATTACTTATTATTTACCATCTTAGGATTCAATACGAAGATTTACTGGCATATCACCTGTGGATCCTTCACCTTTCAATATGGCACTTAATTCAACATCTTGAAAGTTAAATACTGAATGTTGGAAATCTTCACTAGCTGGATGTTCTTTTACGGCTGGCTGTCTTTTTAGATCTACATTTTATACTGCATTATTTGTATTTTATTGCTCTTTCCCATACAGAATGTTTCCTATTATACAATATTTGAATTCCATTTAATTACAGGTCAGTGTTCCAGTTTTGTCAGAAAAGATATATTCCACCTATCCTAATTCTTCATTAATTGTTGTAGTTTACACTTTTGCAAATTTGTTTCTCTGAGCTACATACATCTCTTCATCTTATTCAATAAAGTAAGCTTAGAATACTTTAACAAATTCTAAACTAACAATTAATGATATAGGAATCATAGTATTATATAATAGAATATAACTGAAAAACGCATAAAAACTAAGCAAGTTTGGTGAAAAGTCATTGAATTCTAAATACCAACTATCACTTCCGAAGTTATGTAACCAAGCTGATGAAAATGATGCTGTTATTATTGATAATATTATTTGGACTACTAAAATTCCTAAAATAAGAATATTCATAATTCTTTCTATTTCACTTGACTTTACTCTAGATGCATCAGCATTTCTCATTATTTTTGTATCCTATCCCGTATATACTACTAATCCAATAATCCATTCAGTATTTCTAAGAAATGCACCTCTTAATAATAACTATTTAGCTGTTAATTAAAACTTTTTCTACTATCCATCACCTATTGGTAAAAACAAAGAAGCATCCAATTCATAAAGATTTTATGTAGGAACCTATGCTTCTACTCGTATTGTATCTTCACTATAACTTTCCTTATTAAAATAAATCTATTGACTCTCTAAAATTGCACTTTTTGGTTTTAAATTTTTTTCTCCGTCCAATGAAGATGTTTCAATATAACAAGCTCCACTTTCTATTGAACTTGAAAGTACTATTAAATCAGCAGGAAAACTATCATTTTGTTTCACTAAAACATAATCTCCTACAGCTAATTCTGCCCATGTTGAACTAACTATTGTTATTTCATTACATTGTTGCTATTCTCGATTTCAGGATTACACATTCTGTTGAATTAACTTCATTATCTGAAACATGTCTACCATAGTCTTCCCAACCTAATATTATATGTATTTCTTAATACCTTCACGTGCCATTGATAAACCTAAAACAAATACTAATGGAGCTATTGCACTGAAAGGATTAAGTGTTGATAGTACTGGAATACATTAAATTATTGCTATGCACAAAAAGTAAATGTTAGCATATCTAGTAAACTGCAATAGCAACGATTTTGGTAGAAAAGTTATCACATTATATCTACACTTCACATTATTACTTACCTTGATGTCTTTATAAAATTTGATGGAAATTCCTCTAATTCTTGTAAAGTCCTTTCACTTTTAAAATTCCCTTAGAATTAACGAGGAGAATTGAAAGTTTCGGGTCTCTTAGACCAAAACATTTAATTATATTCTTTATAATATTAATTCACTAAATAACTCTTACTTTCTAAATTTTCAATCATTTTATTAATCCCATTTTACATTTTTTATTATCATTACTCCACCTTATTCCACTATTCAAATCTAATCCTTTATTTATTTCATCTTATCTCTTAAATCAAATTTTATAACACTAACTGTATTTTATTATTTTTTATTACTCTTTCATTATTATATAATATATTTTTATATATTTTATATACATATCTATCATTAATTTAGTTTTAACATCCTAATTAAATTTTAATGAACAATTTTACAAAATATTCCTTTTGATTTTATTATTATTATTTTATCAATAAATATAAATTAATTCATTTAGTTTTAGGTGAATATCCAGCTGGACTTTTAACTCCTGTTAAATTAGGTTCATAATAACTGTTTGAATCCTACTTATCAAATGAAATGTCTTTTGCTTAATTTTCCATCTCAATTGTTTCCAATTTTCTTAATATTTTATCTTTCAACTTTGCCATCTTACTTATTTAAGCATCTTAAGGAAGCTTCTATATTATAAGTATCAGTTTATTTAATTTTGATAATGAATAATTTTTTATTTAATTTATTTTCTAAATATAAGTTCTGACAAAATTACTTCGGAAATATCTTAAGTTTCTCTCCACAATCTTCTATTTCGATCCATTTAGAATCTGATCTCCTATAATAATTTCTCTTAATCTGATTGTATTTGAATTAGCTACTTTCTCATTTTCTCATGCTCATTTAAATACGATTCTGATTTAAACTCTTTAGTCAATATCTCAAGACTTTACTTTATGTCTTCCTGATTTCGACGCTTAATTTTTTATAGATTATTTCTTATGAAATAAGTTCACTCATACTTAACTCCCTTTCTAAATTGTTAATGCTAAAATTCATTTTTCCCTTATATATTTTTCAATTTCTTAAATCCATACATATTCAGCTATCTAATAAATATAATACAATATTTACCTTAAAAAACTCTAATAGTTTCGATGTTTAAAATATTGGGGCAGAATTTGCTCAGTTAATTATGCAGGATCTTAAATATAAAAGGCTGTTCCTTCCTTATTCCAACAAACAACCGCTTATTCAGACTCATGAATAGCGGGGTATAAATTACTTCTAAAATCTCATACAATTTTATCAAAAAGGATGGGACTTATTTTATGTCTTTCATTATTAATAATTTTTTAGAATTTTTATCATTCTAAAATCAAAGTTTACATGAATATCAAAATTTATATAATATATATATTTATCTATTTCAAATTTTTTCAAGGAATCCTAAATTTAAGTTTTTGAAAATTCAATATATTATTAGATTATCTCAAACAAAATAAAATATTTTTATAAATTAATGAATAATTCAATAGCCATCCTATTTTAGTTATCTCAATAACTTGATACATTAACTTTTCACTTTTAAATCTTTTTCTAATAAATTGATAGTTTCAATTTCATCTTCAATCTTTTCTTCAATAAATTACTACATTATTTTGTTTTTTTAGAAAACCTATAAGTCAGATTTTTTAAAACTATACTAAATTTTATTCTTTCCTTTTATGTGGCTATAATTAATTTAATTCCTAATTTTTCTTAAAAATTAAATTATTTTCCTTACCTCATTTTAATTCTTCTAATTTATATTCTTTTTAATTAATACAATTGATTTATTAAGGTTATTAAGTAATTTTTTATAATAAAAAATGCCATATTTTGGTTAATTAATATAAAACATCATATCTTAAAAATTGTCTGGAAATAATTCTGCAATTCGATTCATTGTCTTCCTTATTTAGAATATTTTAGATTTCAAGTTTATTTTTTTAGAAATATTTAATTTCTTTTATATTATGAGTTCAGAGCATTTTTTGTCAAATTAGGAAAAGTGCTATTATTGACATTTATTTATAATAATTTTGATGTAGTTTTTTCTAAAATGATTATAATTCTTAATTGGTGAATTAATTTCAGTAATTAATGATATATTCACCATACTTAAATCGATTAAAATTACAAGAAACGTTTTATCAATTAAAAATTATCCTAATTGTTAATTCTCTATAAAATCATTGAATTACTTTTTTTGTTTTAAGAAACATGAAAATACTTTTTAATTTAAGTTAGCTTAATTTTTGTTCTGTTGGCAATTTTCACAAAATCTTTAATACTAGACTTAGAAAAACATTTACAAATCTCTCAAGATACACTCCTCAAATTATTAAATAGTATTTAGAGACATAAAACTATTAAACTAATAATTCAAAAAGCAATAAAATAGTAATTAGTAGAATTTTTCATTACCATTATCAAATGATTAGATAAGATCCTTGTAAATTTTAAAATTTTATGTAGCAATATAAGTAATTTAAGAAAAAAATTCTAATTTTATTTCTTTTTGAATCATTAAATTTTGAAAAATACTGTTTTAATAGTGAAGAATTAAAAAAGGAATAATACGTATACTCTTTTAAGTTTGGAGTTCATGTTATAAATGATACAGCATATTATTTATCTATTAAAATGATATCTTCAAAAAGTATGTGAAGTATTTTGGATTCAAAAAAGGTTAATTTTAAAAACTTTTCTTTTGTCTTTTATAAAAAATTTCTGAATAATGATAGTTAGCTTCCATGTATTAAATAAAACATTCAATTGACCAAAATTTATATAAATCTTACTTATCTAAGAAAATTGATTTATTCATAGATAAAGAATGAATATTCTATAAAGAACATACTGATAATTAAGCCAATTACAAAAATACTTATTTAAGAAAATCTCCCTTTTATTCTTAAAGAATAGAAAAAACAGAAATCTGAGTTTAAAATTTTGTTATACATTAAAGGATTTCTTTTTATTTTATTAGGTGAATTTCAACATAAAGTGGTTGTTATTTTTGGATCAATAAGATAATGATTAATTAATCTTTTTCTTAGGTGTCAAGGATAGTGTAATAGCATACTGAATCTGGTTCCTTTAGATAATATAAATAATAACATTGTAATTATGAATATTATTTCCTATCTCTATCTAGTTTTCAAGAAAAGTTAAATTTTTTTCAACACCAAGTCTGTTTTAATTTTCTAGTATTTCTATTTTCTAATTCTCTTCCTCTATACATTAATTGCTTAATCCATAATCATTTTCAAGACTAGATTGATTGATTTAATCCATAATAATTATAATTATGATGTTTAGAGGGAACAAAAATTTGATTAATTATATATAAAATTATAATGATAGAAAAATCGTAATAATAAAATTTAATTAAATTATATAGTTTCTAACTCTTAATAATATTTTTGAGAGGAATTTTTATTTTTCCTCAATTATTGAAATTTTGATTTCAATTAATTTCTAATCTACTATGGATTATTATATTTTTAAATTGCATTAAAAAATTTAGCTACAAACTATTTAAAAAAAGAGATTATCAAACTAAAATAAAAATTTGATTCTTTTAAACAGAAAATTTTCTACTTAATTTATAGTGATGATATGATAACATGCTTATAAATATTACAAAGTTGACTATGAGAAAATTTATAATAAAAACTCTATAAAATTAACATAGGATTATGATAAATAAAATAAAATAGATTTTTTTGATACTAAATTAAAAGATTTTTTATAAATTTCTTAAATATAATAATTATATTTTAGGAGAATATTAAAAAAAGGAGTAACGTATATTATTAAACAAACTAATGCAGAATAATTAAGGGTTTATTTTATTTTTTTTTTATAGGTAAAAGCTTAATTAATTATAAAGAATATAATAATTTAAAATATATATGTTACCTGAGTTTTCCATCTAAGCAGTTAAATTGTAAGCTAATTCAAGACAACCGAAACCTGTGAAGGTAATTCATATAATTGATCAATTAGTATGTACCACCAAAACCAAAAAGTCCTGTATAAAAAAGAAGCTGTATTTAAAAGTAATAAGTTTTAGCATCTTAACAAAAAGCTGTAACAAAATCTAAAACATCAACAGAGAGACTTACTCGAAAAGTTTCAGAGGATTTCTAATAAGAAGCCTAGTAATAGCAAGTAGTTACTATAGAAGTGCAGTAATAAAAAATGATTATGAATATGGATGAAAGATACTAATATTATGAAAATGAAGCTAAAAAACGATAAAATGTGATAGATGTTTGCGATGGAGTTCAATTTTATAAACCAGTAAAACCAGATGAAATGCCTAAACCTCCAAAACCAAAAAAGTAAAAATCAAAAATAGAAAATGTTAAATAAATAACACAAACAGAGAAATCTGAAAAATAATCAGTTTCTTCTGATTTATAGCACTCTTTACACTAATCAAAATCTCTTTATAATTAAATAAGTTCAAAAGATTAACAATAATCTACTTCTACATTAGTTGAAGATTATTAAACACAATAAATATCTGTTGATCCTAATTTTTTAGTTTAAGGAGAAGTTGGCGGTTATTAAATTGATGAAAATTAATCATAAATGTTTGGTTTTGGGTTAACAGATTATATAAAAAGTAATGTAAGGATTTTCTCTAAATCAATAGAATCATAAGAAAGAACTTGGAGAAAAAGATGTTGCAGATGAAGTTAAACCTTAATCAGAATCAGTTTATACATATTATGATTACTATCCTCCTAATGCTAATGGAGAAATACCAAAACCATTATTGGAAAGTGTCAATTATATGAATTATCTTAAAGAATAATAAGCATTATAAGCTTAATAAGCATCAGAAGGATAATAACAATAATAATAACAATAATAAAATAAAATTAAGTGAATATAAATTAACTATTAAATTTGACTTACTTTGTAAATTAAATTAATATTAAACATTTAGAAATAAATTATTCATCAACATTCTTCAATAGAATCAGAATCTGCAATTATTTTAGTTAATGGCTCGAGAAATTAAGAAGCAATTTTTTCAACAGAGGGATGTTTGAATACATCTAGAATTAATTTTGTCATGTATTAATTTTCAGTTTCAAGTAATTTAACCTAAATTTATTATTATATTATATCTCACCTTTTTTTATAATTTATTAAATTCATCTTACAAAGGACCAATTTTTTCTAGAGCCTCTCTCTTTTTTTTTTAAGATTCTTTTGCTGAATTTCTATTTCTTCTTATACTAAATAGATTAATTTTAATAACTACCATTAACACTTTTTACAATTGCATTCTTCTTCACCATTATAAACACATTTGTTTTTAAGTTTTTCTATCATTTTTAAATAATAATTTGAACTGTTCTTAACTTGAATTTCAATAAATCCATTTTATATTATATGATCTAAGTATTAACTTTCTAATTGTAAAAGCATAGGTAATATGAATAGAATTTAACAATTCATTTATTTATGTATTTTAATGGTATTTGAACTAAATTGTAGTAAATCTAATTCAGTTGTTTCTTCAAAAAATACTTAAGTTGCTTTCTTTAAGAAATCTTATGTTGTCGCTTTAAAACTACCCATAATGAGTAAATACTATGTTATATTAATATTATAATTTTACTTCCTAAAATATTTAATCATTATGCAATTTAGCTGTTTGCTTAACACTTTATTCAACCAAATCCATTATTAAATTACTTTTTGTGAAAAAATTATTCAATAATTGAGTATATCTATTGAATTACAATAAAAACTAGTCTTTTGTTAATTTTTATTGTTATTGACTTAGTAACTTAAATGTGAATGCTGTCCATGCATCTTCTTATTGTTTCTTTATCATCTAATTTATTTAAGTAAATCCTATTTGCTGACTTACTGTTTGGCCTTGTGATATTTAATAACAATAGAGAGTATTAAAAAAGACATCGCAAAAGTCATCTCTGAAAAGCAAAAAATTGGCAAGATATTTTGTACCTTTTATAATAATAATCTAGAACTTTGATCATAAATAATGAGTTCAGATCTGAAAAGTAATGCTATTGTTTAAAATAGAGAACAACTCATTGATATCTTTAATGGATTGCTTTTATACTATGACACTAAATCTACAATGATTTCTTTATCTGCTGAACAATTTTCTAATCCATAAATTATTAGGTTGCTCATGATTAACATAAAATATGGTAATTGAACCTCTAATACATTTGTCAAATTGATAGTTTGTTTCTGGAGAATGATTTTCTAAAAGTAGGACGTAACCTAATTTTAAACCTCAATTAAACTTGGAGGCTTGCTTTTTTGATTATTTAAAAATCTTACGAAACTTGTTAAATTGGTTAGTATTAGGTTTAACATTGTTGAATTATCTATAAAAGTGACTGCTTTTGTAAATACTAAGTCTATATTCATTTCAAATACTTGAACATTTTATTTCTAACTATTCTCTTCTTGTTTTACTTGTTACGAAGATTCTTGTTGATTATGACTAACCAAAGCTTATAAATATATTTTATGAAGAGGATTCATTAATAAAATTAATAATCAAAACATTGATGGGACTCTTCTTTCATCTTTCAGAAGTGCGTAATATAATTAAGACAAATGAACATAGTTGATTAAATATTAATACATTAGTGCACTATTTTTACGTATTATTTATAACATATATTAATAATTCCTAAATCATTCTATTTGAAATAATAATCACAATAAAATTTTATCATTGCATAACAATTGTTTTCCATTAATAAAAACAATATGATTGCTAAGTAATTTTAAATTTCCTTTCAAGGATTCTAAGACAATTGAAAAAATATCTTTATAGATATAATTTTGAGATAATTCATGAAGACAACATATTTTACTATTAAAATCGAATTTGATCATATCTTATATTAAATTTTCTTAATCTGAATTTACGATTATGCTTATTCCCTAAACAAATGACATTACTCTTTATCTACATGCATCTAAGTATCTTGAGTATTCCTCTTTCAAAACTATTCCCAATGGTAATAATTATTATTCAAATTATTTTACTTCTGGCCATTTTTTTAGATTTTAATGAAAATATTTCATCGACTGAAGATCTGTTATATGGATTTTAAGAGTTAATTATTTTTCAAAACTTTCAATTAGTTATAAAATAAGGTCTTAATCATTTATATTATCGTTATTGTTATTCTACATAATTATTGTGCATTGATTTAAGAAAGAACGGAATTCTTAAAATAATTATCGTAATTCTGGTTAATCAATTATGTTTTCAATCTTCGCTTTCTCTTAAACGCAATAATAATTTTCATTGATATCTGACCTATATATTGGATAGAGTAAGTCTGTTCTTAATTATAGTTTATATGGATCATAATTATTGGTTCCACCTTAACTTTATATTACTTTTAATTAGAACAAATTCGAAAAGTCACTCTAAAGCTTTTGTTTCATGAAAACACTTATTTTATCAAATAGCCAATTTCTTAATTCTTGTAAATTTTTATTTTCTTCATTATTTTGTTTTTACAATTCTTTAAACTTAGTGATTCCTCCCAATTCATCCTCAAGTTCTTAATAAGTCTTTGTTTAACAAAATTTTTTGTCTATTTCATCATCAAAATGTTGTGAACAAATATTTAAAAATTAATGAACTATCTCAATTTAAGGTTTTATTATCTATGAAAATTCTTAATTCTTAAGTTCATTATATAATATTAATAGTTATACTTGATTTTATTAATTAAAATTAGTGAAAATTTATTCTAATTTTTGAAGCAACTATGTTTAATTTAATTATTAAATTGCAATTACTCTTTCATTTATCTATATTTATAAATTTTTACAAAATTAACTAGTTTGATTTATTAATTCAAATTATTAGTTTGGCCAAACAATTAAGTCAATCCTTTCGTTTACTAACTTTTCCTTTATTTCCAGATATTTTTCGATTATTGTTAAACTTTTCTCTAATTCATTGTCTAAAGTATGCAATTATTTTATAATTTTCATCTCGTTACATAATTATTTAATCTAACTCAATTCAATTACAGTTTCCCTAACCAAAATATATCTTTCTTAAATAATACATATCCGATATTTCTCTAAGTCTAATTATTCACTCCAATCAAAATAAGGAAACTAAAAATTTAATACTGGAGTAATTTTATTTAGTATATCTTAATTGCAAAATTTGAAACTCATTATGTTACCCTTCTTCAATGATACTCTTTACAATTCTAATTTATATTTGCTATTTAATGTTTCATTTAATTATGAAATGTATCCTACAAATGTTACATTTTTGAGCAATCTTTTAATTTCCAAAAATATCTTATTTGCATTATAATAATCTTCTTCAAACCTTAAACATAAGAATAATCTTACTTATTAATCATTTAAGACATCTATTTAATTTTGCTATAAGGGACTGAAAATTATAAACTTGTATAATTATTCTCTAATTCTTGAATATGATTTTCAATGCTTTGAATTTGATCTTCGAAATGAAAAGACTCTATTTGCTTAAGCTTCTCTTTTAGATTAAATTTTTCAATAAGTTAACCTTAATAGAATAGTTATTTAATTTCTTTTTCTAATTTTTCTATTTTTTTTGAACAATTTTTTCGTTATTTTAATTAATATTATTGCAGTAATGGTTAAATTTCAGTGAGATTGATTTATTTAACTTTTTTGGACAAATCAACGATATTGTCATAAAGAGGTGTGATTTTTTTATAAAATTCTTCAAATTCATGATAATTTACTTTTAATTATATGATTTACTATTCAAAATTATGGATTTATTATTTAATTAAATTTATTGAAAGAATTTATCCTTCAATAATTGAAAGTATCTCATATATGTAAACTATTCCAAGTTTTGAATGAATTATAGGATGAATTTCCTCTTATTATATTTTTGACATCTCTGAATGATGAGCTTTAATTAAATTTAGAATAGATTAGGATAATTTATTTTTTAAGAACTCTAAAATGCTATTTTTTTCTTTGTCCCATAATTCTTCTTACATTTTAGTGATTTTTTAATCCTTCAAAAAATCAAATTAAGCTTAATTATGTTTAATTGATGTCAACATGCTGGCAGCTAATTCTTCATTTTAATTTAATTCTATTGTTAAAATCTAAATTTAATCATCAAATTAACATTAGTTATTTTAATCTTAATAATTTAAGTTTTAAAAATATGGATTAGAAGGTAATTCTTATAGATGTAGCAATCCTTCAATGTTTTTTTGAAGTGAAATGGATTAAAAAATCATTTGTTATTTCTTAGATATGATAAAATTCTCATAGATTGATTTATTTTGTGTATGTTGTTAAGATAAAATTTCTACTTTGAGTTATTATAGTTTAGTTAATGTAAGTTGAATGTTTGGTATATCTTATCTGAGAGAACACAGTTTTTTAAGGTAATCTTGATGATTATTAATGATTTTTAAATATTCTTCAAAAAAAAGAGCATAATCTAGTTATAGGTAATTAGAAAATATCATAGTTCGATTATTGATAATGTTAGCTTTTATAAGGGTGGCTGGAGAATCAAATTAATCATTTTTGAAATTTGAGTTTTGTTATTGTTCTGGGACTTGTGTTCTTGAATTATGATTAAGGTACAACTAATTTTGAGTTTCTAAGTGGAATAAGGAATAGTATTACAGAATCCATATGTTGCATAATGATGGTAATAGTAGGGTGATTAATTTAGATTGTATGAATATTGGGATTATGGGATTTTAGTGGGAGTTGTAGGTGTATTTTAATACATTATTGTTAGATTTAAATAAAATAAATTATAAAATAATATAACCAAAAAATGATGTAAATAATAAAAGTTTTTATTATATAAAATTGTACAGATTATAAAATATGCAAAATCAATGATTTTGTTCTTTTAAAGCTTCTTAATAAATTCCATAGAATAATGAGTTGGTTTGGTTTAGTAACTCTTTAGTGGGTCCAAATTCTTTGACTTCTCCTTTATCTAGAACTAGAATTCTAATGAAAATAGAATAGATAAATACTTGTCACAATGAAGAATGGTGTTGATTCTATGAGCAATTGTAATGACAGTACAATCAGAAAAGGCATTTTGAATGGTATCTTAAATTTTGTGTTCAGTATCAATATCTATATTGGCAGTTGCTTCATCAATTAAGACAATAGGACTTTTTTTAAGTACAGCTCTTGCAATACAAACAAGTTATTTTTCACCAGCACTTAGATTATCACCATGATCATTAATATGAGTTTCTAATCCTTTTCTTGATTCAATTAATTCTGTCAAACAACATTTATTAATTGCTTATTTGACTTCTTCATCTGTTCTTTGATTTAAAGGATCGATATTTTCTCTAATAGTACCGCTAAATAAAGTAGGATCTTGCATTATCATAGTAATTGATTCTCTAAGTTATCTTAATGAAATTGTAGATATATCATGACCATCAATTAATAATTAACCATTCATTGCTTCTAAGATTCTTAAAATAGTTAATGTTATTGTTGATTTTCCAGCTCCTGTTCTACCTACAATACCAACTTTTTCTCTTGGATTTATTACAATACTCATATTTTTTAAAGCTAAAGGTAAACCTTCTCTATATTATACTGAAAAATTCTTATATTCTATTATTCCATTCTTTGGCCATTATGGTATGTATTAATCTGCATAAGTCTAATTGTTTTGATATCTCTTAACTGCTGCTTCATAACCTTTTTCTGGTTTAACCCTAGATATTATATATTGATTATCATACTTTGTATATGCAACACATCTTTCAAATGAAATCAATCCATTCTCAACATGTCCTAAACACTAAACAGTTCCATTTATATTTTAATCTAAAGTGGATGCATAAGTCATCAATAAACCAGCATATGCAGGGTTTTTTGTACTATAAAACATACAAAAGACTATTGCTGTTGTATTTACCATAAAACTTGATAAACCAAGAACTAATCCAAACCATGCATTTGCAGCAATTTATTCTAAGAAAATTTTACGATTTAGATCCTGATTATTGCCATGTTTATTCATAATTTAAGATTATCTTTAAAAAGCTCTTATTGTAGTTATTCCCATGATAGATTCTGAGAAATAACTCAAAATGGGACTCTTACTTATCGCCTCTAATCTAAAGAGTTCTCTACTGGCTGCCATATATATTCTTTATACTTTCCAACATAAAAAGAAATAAAGAACCATAGGAATTGCCACCCAAGCAGAACTTGTATATATATTTAAGAATGTATTAGCCAATAATAAAAATACCTATACCAACATCCAATTAAATGTCCAATGAAGTTCTGAATCAAGAACATTTTAATCCTTTGTTAATCTGTTCATAATTCTACCTAAAGGAACTCTTTCAAAGAATTAACATTATGGTGCATACATTAAACAGCTAACCATTTTATTATGCATATTATTAGCCTAATTGCAACTTACTATTACAAATGCCCATGATCTTAGGAATGCTAAAATTCCATAACTTAAAGAGAGAATTGAATAAATTGTCAAATAGAAATAGTTCTCTGTTTCTACTCCATTTGCTAAATCTTCACTTGCTTATTAAGTCCAATGTGCCATCCATAATGATGAACCTACATAACATCCATCCCATAAGAGCATCATAAAAATCAAGAATACAGCAAAAAGTACACCTCCTGTCAATCTGATATATGTAGCTAAGATTTCAAAGGATATAGAGCCTTTATTTCTATCCTCTAATAACATTAATTCATCAACTTCATCCTTATTTGAATTACTTATTGGAGTTTCTTTCTGAGATGATTATTTTTTCTCCAATTTCAATTCTAAAGCAGGAGTTTACTCATTTACATCCTTTTGTTCTTAAAATTCTTCATCGTTTTTAGCATCCTTATAAAATTTCTAATAAACCTTCTTAAATTATTCATTCTATTTTATTTCACTAAATGAACCTTGTTCAGCGATCATACCATTATCCATTAAATAAACATAGTCAGTATATTAACAATAATTAAGAGCATGAGTTATCAAAATTCGAGTCTTTTCTTTTAAATAACCATTCAAACATTCATAAATAATAAATTTCCCAACATGAACATCAACTGCACTGATTGGATCATCTAATAAATAAATATCACAATTGCTATATATTGCTCTAGCTAAAGATACTCTAGCTTTTTATCCTCCTGATAAATTAACTCCTTTTTCTCCAATCATCGTTTGATCACCTTTCACAAGGATCTTTATATCATCTTTTAAACACGAGAATTTTATGGCTTCATCATATTTTGTTTAATCAAAAGGCAATCCAAAAAGAATATTATCTTTCACTGTAGCATTCTAAATCCAAGCCTTCTAACTAACATATGCAAAAGAACCATTTATTTGTATTTTTGGCTTATCTTCTTTGTAAATCATTTCACCCAACAAAGCTTAGATTAAGGATGATTTACCAGATCCCACATCTCCAACTATTGCTACAAATTATCCTTTTTCTATTCTTAGATTAACATTCTTTAAAATAGATTCTGATTCCACTTATGGTACTGGTTCTACCTTTTAAGCCTTAGGAGTGGTTTTAGACTTTGGAACTTAAGGAGATTCTTAGGGTTACTCCTTATATTTTGACCAGTAAAAAGTTCCTTGGTCTATTCTGATGGCAACATTATCATCAATTTCAGTTCTCATGACTTAGGATTAGATTTAAGATCTGGATTCATTAACTGTTAATGTTTTTTAGTACATTTAATCTAATTGAGATTAACTGGAATTAGTAATGCAATCATTCATTAATTCATTAGTCAATAGAAATCCTTGTACTCTTTTAAATGAGATATTAGCTTCTATTAAAGCATTTAAAGCCATAGGCAAGAATAGAAGTGGACCTTAGAGACTTTGAAATAAACTAATAATAGCAAAAGTATTAGCAGGAGTAAGATCATTTCCAATGGCTACATAGATGACAAAAGTAGCATTTAAAATTAACATAGGACTCAACCAAACAGATAAGATGTTCAAACAAGATGCAAAGAATCTAGTTTTTAAAGTTTTAATTTCTTGATTTCTAAATGAATTAAGTTTAGATCTGAAATATTCTTCATAAGCATTTACTTTTATAAATTTGATTTGTTGAAAGATTTCATTAGCACAATTAGTTCTCTTGTCTTTGTCTTTCATCATCTTAATCTGATATTCCATCATCTTCTTACCTACAAAGATGTTAAAGATAGCAGTTAATAGGATTACACCTAGTCCTCCTAGAAATGCAACACCTATAAATGCAAACATCATATATATTGAAATGCCAATTTATAAAGGCATCAACATAATTTATGACATATACCAACCAAACCATTATAACTTCATAGCATCTACTTACATATAGTTTAAGACTTATCCACTTGTATGTTCTTTATTACTCTAATATGAAACATTCATACTCTTGCCCAATAATGCCATTGATAAGATACCCATCCAATCATATCCTACTAATCTCTATTATATATTATTTATATTAATACTATCTAATAAAATGAATGTTATTAACAAATCACTGATATTATTCTAACTCCAATTATGCTAAAAATCAGAATTAATCCTTCCTAAGTTTCTTTATCTTCTTTCATCAAGTATTATATAGTCCATTTTATTAATAATGGATTCAATAATGAAGTCCCAACATTAAACAACATTACTATAAATACAAAGATACACTATCCCAATGACACACCAATCAAAGACCAAATCAATCCATTTTTCTCGTTTTTCCTTTTTTCAAATTCCTTCAAGAATCTATAATACAATTGTTCACTTGTATCTTAAAATCTAAGATCCTCTATCATGTCATTCTCTAATGTCACTCTTGATGCAATCTAATTTTATATTCAATTTTACATCTATCGTACCATATACCCATGCGAAGAATAACTTTGATATTATTCCCGCCCTGTTTCGTCTTGATTACTTCTCTACTCTGACCATTTCTCCACCCTTCTCATTTAACAAGGGTGCTTTCAAATTTTCACTTTATTACTCTTAATTCATATTAGAGAATTTCTTATTTCTTTATAAATATATTCATTCTCAAATTAAAAATTTCTTTTTTAATTTCAGTTCTATTTATTTCCATAAATAAATATCCACAATTTTACATCAATATATATTGTGTTATTCTCTTAAATTCTTAATTCCTATCTCCAATCATTTGTTTTCATTTACTAATTCCATCATCTTAATAATTATTCATATTTATATCAACAAATTATACAATTTTCAAGCTTTTCTCATTAAACATCATTATCATACTTAAAATATCATAAGTAAATCTAAAACTAATCAAAATAATCTTATTCAAAATTCAAAAATGAATAATCAAAAAAAAAATTACAAAGTTTTGAACATTATTTAGATCTCCTTTTCATAAACTTTTTATCTACATAATTTGTTCAAATAACATTATTAACTACAATTTAAATAAATTAAGCTTATTTTATTTAACATCCAACATTATTAATCAATTTAAAATATGAAATAATAAAATCCATTTGCTGCCAAATGTATAAGCCAATTAAAATTAAGCACATAATTGATTATTATTGTTTCAATTCAAGTTCTAATTATTGTGTCATATGTTTTGGCTCTTAATTTAATTCATCATTCTCTACTCATAAATTATTTATCAGAAGTGTCAAATCATATATTTGAAGAAAATTCAAATCACATTTTGTCTAATATGATGGAAGAATACCAATAGCATTTTAACCAAGTATTTAATTTAAGTAAATATTATATATCTCAGATTAGATGGCAATGCTTTAGTTTCGTTTCATAGATTGTATCATAGTTCTAAAAATTAAGTGCTTTTACATCCTCTCGAAATAAATCCACTCTATCAAATGCAATATGGAGGAACAACCAAAATTCCAGACCCTCTAAGAATTATTAAAGGATATGGCAATTATGATATTTCTTATTCTTTCATGTGTTATTCTAATCTATCATCATTTAATCAACCTAAGACAATAGAAGAAATAGTTGGGGTCAAATTACAAGAATAAATTCAAGCTGCGGCATAGATTTTTTATTAGGGAAATTTAATAAATCAGTCATTTTTGTACTCTTACATAATTAAAGAAAAAATTAATTCCATTTACCCTTGTCTTAATAGAGAAAAAGCAATATATACCTATATTGCTGAAAAAAGAGATTGGTATATTGAATTAAAGAGTAATTATGAAAATAAATCACCGTATAATAAATATAATTACACATTTACTAAGCCATATTTATGTATGAATTTCAAAATAAATTTTAATAGTATATACTGATAAAAAAATTGGTCTTTCTATGGCACTTCCTATAGTTGACAAAGATTTAAACTTTATAGGAGGAGTTGCCTCCAATTTTTTGGGTGCTTAAGTACTAGATATGTTAAAAGTTAACTCTTTTGGATTTCAAATAATTTATCTAGTATCAGAGAAAGGTATAATGATAATGCATCCTTATCAAGTAACAGTAGAATAATTACCTCTTTATATTTACAATGAAAGTATCACTGGATTCAATTTAACTGATTGGGAATATATTTTAGATAAAAATCAAGACTCCTCATGTCCTAAATTTGATAAATTTTCATCACTTCTTAAATGCAGATACAATTCTTATTACAATTAAGAAATGATTATTGGCACACGAGAGATTCCAGAGTTTAAGATGAAACTTGTAATGTAACTTTTAAATTTGATTATATAATAGGTTGCTTAGTAGTTCAGAATATTTAAAATTTTATGATGATTTCTAAATAACTTTAGAATAAAACTTGCATTAAACCACAAACAATTATATAATTTGGTTATTTTCTTTATTTGTTTTTCTTTGCTTTATTATTGTATTAGCTACATAAATATTGTTTCATCCTATTGAATTGATTAAATAATAAGCTATTAATTTAATTATTGAGCAAAGAAAAAACTATTAGTAAATATCATAATTTACAGAAGTCTTGATGAGTGATTAGATACTGTATCTAGTTTAAGCTTATAAGATTGTACTGAATAAATTGGAATCATTATCCTTAACTAAAACCAGCTAATGCAAATAGTTAGAGGATATATAATATCCAACTAAACAACTTTCTATAATATAATTGGATTTAAAGTAAAATATTTAAGAAGCCAAAGAAATTTAAGCTTTAAGATTTGAATCATTAAAAGATTTTAGTTAAGATTAACAATTTGAAAAGGCTGCAGTTTAGATTGTTAGAAGTGTTCTCAAACAACAAAATACTAAATTCCTTTTATATTGAATCTTGAAGTATTTATTATTTAAATAATCTAATTTTTTTTAGATCTAATTTCTGAATATTTATATAAATTAAATTATAACTATCCATATAATAATTTGTGTTGTCATTTTAATAAATCATTTGTATGAACAGTAATCAATTATTATTTTACTTGTAAAAAAATAAATAATTTGTTTTAATTAGTGAAATGTAATAGCAAAGGGGATTGTTTAATTCATGCATGAATAATTTGAAATTGAGAACATAATTGATAATATTGGTTTCATTAATTATCGTAGTAATAGTCTCATATGTTCTTTCAGTAAATTTGATTCATTATACTTTGCTAAATAAGTATTTTTCTTCTATTTCAAATAAAATTTTTGAAGAAAACTCATTCAAAATTTAAGAGAAGATCATTCAAGCATATGAAGGGTATTTTGATAGAGTATTTTATTTAAGTAAACTAAATTTTATATTTTAGATGGAAATAGTTTAGTTTCCTTTCACAGATTGTATCATTTGACAAAAAATTAAGTAAAATAGCATTCTTTAGAATTGAATAGAGATTATCAAATGCTATATGGAGGAATAAGTAAAATACCAGATCCTGTTAGAATTATTAAAGGTTATGGTAACTCTGACATTTCATATTCTTTTATGTGCTATTCAAATATTACAGCATTTGATAATCCTTTAAGTAATGAAGAGCTTTTAGGAATGAAGATTTAGGAATAAACTCAAGCATATGCGTCTATTCTTTATTAGGGGAATATATTAAGTTAATCATTCTTATATTCATATATAATAAGGGAAAAAATTAATGCTGTTTATCCATGTTTAAATAGAGGGAAAGGAATCTATGATTATGATCCTGAGAAAAGAGAATGGTTTATTGAAGTTAGACATAACTTTAATAAATATAAATATTATAATGAATATTCTGAGTCCTTCACTCAACCTTATTTATGTAATAACATTTTTTGAAAGTTTAAATTTAGTGTTCACAGATAAAAAAATAGGATTATCTTTGGTACTTCCAATAGTTGATGAAAATTTAGAATTGATAGGAGGAGTAGGAACAAATTTCTTGGGAGCAGAAATAGTATAAATCCTTAAGTCTTAAGAATTTGGATTTTAAATTATTTATCTTGTATCTGCTTCTGGAATTATGATTATGCATCCATACAAAGTAAATGTTGATTAACTTCCATTATACATTTTTAATTAATCTATCACAGGATTCAATCAAAGTGATTGGGAAAGAATGAATACAAAAACCTAAAGCAACTCCTCCACTTGTCCATATTTGAATATACATTCATCAAATTTAAATTGTCTTTACAATAGTCTTTATTAATAGGAAATGATAATAGGAATCTAAGATATTCCTGAATATTCTATGAAGCTAGTTATGTAAAATCTTTTATTAATCTTAGGTTATTGAGTAGCTAAGAATATTTTCAATTTTATTAGCATTTCTAAACAGATCTTGAAAAAAGTCTTTTAAATATACTTTGGCTTCACATTTCCATATTATTAAGCCTTTTTATTTTTATTTGCTTTGTATTATACATATTTACTTATATTTTGTTTTATCCTATTTAACAAATATAGGCAATCACCATTAATAGGATTTTCTCTTAAAAAAATAAGAGATCTTAAATGCCAATTTATGCAAACATATTTATGAGCCAATAAATAACATCACTGTATAAATCATATTAATTTATTAATAATTAATTAGAACAATTGTCATTTAATAAAACAAAATCCTGTAGAGATTTAGAAAATTATTAATATCCCAGAAAAATGTTTTCCTTAAGAAAATTAATATCAAAATAAAATAATAACAACAATATAGAATTAACAAATAATGCGATTGAAAAAATAACTTAAGAAACTATTGGTAGATTTCTTAAGATCTCTTAATAATTTTATGTATGATGTTGTACTAATAATTATATTTAATTTTTTTTATATTTAATCACTAAATAAATTTAACAGATATATATAGTAAATAATTCAATTAAAAAACTAAGAAGTAATAATTAATAATCAAAACTATAAGAAAACTAATTCTTACAAAGAAGTATATCTAAAAGTTATTGAGCTACCAAGGCAATAATTAAGAATAAGAAAACTGGGACAAAAATCTAATTATTTCACAAAGTTCATCTTCTTAAACATAAATTTCTATAATTTTATTTGGGTATTCAGATATTGATCAAAATAAAGAATAATATAATTTTGTTAAATAAGCAAATCTTATAATTGATTTCATAGGACATGCCGTTCTAAGAATATATTGAATTATAAAGATTCAATAATAATCGACAAAGAAAAAAAATGAATAGCTAAAAAAATTCAAGAAACTTTGATTATGAATCAAAAGTGAATTTTGCAAGAAAATTAATTACTCAATTATTTTTTCTTCGAATAATATGTTAGTCTACTAAATAAGGAAAATTTAAGCTGTATTTTTCATCGTGTAATCATTCTTAGAAATTTTTAGTTTATCTTAATTTTTTAGTTCTGTTTTCTACCATTTTACAATTTGATACTCAAATTACATTTCACAAATCAACACTCAAAAGTCCTTTTCAAACTCACATTTATTAAGTAATGGAAAGAAAAACATTAAATTATAATAACTTACATAAATAACTTAAAATTTAAAAATTTTCATTTTTTTTTAAGTTTTATCAATAAAATTTGTTCTGGTTAAACTATTATTATTATTATTATTATAAATCGTTTCTCTTATTTATTAAATAATTGATGGCATCTTATCTGGAATAATTTTGTTAAGGAATAATTTAAATTTTATTTTCCTTAAACAATTCTAATTATTTATATTTTTCCTCTAAGCCACATAAATCATACATATAAACCATAAATCTATAATAATCATGTTATTATACAATAAAAGCGAATCTGAATATTAATTTATGTCACTAAATAACAATTAATTAAATTATCTTTACAAATACGATTAAAAGAATTTGCAAATAAATTCCCAATATGAATAATAGTTACTAAAGGTTTAAAAATTTAAAAGAAGATCTCTCATTTGGCACAATGATTAAAATCTAATTTTTTGCTCATTAATTTTTTAAATCGTTTATGAAATTGCCTATGATAAATTTGTTATATACAATAAAGTTATTCTTAAGAAATTCTGAAAGAATATTAGCAGTATAATCTCTAATCTTAATATCATCTTCTGTTTTCAATTATTAAAAATCTAAAATAACTTAAATATTTTGATTTTATTTATCCCTTTATTATCTAATATGTTCACTTAATTAATTATAATCTCCTTTATGAATGGCGTCTATATTCCTTATGAGATTATATTAGTAACCATACAAAGAACTTAAAATCAGCAGATATTCTAGAATTTGGAGAGAAAGTAATGATTAACTAAAATAAATTAATTTTTTACTAGGCAACATCTTTAAGATAGTTTAGGGTTTTTTGCACTATATTTACTTTACATTACTAAATTTTTAAATACTAACTTAATGGACTTCTTTTTCTTTCTTAGTTTGGTTATGAATTAATGGAAACTATCTAGTTAACATCTAAATTTTTTTAAAACAATGAAGTAGCTACTTTTACTTCCTCTGTTTCTTTTTGACGTTTTTTTTGCTTTTTTCCCTCCAATATTTACAAGGACTATTCTAATGTGTTATCTTCATATTTTAATCTAAATTAAGCATACACATTTTCGTTCCTCATTCTTTTAAACAATTAATCCCAAGATATTCTTTCCTTTTCTTCAAAAACTAGCATATTTTCAATCAAAAATTTAATTTCATCCTTTTCTTTTTAACTTCCTTCATTTTCTATTTATTTCTCCAATTAATCTAAGCTAAATTTCTTTTGCAATTAAAGTTATGTAATAAATTTTTATAGTTGAGGTAATACAGCTTTGAAAGGAAAATCAAGGAAGGTTAATTAATAGAGAACCATTCCTAAAGAATAAACATCTGTCTAAGATGAGAAATTCTATAATTTAAGCACTTAAGGTGAACTATATATTGGTGATCCAATTTTTGTATAATCTCCTTACTTTTTAACATCTTCTAATATTCTTCCAGCTCCTAAATCTCCTATCTAATAGTATTATAAAATTATCTACTTTATATACTAAATTTAAATCAACAAATATATTTTGTGGTTTAATATCTCTGTGCATGATCATATTATCATACAATATTTAATATCCATCAATAAATTGATAAACAAAGTCTAGAATTTCATTAGTCTTGAATAATTATCCATTTTTTTATCTCTCTGTTATTAGATGTTTTAATTCACCTCCTAAACATCGTTCCATAATGATAAAAAATTTATTTTCTGCTTCAAACATATCATAAACTTTTATCAAATGCTTATTGTTAAAAGATTTAATCTTTCTTAAAATTTATATTTCTTTCATCATTGATTCATCAATATTAGTTGCATTTTGTACAATCTAATAAAAATTTATAAATAATTTACCTTAGCACAAAGTTTTATATCTTTGTACTTAGTTTTGTGATAACACTCAACAACAATTCCAAATTATCCTTATCCTATTTTCTTCTCCAAATTAATAACATAATCATAGAAACAATATTCATTCATTTTCTATTAAATATAAATTTATTAATTAAAAAATATTCTAATTTAGTATTTAAACAAAATATATTTCTTAAGTAGATTAATTAGAATCTTTATAGTTACTTTTTTCAAAATAATAATATGATAATAATATTTATAAATTTTAAGCATTTTAATTATATTTCATCTACAACATCCACAAATATAATCTTTTTAATCATAATCTGCTCTAGTTACTCCAACACAGTTCATATGGTACCATTTCTAACATTTATCACACTAAAAATTAGTGAATGCATACCTAAATAGAAGGTAAATCAGGATTTAGTGGTTATTTACATGTACAATGATTTTATAATTTCATAAAACCTTCAAATCGATTTTTACTTGGTATCCATCCTAATCTAGTAAAAAATGTGCATTTATCTAAAATCTATGCACTTTCATATTCTTCTAATGAATAAATTATGCAAGGAGATATAATTGCTGAAGCCAAAATATAATCTGTACAAGTTGTACTAAATACTTCACTATTTGAAATCCAAGTTTTGGCCTAGGGTCTAAATTTAATTACTTCACTTTTACGATAAAACCTATTATAAACTATTTTATACACCATCTAACTTCACAAAGACAAATTAATTTTGATGATTTATTTTCATTTATTGTTATTATTCTCTATATTTTACCTACATAATCTTCTGATGGGTTATTTCCATTTTTTATTAATGCATTTTATCCTAATTTCAAAGTTTGTGAATTCACTTTAATCTCATCATATTCATGAATTGTTGTATTATTCGAATCTTTCTCAGCCCAATTCACAATCTCTTTGAATTGTTATTTTTTAAACATTTCTCGAATTTTTGAAGACTATGATATTCCACCTTAATTTTTAGATTTTTAAATTTTCTTTCTTAATTTATCACCTGAATCTTCAGAATCTCCAGATTTATTAAAGAATTTATCCTAAATACATTATTAATATACTTCCTTAAATTCAGTCATTTTATAATAAAAATATTTATAATATTTCAATTTGCCCTTGCAATAATTATAAACTCCTTAATCTCTACAAAATAAATTATATCTACCTTATCTGCAAATAGGACATCTTTGACCAGTCATTCTTAAATTCTAACAACATTCTTAACACAGAATTACATGTTAACAAGGTTAAATCATAGTATCAATAATATTTGTTAAACATATTCTGCAAGGTTCTTTTTCACTAAAATTATTATATCTATCTTACCTATCATTTTTCTTTCCTAAAACACTTTCATTCATTCCATATACATCCTTTGTCAAGAACTCTTGTCCATTAACCTTATATAATTTTAAATTACTCTTACTCTTAATTTACTTATAATACATTATCCAATATATTAAGTTGAACTCTTTTCCAAAGCACAATAATATGTAAATGAATGATCCATATTTATTTTAGACTTAATAATATAAATAATATTACAATTTTCACTATCAAAGGAAATGAATATTCATCTTATGTCATTTAATAATGTTTCAATTATTCTATTTTTACTAATTTTTAATCTAAAAGGACTTTGCATTAATTTTAAAACTCTTAATTTTATCCTTATTAAACATAGAATCCCAACATTTAGTTTTATATTTAAGAATTTCCATATTGAGAAATAATCTCTCCCGTTTTTTATTTTTCTTAACCTAAAAACCAAACATTGATTTGTGTTTAATCTGGACATGAAAATTAAAATGTTAATTAAAGTGTTGACTCTCCTATTTATATCTAAAGATTAATATTATTTTTACAAATTTAAATGTTGATTTATTAATATAGATATCATTTTTTTAAGCACTTAGTGTAGTTGATTATATTGTAGCAATTTTCGGTTTCGTTCTTGTTTAGATCCCCTAATAATCATGACTAATATAATCATCATCATCATCTAATTATTATGGAACATGTAGTGCTTATTATTGATTTGTTTATCCAGAATAAACTGCATTTAGTTTTTGTTTATATTCTGCACTTTATAAATACTAATCTAGATTAGCTTAGTTTTCATCTTCTTTACTAGAACTTCCTCCCATTTTATAAATTATATGATTGATAATATAATAATTATTATTAAATTGCTATTACATAATCTTCTTAAAAAATTAAAAATATCTTCATTCTCTCAATTCATCAGTACCAATTCATAAATTAAACAGAAAAAAATGGATATCAGTTTTGATTGAAAAATGCAAACAATAATTATTATTCAGAAATACTCTATTCTTCAATTAATTAAGAAGATTATAATGATATACTCATACAAAATGTAGCATAAACTGATAATATTTGCCCTATATTTATTTAATAGATTAAATATTAAAAATTAAACATTTTGTGAACGCTCAAAAAATCATCAAGGTTTTTAATATCAAATGCATCTATTTTAACAAAAAAGGAATTCAAGATACAAATATAGAATATAAAATAAACTCATAAAAGGTTTATACAAATTCGTTACTTATACTTGGAAAGTTGACCTCTTCTTTTTTAAAAAGTGGGGATAATTATAAATAATATAATACGATGATAATAAAAGGTTTTCTTTCAAAAATAATTAATGAAGCAATGTTGAAAATAAAACTGGATGATACTTATAACAACTATTAATAGAATTAATATTATAATTATATATTTAAATCAGATTATTCTTTAAATTAACTTTAATCTATGTCTATCTCTAAATTTCGACAATTTTCTTATGAAAGTTATAGTGAAAGGTTGAATGACTTTTTAGAACTTATTATTTATTCAAATCTAATAATAATAATGAACTATTGCTGTATAATGTCAGAAGATATTGAATTATTTCAACAAAACAAATAGATTTATAATGTTCTATATTGGAAAATATGATTTAATATAGCAATATAGTAAAATTTTAAACATTTTCATTCAAACATATTATATATTTACAATTTTAAAAGATACATTCTAATAATTATATTATACCTAGATAATCAAAAAATGGGACTTAATTTGTTGAGATATTAATACAGTTAATACAGTTATTGATATTTTTAAATAGCGAATTACATTACTTTAAATAAAAACACAACAATTTTTTACAGTTATGAGACTCTATTTACATTTCTAAATTTAGTAGGATTACAGATTTTTCATACAATACTCGAAATAGAAATGAAAATGAAATCGAACGTTAAAATTTGAATTTATTTTGAATAGAAAATATACATATATATAAATATAATCTGATAAAATATATGTTGGTGTTCTAAAGTCATAAATTTATAGATAAATTAGTTATATAAGAAATTAATTTAATTTTATAATGAGACTGCAAAGGAATCACTAAGGAGCCTTACAATTATTAAAGACAAAAATAGAATCTTATGAGCATCGTTAGAAATAACAAATTCTGTGTTAATTGTTTCCAGACACACCTATGTGATTAATATTTGACTAATTTAATAGAAAATGGATAAAACTCCACTTAGATAAAGTAATTTTCACATCTTATCATTTGAATTAAATGTTATTTAGTTAGAATCAGAAACCTACTCATGTATATTATATAATTGAAGGAGAGGTAAGATTGGAAGAAACATAAATTGAAAGAAGGAAAACTGAAAATGCAATGTTTGCTTCTACATGTATGGCAAAAAGTAGAACTCTGTTAATAATGTCAACTGGATCTTTAGTTGGAGTATATTTATGATAAAATTTTAGGAAATTGAAGCATTACTAGAAAGACCATATTAAACAACAGCTAAAAGTAATGTTCATTATAGTAAAATACTTTTAATACCTGAAGCAATATATATAGATTTAAAAAAACAAGATTACTTACATTAGAGTGTTGAAACGCAGCATTTAAAAGATTAATTAATATTGAAGAAGATAAGTTAATTAAAGAGAAGAAGATTAGAATTATAGGAAGTTTCTCCAGAGAGAGAATTATCTCCCTAAACGAAAATAAGTAGAGAAGACTTTATTGTTTAATAAAACAAGAGAATATAAAAGAAACAAAATTTTGAATTCATTAATTTGACACCAGAAGCTCCATTATTTTCAGTTAAAAAAATGAAGCGTATTGCTGCACCGGATGAAAAGTTAGAAAATAGAACAAGATCCATATCTGCACCTACAAAAGCTAAAATGTTATCTACTATAAAAAGTATAAATAGTACTGAAAAAATATCAAAACCAGAAGAGATTACTAGATCTCGTGCTAATACTATAAATCTTGGAGATAAGTGTAGACCTGCTTCTCGAATCCTTTGGTAATAAATATTTCAGAAACTTTGATTTTTTATTTATATATATTATTTTTATGTATAATTTAGATGATTTATTAGCAGAGGATGAAAATGATATTAATGATGCATCAAATTTAGAAATTGATGATATTCTAAATGAAAGTGATGATTCAATTAAAGAATTCGATATCGAAAAAGTAAGAATATTTCAAAAATTATTTAGGCAAATTAAATTTTGAGTGAAAAAAAATAGAAATTAAAAGTGCATATAAAATATGGAGAATAGGAATATGAAGATCTAATAAAAAAATATATTGAACATGATTTTGAATAATAAACAGAAGAGTTTAAAATTGAAATATCATCATCAAATGAAGAGGAAATAGAATCATAATCATTGATTGATTAAATAGATAAATAAGAAAGAATAATTAAAGAAACAACATTATTAAATGTAGAATTAATAAACAATAATATTGAAATAGAAAATATAGAAATACACGATTTATAATAGATTTCTAATTAATTAAAAAAAGTATCAGGTCAACCTTGTCTAATTATTTTTTAATTCAATATTCTATCAATAGGAACATCAATTGGTGAAATATTAGTATATTCAGCAGCTAATAATGATTTTATTGGTATTTTAATAAATTATTAAATGAAGTTTTGAAATATAATTCTAGAGTGAGTGCAATTGATAATACATAAGTATTTTTAGTGGCTAGTTATGAAGATTGTGCAATAATCTTATGGGATCCAAATACAAAAGCTTAATTAAAACACATTAAACACTAAGAACCACTTTTATCATTGAAGTTTTTTAATGAAACTTAGTTTATTATTTCAGACTACTTAGGATAGACTTCCATGTGTAAAATAACTAAAATGTTATGGTCATATTAAATTGAGATTGATAAACTATTGCCAAGGTAACCATTAATAAAATTCATTTAGACAGATTAATCCATTCTATTAAATTTCTATATGCAAATAAGAGTATATTGCATTCTCTTGTTTAGAGTAAGTAATTGTAATGAAAGCTGATTAATAATCACAAATTATAAAGAGAATCAAAAGACAAATAGATGGCTATACTTATCCTTGTACAACTTGGGGATAGTTTACTAATACTGAAGAATATACAGAAATGATTGAAATAGCATTAGCAGTGTCATGGGGAACACATATAGAAATTTATATTGTTGAAAAATAACAGTTAATTTAAAAATATTCTTTTATTTTAAATACAATTATATCTTGTAATTGGGTATCTAGAGATATGTTGTTGGTTATTACAAGAGAGTTTTAAATTGTCACTTTAAATGTGTAATATTTCAATAAAGATATAATTACTGAAGAATCTAGAAATATTTTGAGAAAATAAAATAACTATTTATAAAATAAAACTGAAAAACCCATTCAATCAATTACTCCTTTAGGGGATGTAATTAATTTCCCATTATAAGTAAATAATGGTTAATAAATGGTATCAATATATATGAATTGTATTCATGCTAATACTAGATTCATTTATCTATTGACTCTTCCATTAATCAAAAGACTTAAATTGCTCATTTGGTCAGATTATTTGAAAGTTATGATTGAAAAAGCAGAAACTAAGTAAAATTGGTATGATATTTTATCATTTGGAATCAAGTTATATTGGAATTAAATTCATTGTTTTGCAATCCCTTAAACTAGTTATGATTAAAGAGTTGTATTTTCAGATATTTCTAAAGATATATGCAATTCATTCATCTATCTTGTTGGTTAAAGTATTGAATCCTAAAAAATATCAGAATAAATTAAATATGAATAATGGACATAAACAATATATTCAGCTATTTAATATTGTATTCATTGCAATTAACAACAATATCTCTTTACTGGAATGAAGACTTTGTTAATTAAGTTTCATCGATATACTTAATTGTTAGCTTCTTTAGAATAATTTATTTTAAATAAATAAATTAAATAAATTCCTACTGATCTACTTCTTTAAATATCTACACATTACAAAGTTCTAAATAAATCAGATATTGTAGAATAATTAATTTTGTCGTTAGATCCTAAATTCTTAGATATGACTACAATTTTTTAAATATGTTAAGAAAACGATTTATATACTCCATTAATGGTTGTTTGTCCTCGTATTGATCATGATTATATTACACCATTATAAAAGATGTATTCTAACTTTTTGAAAACTTAGAATTAAAATATGCTATTAAAATCATTATGGTTCATTAAGTTGACTTTTCAATAGATAATATTTCCAAATGAAAAGATTCCTTCAGATAGATTTTAACATGCTTTTGGATAAGTGATTATGTGGTTATTAATTGAAGATATTTTGAGAAATTTTGGAATTCATTTACCAAAAGAGCTTTTCGAAATATTGAAAATAGCTATGAACTATACTTCATTATTTAATTCGGATTAATTATAAAAATATTTTAATTATCAAAAACCTATTTTAGTGGCTTTTGTACATAAAATTTATAAAAGCTTATCATAATCAATAGTTACTCATGAGGGTTTAGGTATTGAATTTAGTAAATTCATTGGTTCAATAAAAGGTTTAGTTCTTGATGAAGAAATATACATAAAATCATTAAAACATTTAGTATTAGATCATAAGAATTTCTAATTGATATTAAATATATTAGAACAAATAGAGTTGAAACCATTATTGAAAAATGAACTATTTGAATAAGCAAATGATAATTATATAAGGTCTCTATTTGCTCCAGATATCTATAGGTAGATTGATCTATGTTTATTAAAAGTAAATAAATCTTTTTTTTCACTTTTGATCCAAAGGCAATTGAATTAAAAAAGAGAACAAACTTTAAAAGTTATAGAATTATACTTTGATACTCTTTTAGAAAATCATAAAACTTTACAGATTTTAAAATAGATAATACCTACTTTAACTTCTCAGGAATAATATAAATTAATGAATAGAGAATAGATTACTAATGGATATATGGAATTATTTTAATCATTAGGTCCATAAAATAAAGAATTAAGAGCTTTATTAATTAGAGCTAGTTGTATTCACTCACCAAATTATGTTTTAGATAAAATTCATCATTTTTCTTTGGATGATTTGGAAACAATTTTTATAGAAACCAAACATAAGGAAGGTTTAGGATATATTTATGCAAGAGTTGGAAAATTTGAAACTGCTATGTAATTTTTTATTTAAAATTTGCTTGATTATTTATAGGAATGTTTTACTTAATAATAATAATTTTCAAGTGAGATATTAAATTTAAAATTCGATTTGTTATTTTAGACATGTAAAGACAATTTATCTCATAATGATAAGAATTTATTTTTAGAATTAGGTCGTGGATTATTTAATAAAGAAACACATTCTCAGATTTGGATATTATCAGAATAAATCAATAAAAACAATTATTAATATATGATACCGATCTTATAAGTAATAAATACTAGATTGTGTGAATTTTATAATTATTTGAGTATTGAAGAATTGATTACTCTGATGGAAGAATAAATAGAAATTTTCAGAATGATATGGATAAAATGGAGTTTTAAGAATTTGATTAATGATTAAAGAATACAGTATAGGATTTGGTATAAAAGCTATTATGTTGAATTAAAAACATATTTAGAATTAAAATGGCATATATGGCATTAAAATGTATAGAATATTAATTTTGTAGGGAGGTAGTCCTGAATATTAGAATGTGTGTAGTAATTGTAATGAAATCATAACAACAGATGGATAATAACATGTTCTAATAAGAAAGTGTTCACATTCAACACATTAGAGTTGTCTATAATAACCATATTGTCATATTTGCAATCCAAAAATAAAAATGCAATTGGAAAGTGTATTAGCAAATAGAAATGTTAATGATGGAGTTGATATTAAGAGAAGATAAATATTAATTAAAGAGATTGAATTAATGAAGGTTTATATGTTAATCTAAATAATAGAATCATCGCAAATTAGAAGAACAAATGGAAGACTTGTAATTAACAGCAGATGATATTCGCATTCATGAAGAGAATAGGATTATCCATGATTTAGAACTTTTTGATAAATTTTTTAATTTATGAGTTAGAATACACAATACTGATCATTTTGATACTTCCAAGAGTTTCTTCTACTCTTCTTAACTTAACATTCCAAATATAGCTTAAACATTTTATCCTTGTGATTATTCAAATACTTTTAATGCACTTGCTATTTTTAAATCTATAGCTTCACTAGATCTCTTAGTCTTATAAGAATTAGCAAAAACTTTGAGAATCTAAATATATTTATTGAAATATAATACTTATAAAGCATTCTCTGGTTTTCCATTTATCAATTGATTACAATCAGCAATTACAAAATCTGCTAATTGTTCATGTTAAATACGAGCTTCTGGTTTATCATATTTGAGAGGTAATAAATGTAACCATGTTTGAATTCCTTAGATAAGATCACCTCCTAAAGAATTGCCTTGACATTTGATAATTTTTCCTAAAGCTGCAATTGAATTATCTCTTGCATGTCCGTGTTATTTTTCAGTGTCATCTTAATTCTTTTCTACTTTCAAAGAATCTACAAGAGCTTTAGATAACATAGGAGCAACATTAATGTATAATTACTATAAAAGTTAAAATAAATAATATACCTCTGGTGTATTAAGAGCCATAATTCCAATACCATAGACAGCAGCTTATCTTACAAAACAAACTTTATCAACAGCGTAGATTGTTAAGGCTTAAGCAAAATCATTGAGTTTAGCTTAAACATATGGATATCCCAAATATTCAACCATATCATCAATAAGGAAGATACCAAATTAATGCATTTTAGGAGATTAGGTTGGATCCAATACTTTAGGTAAAATTTGATTGCAAATAACCTCATATAAGGGTTAGACTTAATCTTTATGAGTTTTGAAAATTGATCCAATGCATTCTGCGATTTTGACATGTAATTCTTCTTCAGTTTCTGTTTCTTCTTTAATAACTGTTTTTTCATCTTCATCAACATCTTCTTCTTTGGACATTTTTTCATTTTCAGCTTTTCTTTTATCTGATTCCAATAACAATTTAAATACTTTATCTGAGAGTTAAGTGACTTCTTCAGTTGTCATAAATGGTTATCCAACAATATCTATGATTTCTTTGATACAATCGACTTATTCAATTATGACCATAGGATCAAATTCTTTTTGAGCTGCTTCTAAGATAATTCCTAAGAAATATTTAGCTCCTTAAACTAATTATTAAACATTATTAGTAGCTTTAACATTTTCGATTAAACTAACTAAACATTTGCATGCAGCACTTCTTATATTTTCATCTGTATTGAAATTACAAAGTGGAACAATCAATTAAGTACATGAATCAAAGTAAGGGAAGAAAGATTCTTTCAATTCTTCGATAAAGACAGATAACATATGAATAGCAACTTCAGCTTCTTCATTATCATAAGTATGGAATTCTTCATCTCCAGTTCCTGTATGTACTTTAAATACTTATTAAACTAATTAGAATAATGAAGGAATAATCTCTGGTAAATATACAGCTATTTGTTATGGACATACTAATGCTAATCTTTACCATCCTGAAAGAACATATGATTTTTAAGGATCAACGGCTTCTAATTAACTTGTTTAAACTTATATTAATATTCTAACTGTTTCTGCTAAAAATGGTTAGAAGGCAACTTAACGAACAGCTGATGCAATTAATGTAATTGTTTCTATTGTTTATCCTTTTAACTATCTATATTCCTTATTCTAATGATTCTAGAATACTTAGAATAATAATGGAACTATTTCATTAACATATGGAAGGAATAATTATTTACTAGATTCAGCAGTTGCAGCTAAAGCACTCATAGCATTCTCTTTTACTATTGAAATACCATTATTCAAATATTGGATTGTCAATTATATCAAGTTTTATAAATATGCTTCAATTCCTTTTTCTGTTCCTTCTACAAAATTAGTTAAAGCTGCTAAAATGTGAGATGAAACTCTTGGAACTTCTTCAATTTACAATCTTGTTAAAAATTATGGAACTATTAAATGTAAATAACTTTCTTAAAATTTAGGTTTCATATCATCAGCAATTTAACCTATAGCATGACAAACAGCATATCTAATCATTGGATTTTAATCATTCAACATTGGAGATACCAATTCAATTATTGGTTTTACTTCTGCTACTTCTTCTATATATTCACCTACTTATGATAATGCCAAAATGGCAGCATATTTATATCTCCAATCTTAATGTTATAACAATTAATTAACAATTGGACTCAATACTGGTAACATTTCTTTATCACCAATAGATTCGATTAGTCTATCAATTGAAGACATACCAAATCTTGTAGTTTCACAATCTTCATCTTATTATATATCATCATTGAATCCTTCAGCAGGTTTCTTCCATTCTTCAGAAACTGTCTCACTAATTTAGATCATATGGAAGAAGATCATTTCTACTAATTAACTCAAATATTATTTATCTTATTTAAAAACTCTTGGGAATTTTTCAGCCAAACTTATTAGTGTTTCAGTTCCAATTCTCTTCAATCCTTATTCTATTTAAGATTCTCTAAAAATAGCTGCAATTCCATTGAAAAATACATTGATTTATTTTCTAAAGAACTTTGGTTCAGCATCTACAATATCAGAGAATGTTTCCATAATATCTTCACCTAAAGTTTAATCTTGGATTGTAACAGTTAAAGCAGATTACATAAGATTTGGAATAAGATCTTAAAATACTCTATATTATTTAGGTTCTGATGTTGTAACATAATTACCAATAGCTTAGATAGTAGCTGTTTTAATCTTTTAATCAGGACTAGCAAGTCCTTAAATGAATAATGTGTGTAGATCAGCTTAATGCTTATTAAAAAGATCTATAGCATATGTAAAAAGATTGGATAAGATCTTGAATCCACATTCAATTAAGTCATTTTTTGGAGACAAAAACAATTACCATAAAGTTTATAAGAGATTAGGCCATAAATTTTTTGTTTCATCTTCAAAGAGTGATCCTCCGAGTTCACCAATAGTATCACATAATTAACTTCTCACATTTGAACTGGTTTCAAGTTCCAATAATTGAAACAATGACACTTTTACAATTTCTTAGGTTTCTGCAGTAAGAAGACTCCATACATTTTTATGACTCTTTGGAGAATAGTTACTCAATGAATTTCTTAAATACACTGGTGCAAACTATCTAATTTTTAATTCCTCGTGTCTGCATAGATGGAGCATTGCTGTGACAAATTCACTTGGTTAAGAATCTCTATATTAGGCTAGTAATTCCTCTGCCTTCTATCTAGTGGCATTATCTGGTGAAAACACACCATGAATCACATTAAGAAGCTATTCCTATAAACTCATTGTTTTTTTATCACAAATTTTGTATTTTTAAATATTAAAATCATTAAATTTATTTAAACATATAAATCTCGATTATTCGAATTTTCAAATATTCTTTAAATTCTATCTCATTTCCAATTAACTCTTTTTTTCAATTATTCTTCATCTAAATAATTAAATCATTATTTATTTTTTATATTCTAAATTTATTTAATCATTTACCATCATAAAATATTATTATTATTCTAAAATATATTATAACAATCAAAAAATAATAAATTATTAATTATTTATTTAATTATTCTATTTTATCCAGCTATTTTCTAAATATATATCTACTTAATATGTAATTTCTATGTTATGCAGATTGTTAAACTTTTCAAAAAAAAGATTAATCAGTCTTTTTATTTCAAAATTTAATCAATTAAACTTTGAAATATTGAAACTATATGTATTAAAATAATTTGTACTATTTTTATTAAAGATATTGCTTTTAATCTAAATATTTAGAGATTAACTTTTAATGATATCACTTCTTAAAAACAAATTTTATATTTTAGAAGAATTAAAATGGGTTAAATTTTATTTTTCTTTTTGCTATAAAAAGAGAAAGATGAATATCTATTTATTTCAAAATAGCAAAATTATATCAAATAAAAATTTTAGAATTACAAAAAATAATTTGATTCCACATTGCAAACAGATTCGTTAGATTAGAATATGCTGATATCATTATTAATAAATTCAATAAAAAAAAGTAATAAAAATAAAAGGTTTTCTGAGTTAAGAATTCACAAGCTCATCAACAATTTATTTATTAAAAGATTTAAAAAAATAAAACATACGACTAATTATACTCTTTTGTTATTCAACGATTATAATTATAAATTATGATAATTCAACAATACAATTAGACTTCAATTTTAATATTTTGTAAGCTTTATCTAATTTTATTTTTCTTATTCCAAATTTTGCTAATCTTAATTCAATTAATTAAAGTTTTTTTTTTATTTGTTCTTTCACCTACTTTAATTAATGTTCTAATTTTTTTTTTCTTATAAAATTCTTTCCATCTTTAAATCTAATTCGTTCTAATTATTTTTTTCTATTAAATTTAATTATTTGATTACTATAATTTTTTGTAAAAGATTAAAATTTATGCCCTCAAATCTTTTAATTGTATTCAGATATTTATATTTTTCATCAGTTTAAGTTAACGAGACATTTAGGAAAAAATTATTATCATCCTTATCATTTTATAAAGCTCTGTTTACTTTTAATTATACTATTTTTTATAATTTTTTAATAAATTGCTTGAATCAACATAAAAAACTACTTTCATTGCTTAAATTTATGTTTTATTTTGTTTAATCTATTTTATTTTTATCTTTTAACTCAACTTTCTAATAAATCTCAATATGTAATAACTAACATTAATTTGAATTTATTAATGATTTAAATAGATTCTTTTTCATGTTTTAGATATCTGTGTTTATTTACCTCATATGCAAAATTTATCCATTATAAAAAATTCAAATATAAATAAAAAGTTTATTCCATTAGTTGGTTTAATTGGTAATGTTATTATAAATCAATTATACTTAGATAATTTCTCAATAATTATGATTCTTGCATTTGTTTAATTTGTCAATTTCAATCTTAATAAATATTTTCATTCTTTAATACTTCAAAAATCTTAAAAATCTTTTGGCTCATTTAATTAATAATCTTCTAAATTAGAGAAATTCATAATAGAATACAATTTTTTTTTTTCAAATGACTATTATTAATTTATAAATAATTTTAACATTAATTTTTCATCTTTATATTCCTTTATTTAAAGATTTTTTTTTCTTTAAAAATATTTTCATAGATGAATAGAAATTAAATCTTTTTGAAAAAAATATTAGATTAATTTAAAGAAAGTATGATTAATTAGATAAAATTAGTGGATTATAATTTGAATTGATTCTTCTTGATATACTTTTAAGAATCTAAATAAAATATATAAATTTAAATTAAAATGTCCGCAGCCGAAATACTAGTGCCTGCAAAATTTATAAGCCAGATGGTCCAATTAATCATAACATGCGTTATATATCAATCCTAAGTATCAAATTTTAATTAAAATTAGTATGAAAATCTACTTAATTTTCCAAATGATCAACTAGCTGAAGCTTCGTAATATTATACGTTATTAAAACAAGTTTATAAGCTGGGGTCACACTTTCAGTAATATTTTTAGCTGTTGAAATGATTATACTTGCCACAGGATGGACGATGAATTTCGAGAAAACTATGTTAACATGTAAATAAACATTAATTTTATTTAGAAATAATATTGCATTCTCTAGGTTCTGTTATTTTAGCATGGTTTATTCTGGATTCTTGGGATTATAATTACATTTGGGCTATTTTTAGTTTGTTTTGTCTGCTTCCTCTACTGTTAGAATTTATTATCATAGGAAATGCTATTTTATTTCGTAGGTCTATAATTCGTTTAAAAAATTGATTATTATTTTATTAAACACAATTTATATAAATAATTTTCTAGATTATCCTCATTTTTGGAAAAGATGAACTTAATATTCATGCACTAAAAACTAGCACATAAACAGATGAATTAAATCTAATTGCCATTTATATTGAATTGAAATATTTACGATAAATTGTAAATTTATAACGATTATTAACGCTGAACTTTTATTCAAAATATATTTATTAAAGTCTAAATTTTATTTTGATGAATCATTTAAAAAAAAAAAAATTAATATATGTTACAAAAATATATTTCATAATTAGAAATGGAAACATAGAGGTAGATCATAAAAAAAAATTTCTTCTTTTGAAAGAGAAAAATTGAAAATATTTTGAAAAAATGATAGAATCAATAAATTAATTACAGTAGCAATAAATATTAATTTAAACAAAAGAAAGTATTCTTTTTTAAAATTATACTTGAGAAATAGCCACGAAATGAGTGAGACAATAAAAATTTCAAAATAAAAATTGAAAGTAACTTTTTATTTTCATTTATAAGTATACATTTAATATCATAACAAAAGGGCGAGGTAATTACATTTTAAAAAATAATTGGCTTATACAAGCAGAAATAAAAATAGAGAATTTGAATATAATTTTGAGTAAAATTCTATAGTAATAGAAATAAGCATAAGTAATGATAAAAAATATAAATAAAAATAAAGTTAAATATTTCTAAAGTGAAGAGAATACAAACCTTAATCAATTTTAGATTAACCATGAAATACAAATGGATGATTGACTGATAAAATAAGTAGAAGAAGATAATGTTGCTTCTAAAAATATACTGATGTTAGTATGATAATTATCCAAAGATATAAGATATATCAAAACTTATGGAATTTGATTTTATCTTCCAAATTTGTTGATTTATAATCTAAATCAATTTAATTTGTAAGTCCATTCGAAATAGTAATAGCTCTTTTTCTATTTATACTTCCAAAAAACTAAGAATACATGGTTTCTACTTCATCTTTACCTTTTGATTGTGGATAATTTACATTTATATCTTTTGCTTAATCTGAAAGCATATAATATTTATTGTCTTGTAGAATTTTAATCTCAATCACTGTCTTAAATCTATTAGAATGTAATCGAGTAGTAACAGTTTTATTGTTATCTGGTTTTTTGAATTCTACAGTATTGATTGGACATTATACAGCAGATTATTGTACAGGTGTTTTTTTTCTTGTAGAACCTTTAATTTGTTTGTATTTCTTCTATATTTAAGTATATGCAAATGATAAAGGTTTAAGTGATGGTAATACAACTGATTTTTATTCTTAGAATCTTTAATTTAATTAATATTGTTATGTATGTTAAGATGGTAATTTGATAATAGGTGTATTATTTTTCTTTTTATACCAATTCTGAATATTATGCTTTATAGAGAGATTTCTAATTGTTAAATCAGTATATAATTTATCCTGAAACTGTCCTCTTGTTTTACAACAAAATGATTAAATTTTTAACCAGTTCATATCAATATTCAACAATACAAGTATTTGATTTTAGTCATTAAACTAAAGTATGGAATTCATACTTCTTATTTTATTAGTCTGTTCTTGAATTTAATCTGAATTCAACTTCAAAGTCATGGTTTAATTTAACATATTATCATTATATAATTAACAATACTTTTTTATAATCAACTTTAATGAATCAATATTATATCCTATTTAAAAGGTTATTTCATTTTTTTATTCATCTTTTGAGAGACTTTCTCTAAATAGTGAATCCAATTAAACTTATTTTTAGATAACGTGAGTGATATCTTAAAAATCCAAACTAGTAAATATATTCAATGTATATTATTGAATCCAACCATCTATCTTTTGATATTAAATTTTAGACTGAATACTATTTTTAAATACAAAAGAACCATCATTCCCTTTTGAAATCTAAAATATAAACAGTATTTACATTGCAAAAAAAAATGATTTGGTTCTTTAGTTATTTGTTAAGTTAGTTAAATTTCATTATTCTTTTCTTATTAATTATATCTTGATTCAAATTTTCTTAGTTTATCTTTTAACTACAAGATTAAGTGTAATCTCTAATCCTAATATTTATGATTTCTTTTTCTTTTGTTATCATTTCCTATTTTTTTCTATTTTAAATACTTATTCATGAGTAATTAAAGCTTAGGTAATTCAGCAAATGATTTTGCCTATCTCTCTAATTGATTTTTTAATGTAAATATTAGTGTAGTATTATTTATAATTTCAATTCTAAGCTAGTCATTTTATTCTTAAGAATTTATAAGTTTGATATTCAATTTTATTTAATTTTTAGTCTTCTTTAGCCATTTTTGTAGAAATAAAATTAATAATATATATTTTAATAAAAATAGAGATAGAAAATGAAAGCAAGGAGCAATAAAATTAAAAATAAAACTTTTTAGAATAATTTTTTGAATATAATTGTTTCAATTCATTCAGATAGTTTTTGATTGATATATTCAATCAATCTATCAACTATATCAATTTCGGTTTATCTTAATATATAAATGGATATAGATACCTGCTAACTTTTTGATTACTATATTCTGAATCCTCTAATTCATTAATTCTGGTAGCATCTTGAATGTTTAATTGAGTAACTTCAACCAAAGCATTAGAAATATTAATCAATCCATCTAATTCATTAAGTCTAGATTAAATTTCTTTAAGTCTATTGTTAGCAGTAGCCAATGAGACTTATAAAGTTTATTTTTCGTTTCTTAAATCATCACCTAATCTTGTAAGGTTTTCAACCTAAAATGAATGTATTATATACTTATGTTTTATGATTAGATTCTAATTGATCTTAACCTTCTTATAAGGCAGTAATCAAACGAGCAACGAGACTCAAAACATTATTAAGAGTTTCTGGGTTAACTTTAGTTGTCATTTCAGCTAATCCTTCAATAATAGGTTAAAATAAAGTCAATGAACTCTTTTTAGTATGAGCTTCTAAAATTTCTTTAATTTTTTAGAAATTTTCTTTTGTTTAGAGAAGATTGCTCTTAGTATCTTAACTAAAACAAAGAAATAAATAAATGATATACGTAAGTTATATTAATGATGTTCCTTCTCCTCTTAGATTCATAAGTAATCTTTAAGCTTCTTTACATGCTAAAATGGCATCACTATAATCTTAATATTTAGTAGCAAAATCATTATTTTCTGCATCTAATCTAGATTGAGCATCACCACTTCCTCTACTGTTTCTATCTAATGCGGCTTAATCTGCAAATTAAATTTAAAATAAAAGAATTACCTTCTTTAACTCTTGTTTAAAGTGTAGTTAATTCATTGTTTAAACTTGATTGTTCTTATCTTTAATTGTCTAAATCTGTTTATGCTTATTCTAAAGTAGCTTGTAATTTAGCTAAGTCAACTTGACTTCTACGAGTGAATGTAGCATTTTCTTAATCTTATAATTATGTGAGAGCTATAAGTTCGTCTTTAATTTATTATAATAGTTGTTTCAATTCATTAAGTGAACCACCTGTTTTCATATTAACAGAAACCAAATTGATCATTGATTTTCCAAATGGATGATCACCATATTAGGCTAGTTTGTCTGTCATTTCAGTTATAGATGTTGCATAGATGCATCCAATCAACACTAATACCATAATATGTTTCATTTTTATATTTATATTATTATGAGTACTCCAAAAACGAATTATAATATTATGTTAAAATATAAACAGTAACGAATATTAGATGATGACTCTTAACCATATAAATTAATGGTAATACTCAATATCTAAAATACATTAGATTTAACAACATAAATTGCGTTCTTCTGAAAAAAAGAGACCTCTCAGTCGACCAAGAACATCATCTGTCAATAAACCTTAAGTTGATATATTAATGGAAATCTAAAATTAAAATGAAATACTTACTAAGGCAATTAATTCATTAAGAAATACTATTGAATAGTATAAGGAATGAATGAATAAATATATCTATTATACTATAATATTTCATCTTTCCTAAATTCAAAATATTTAATATCATTTCAAAATCCATATTTCTTATGATGATAGATAACAAATATTAACTACTAATCTATGGATTATCATATTATAAATTCTAAGAAATTACAATAATTTTTATATAAATGGAATATCCATAGAATTTATTAACTTAAGGAATTAAATTCTCAATTATTGGAGATAATGTTGCATAAATACTTTTGCTACCTGGTGAATAAATAAGTACACAAAATAATTATGTACAATATTATTCTGATAACATTGAAATTAAAACTAAAAGATCATATTTAATATTTGACAATCAAGTCACTGTTGGGAATAATAGCAAAGATAATATTGCATATGTAGGAATTAGTGCTCAAAGTTAAAAAGTTATGGTTTTAGATACTGCTATATTTAATAATTATTTAATCAAAGAATCGTCTATTATAGCAGCTAATGATTTTATTGAAACTTCACAAATTGTTTAATTCTCATCAACCTACTAAAAAATTGTCTTCTCAAAGGATTTAATGAAACAATAATTAATTTTTTTGAAAACTAATGGAACAGTAATAGATAAAGATCTTGGAGATGGAGAATCTATTACTGTATAAAAGCATTCAATTTTAGTTATGTAAGATTTTCTTCGATATGAATTGAATCAAAAAGATAATACTAAAGTTAAATTGATTGGGCCAGGTAATTTAATCAAATATTGATATTAGGTAGAATTCTTTTCGAAATTAATCAATAAATTATGCATAATAATTTAATGTTATCAAGAAGGAAACAACTAATACATTTCTTATTGCTGATGTCCTTCATTTTCTTTTTGTCTTTTGTTGATATTATGCTTGAGATAGGAGGTGGACTTTGAATTTCCTTATAAATTGTATATTTTAAATATAATAAATATTTTAACATCTAAATAATAAAAACATACTTAATAATCTCACATCAGAAAAGTTATAAAAAGCATAAAATCTTGCATAATTATTAATCTTATTATTTGATAGATTTCTAAATATGATTGTTTTTTATATTCTTCCAAAATGTCATTTTAGAGAATGAAATATCTTTTTGATAATGAATCCATTTATTCAAACTATCAAATCAGTAAAAAATATAAAGTAGGCTAACCTATTTTAACTCAGAATTACAAAGGAAGAATATAATATCTTTTATATTTTGGATTTCTATTATTTTAAATATTCCTAAAAAAACAACCCAATACAAGAAAAAAAACAATACTGTGATTGTTAATGAATCAACATTTATTTTATTCTAAAAAGTTCGATCTGAAAATGTGAAATTTTTCACAACCATAAAATCCAATAGATAGGTGTCCTTGAAAAAAACTTGTTAGACCTCCAAACAAGAAAATCAATAAATAAGTATGTGGCTTTATTTGAGTATTTTGGAATGTCCTCAAAATCATTGTCTACAAATTGTACTTACTACTTAAACATAAATAAAATAAATAATTTAATAAAAATTTTAGTTTAGAATTATGAGAGTAAATAATTATTCATTTAAATATTCTGTATTAATTCAAATAAAAAGTGAACTGTTTTAGTATATTGGTTATTCTTCATCTGATATACACTCATCAAACTCTTCTTATAGGGTTCTCTATATAACTTTTTCAGATTATTCTAAATTCAATTCAATATTAATAGTTTCATCTTTGAGATTTTCAATAATTGGTAGATCTAAACTCAAATCATCATCAGTGTCTTTTTGCTTGATTACATCCTCATTTTATTCATTATTTTTAATTTAAAATGGGATTTCATTATCTTAATAGTGCATTTCAAGGGTTTTAATTTGATTAGCAACAAATTAATCCTCATATTAAATAGAAATATAGTTTTTCATTGATTAGGTGGATGTAACATTCTTAATTCTCTTATTATGGGCTAATTATCCAAATTTGTTGAGAAAATCAGCTTTTTATTTTAATTCTTTTTATAGAGTGTTATTCTAATTAGTTAATTCTTCACTAATCATATGATGTAATTCTAGTTTTTTGAGTAGGTGTTTTTTATGAAGTTGCAATTCTTTTTATTTGAGCATACTTTCAGTGAATTGATGCTAAAATTAAGTATTTTTAATTTTAGCAAGCATGTATTCTTCATACAACTATTAAAACTCAAAGTTATCAAAAGACATTCTCTTTTAAATTTTTAGATTTTGTTTCCTTTCTGTCTTACTTAATCTTGTTTCAATTTCATTCAATTCTAATAATTTTTGAGAAATGGTTTTTTTTAGATCGTTTAATTGTTCTTATTAATTCTCTATTTGATCACATTAATTTTCGATTCGTTAAGTGATGTATCTAATTTGAACATCTAACAAACATACATTCTAATCATAAGGTAAATTTTACATAATATAGAGATTAAAATAAATTATTACGCTAGTAGTAGAATAATTACGATAATTGAATATACAATTTTATATATATAATGTGTTTGTTAGTGAGTGATTGGAAATAATATTAAAACTCTCTTAGATAATTTACATAAACAAACCAATAATGAAAAGAATGCTCATATTATTTCTTGTTTTTAAGGTAAATATTTGTAACATCTAAAACAGAATACATTTAATTGATTCACATAATAAATGTAAATTTCTTTAGAAGAACATTATTCGGTACAGATTATTTGTCCAAGATAAGCTTAGAGCAGCTAAATATGCTTCTTTTGAAGAAATAATTACAGATCATTATATGGCAATATCCAAATTTATTGAGGCCCGAATTTTCAATAAAGTCTATGTTGAAACATTTTCATGATTTATTTTAGAAAAAAAAATAAACTAGAGTATTCTCATAAGACAATATTCCATTATTATGAAAGCATATTATATCATTAAATTTTAATGCTTCATTTGATTTCCAATAATTTAACTACTTGTAATTAGTTAAAGCAAACTAACTAATAATTCGAGTTAGAAAAAACCTATCTTTATATGCAGCTGGAGAAAATATTTGATTTATAATAGCACTAATAATAATCAATTATATTAGATTAATAACGTCAAAAAATCCATCTTTAATAATATGAGATGATAAGGTATATAAAATATTAATTCAACTTTATTAATGATTTTATTTTAAAACAGGTAAGTATTCACATCCCTTTATAAAAAAGAATTATAAATTACTATAAAAATTATTATAAAATATTACTTGATCCAATATTAAGTGATTACTCTATTTCAATCAATGACATTGATCAAAAAAAGCCTAAATAATTTTAAAAGAAAATAAAAGAATAAATTGAATATTAAATAATTTCTGCATTATTATCTGTTCTCTTAACATATATATTTCAAGAGAAACGGAGCAGTTATTATTAATAAATTATATTTAAATCAAATTTCATATCCTGGCATTCTTTTATAATTTATAAAATCCATCATTGCACACATATCACCAACTGATCCTAACATTAAACTAAAAGGATTATCAGACATTCCTACAACAAATCTATCATAAAATTGGAAATTCTTCACTTCATTAAATACATGAGGATTCTATTTATATTGTAGAAATTAATATGCATATTTTTGAAGTTTTTCATTTTTAGTCAAATTATATATTTACATAAATCCATAACTATTCCCTGGTATACCATGACATATACCATATCCTTTTTTAATCATACCATATTTATATAATGTTTCTGACATATGAATTGCTCCATTTAAATAATCTTTTTTATTAAATATTTCATATGCTTTTAAAAAAGGAGTTATTGCTCCTGGTATTCCATGACAAAATTAATATAATTCTGTACTAAATAAATCTTCAGCTGAAGGTGGAATATTTCCCTCCTTATAATAAATCTTTAAAAGGTAATCTAGTGTCAATGAAATTGATTCTAACATTTTTAATGTAAATTTCTCATCTTTTAAATGAAAATAATCCTTTCCTTATTCATAACTTAACAATAATATTTATATAACTCCTAAGATTCCATGTGCTCCTCCAAAATATGTCTAATCATAAAATTTACATTTCATGATTCCTTAACCGCAATTACCCACTATCACTTTACATAAATTAAAGATGTGAGATCTTAAATCTAATTGATATGATCCTTCCTCTTTTGAATATCTTTTATTTATCCACAAAAACATATATAAATATCCTGGGATTCCATACAATAATTCTTATTAAAAATAATGTGGGTTGGCCATAATATTGGCAAAGATACTCAAAACTTAAGCAATACATTTTGAAAAATTTTCTTTGTCTTTTTTAATAAAATATAAGTCAGCGCCTAATAAATATGTTGCAGAATTGCTCATTAAAAATGAGATGTTCCTCTCCTTTTTAAATTGAATTTTCATAGCATCAAATTATTATTCTGCTAAATCTAAATAGATCTATGGATTATAAAACTCAGGTAATTCTGAATCACTTAATCCACTTGTACAAAAAAATTGAAGTTCTTCAGGTAAAGTTTAAACAAATTCATAAATTCTTAAATATAAATATAGATATCCACCAGCTCCACAAAACATACTTAGATCCTATTATTCTTTTTGTTTTGATGAGCATTTGTTTGTTATACAACCTATAGGTACATTTGCTCGAAACTCTTTAAATTCTCTTACAAGAGATTCAAAGACATTTTAAATCAAATTTTCTTCAGGAAGTGGATTAGTTAAATGTATTTGAGTTTCTCTCAATGTTCCTTACATTTAAATTTAAACAAAAAATTATTAATATCTAATGTTTATAAGTCATATTGCGATTTTTCTTCATTAATTGGAAAAGACTTAACAAAGGAAATAAAATTTAACAAGAAATGTAATTTAAATAAAAAAGTTGATCAATAATTTAAATCCATATAGAAAAATAATTAGAGAACTTTAATATACCTATTATTAACTAATTAAAATCTAAAATCAAAGAAAAAATAATCTCATAAGAAGAATTTACACATCTAATGATTACACATTATTTCATCAAATAAAATTTCAATTAAAATATTTAATTTTATCAAGCAGAGCAAAATAAAATCAATATTTCATTTGAATTTGAACATATTCATTCTAAATAAATGAAATAAATTGGTATAATG